TACTAAGTAAAGGACTCTTTACTAACTATATATTAAACCTTTCTTGCTAACTATAAAGGTAGTTACCTATAGGAAGAAGAAGATAATAAAGATAATAATAAAGACCTTAGTTACTACCTTTAAGGCAACTACACTCTTAAAAGCAGTAAAGATAAACTAGAAGGTAATACCTTTTATACCTCTACTATATTCTTTAGTAGTACTACCTTTAGTAGTAATAAGCTTGCCTTTAGCCTAGCTAACTAAGCTATCTATTACTAGTTAATAAAGAATAACCTTAGTATAGTATTATTAGATCTAGCTACCTCTTTTATATTAAATTATTACTTATTAGGCACTTTTTAAGGTATTTTGCCTAATATAGGCGCAGTAACCTTCTCTACTGCTAGTTACTTATAAGTAACTACGTTGTAGTAGATCTAACTGTTAGTAACTATTAATATAGCTACCGCTAGCTAAGTAAAGATCTAGTTTAGTAGTAGTAACACTATTTACTTAAAGGGCACTATTATAGTTAGTACACTATTTAGGCCTATTACCTTTTATATAATACCTATAAATACACCTTTCTTACTTTACCTAGTAGATATAGATTAACTACTTATTTACTTTAATAACCTTATAAATACCCTTTAATAAGGCAACATTATAGTACTAGTTATATAAAAATAGGGGTATCTATAGATACTTCTTAGCCTACCTAAATACAGCCTTACTAGTTACTACTTAACTAACATAGAGTTATAATAACTTTACTAATAATTTAGGCACTTATTAGTCTACTGTCTTTATAAGGTTCTTTATAAGGCTAGTTATAAGGTTAAGGTTAAGGCTATTAAGCACTTAACTAAATACTACTATTACTACTAGCTCTATAGGAAGGCACCTTTATAATTTAAATTTACCTTGTGTAATAACTACTCTTTTAACTATAAGGTTATTATTAATATTATATACCTTAAAGGTAACTAACTAGTTCTTTATATTATTAATACTATAACTGCCTTTAACATAGTATACTTTCTTTATAATATTTCTATAAAGACTATATAGAAGGCACTTTGTTACTACTAAATTAACGTCTACTAAGGACCTCTAGACTAGATTATTACTAACATAGGCAAGAATTTTACTATAACTAAATTTTTATGTAAAGCCTATGTAATAGGCGTTAAAGTCAAGATTATCCCTATTAAGGCGCACTATAGCGTTAAAAAGGTTAAATAATACTATATAGTGCTTTAATAGGCCTATAAAATTATACATAAAGAGTACTTAACTACTAACTATAAATTTATCCTTTAGAGTATAGTTAAGGTAGTTAATAACACTATAGGCCCTAATAGCCTTATATTAACCCTCTTAGTATTTAGTGCTTACCCTTATATAACTACTAACTTTGCCCTTTTACCTAATATTATCTAATAGGCAGCTGTTATCTAGAAGGCTACTAATAACCTCTATAAGAGCTATATAATATACTAAGTTTATAAGGCACTTAAGGTATATAATAGCCTAGATACCTCTGCTATTAAGGACCTACTGTTAGATAGTAAGGTATAAGTATAGTATAAGAAAAGTAGATAGTCTAGCCTATACTACCTACTATTTATTAATAGTAAGGATTACACTATTAATATTAATAGCCTATATAACTTTTATTCTACCTTAGTTAAACCTTACTACACTAAGAAGGAAATAGATAAGCCTACTAATATAAATCCTTAACCTAACTAACCTATAGATACTAACTATACTAGTAAACGTATAGAGGATACTATTATTATTACTATAAGAACAGGAAAACCTATCTAAACAGTAACCTCTTCTCCTCTATAGTGTACTTATAGGTAACTACACAAGACCCTAGTTAATATACTACTATAGAAAATAGATAAACCCTTTAGTGCCTTCCTCTTGGCTAAAGAGGAAGTAGACCTAGTACTTATACAATAACTATATAACTAAGGCGTTATTACTATACCTAGTAAGCCCTTTAAACAGTTAGGCAAAAGCAAGATCTAAGGCCTTATTAACTATAGTATATTTAAGATTATTATATATAATCCTTCTATTTACTAGGGCTATGTCTTTAAATTTTACCTTATTAATAAAGTTAAAGGCAAGAATAATAAGCTATACAAGAAATTATAACTTATAGTATAAGGTTATAGTAATAATAGTAAAGAAACCTTACTAGTTTAGTTACCTATAATTTAGAGAGCTAGCTAGCGTATAATTCTTGCGCTTACCTTTTCCCTTATAGCTAACAGCAAGGTAATATAGCTATAAGATATAATATAGGCCTATATATAGTTAACTTTATAACTTAACTACGCTATCTATATATAACTTCCCCTTTAAATCTATAATTATTACCCTTAAGGCACTATTATAAAGGTAATAAAGCTATTATATAGCCTTACTAAAGTAAGTACTTATTAGTAGGCAACCTATAACTACTACTATTATAAAAAGCTTAATATAGTTACTACTTTATATAACCTATGCCTACTCCTTTTATCTATAAAAAACCCTAACTTTATAATAATTAGGATATAAATAGATAATATAATTAGCCTAATTAGTGTTAATTTCTTTAACTATAAAGATAATAAGCTTACTAAAGTAAAGCTCTTTATAAAAGAGAAAATTTTACTTATAGAGAATAAACCTTTAGTATTTAACAGAGGAATTATCTTGTTAACTTTAGCTAAAGACACCTTTATTACACTTTACTAGAAGGGCTAGGGTATAAAGCTAAGACTTATTAATAAGAAATTACCTATAGCCTAGTAAGACTACGTCTAGTAGTACGCTTAAGGCATATATATTACTTTTATTTACTAGCCTAAAGTATACTTTAACCTGTCTACTATAGCTTAGTACAAGAAGCTAAATAGTAAAGCTATTTAATAACTTAACTAAAGAATCTAGTAGTAGATAAATACGCTTAACTATAGCCTTACCTTTGTTCCCTTTAATCTACTTAACGTAAAGCTTTTTATGTTTATTAATAGATCTTTTACTAATAATTATAACTTAACTTTATAGTTAAGATTTATTATCCTTTTTACTAATAAAGAGGTTAATAACTAATAAGGTAAGTTTACTTTCTATAGTAATATCCTCTATTTTTTATTAACTAAATCTAAATAAGTAATATAAAGTATTCTTATGTTAGAAGTCTATAGTATAGTCGTAGGCGTTAATATAGTGTATACTCTCTCTATAATTATTGTAATAGTAGTAAACAAGCTTAGTAACCTATTAATCCTTACTATTGCCTACACTAACTTATACTTACTATATAAGTGCCTAGTGAAGTTAGGTACTACTTATAAAAAGCACTTAATAATTAATATTATAGTACTATAATAATTATATAAGTAACATAAGCTCTTTAAGGTATAATAGATCTATAGTAATAATAACTCTACTAATAGGTTTATAAAGTCCTTACTAAACTAAGCACTTAAGAGTCTTATCTCTTATAATAAGGTAAAGATATAGATAAAGGGATAAGTTATATAAATATAATAGGAAACAATAGGAATAATAGGATATAGGATAATAGACACTTAGAGGAGGAAATAGGTTATATAAACTATATAGATTAATAGTAGTTAAATCTATTTAACGTAAGTATATACCTCTAATAGCTATAGCTAAAGAGAAATATACCTAAATAAGATAGTGTAAGCCTACCTTTGCTAGGTAAATAGATAAATAAATTTATAGTAGTATATAACTATAAAAAGTGTAATACTTTTGCTCTTCTTATTTTTATTACGTTTTTAGGCTTTTTAGAAGAAATAGGAGCACTAGTGACTTTTACTACACAAGAAAGTTACTAGTGTTAGTATATAGGTAATACAGCTAGAGGCAGTAGGTTATATAATACACTACCTACTAGTAGAATCCTCTACCTTTGCCTATACGCAAGGGTACTACTACACTTATGCTTCTACTTTACCTAGTTAACTAGTAAACTATTAATAACTATAAATTTAACTACCTTTTCTTAACCTTTATAATCTTATAAGATACAGGATCCTATTAATTAGCTAGTGAAAACTAACAGTAACTTATAATAGATATTATAGCCTTTTACTAGTTATATAAACACTATAAGATTTTTAAGATATAGTAGATTTATAGTAGTAATAACCTAGTAGATAGATTTATAAAGTTATTACTAAATAATATATTAAAGAAGCTAGTTAGTAATAGGTAGTTAGAGATATAGATAAATAGATAGGTTTCTTATATATAATAGACTATATAAGCAAAAAGTATTAAATACTTTTTAGCTTCCTGTTTTTATTACGTTTTTTAGCTATTCTTTTAGATATAAATAATAGGGGATTTCTAGCACTATAGAAAGTTACTAGTGTTATAATATTAACTATTGTAGATAAATATTAGAGTTATTAGGTTAACCTTAATAACTTATTACTAGTAAATCCTTAGATATTTAGCCATAGATTCTCTAAGGATTTATAAGCAATAAGTTAGTTATTTAACTAACTAACTTATAATAATTATTCTTCTTTTCTTTATATATAATAGAGAACTATAGTTACCCCTATTATTTATTAATTACCACTGATATATATAGTTAACTGTATTAACCTATCCCTTGGTGTTACCAACAACTTTCTTACTTTGAGAACAAACTTTACCAAAGTTCCGAATACGAGAGCATGGACGTGTAATCGGATTTCGATGTCCCGGTCGCGGTTAGGCAGCAATTACCGAGAATTTGGAACAGTAAGATCAAGTAGGGCCTTATTGTGACTGTATTTGTTTCGAGAGTAAGTTCCTGATGATTCCAACCTTGGCGCGATTGGCTTTTCGTACAACGACGTCAATGTGGTTTCAGAAGGATGCTTAATATTATATATCATCTTCGTGGTCCTGTAATTTCACGACCTGTCAAACATCACACTGCTTACGACGTTCACAATCTATTCCCTCGAAATTTACGAAAAAGGGTTCGAACAGTTCACAATGACGCCAAACAAGACGTTCGTTTTCAAGAAGATTCCTGCTGCCCTGCCTGTCGCAGGGGAGCACATAACCGTCGAGGACCGCCCAATTGACCTCGACAACGTTCCTGAGGGCGGCATAGTCGTTGAGGTGATTTATGCGTCCTTTGATCCATACCAACGCGGCCGCATGAGGAACGCCAGGATCAAGTCATATCAGCCTGCGTTTGAGCTTAACGGCCCGATTTTCAACCACACTATCAGCAAGGTCTTGAAGAGTAAAGCCCCTAGCTTTTGTGAAGGCGATCTAGTCCTTGCCAACACACCTATCGCCGAGTACGCCTGCTTGACACGCCTAGAGGAGGTGCGCAAGGTCCAGAACCCGTACAACTTAGACCTGGCACTCTTCCTTGGCCCTCTTGGAATGTCAGGATTAACTGCCTGGTCTGGCCTGCATAAGATTGGACAGCCTAAGAAGGGTGAGACTATCTTTATCAGCTCTGCTGCTGGCGCTGTAGGACAGGTAGTTGGGCAGATTGCTAAGCGGAAGGGCCTTACTGTCATCGGGTCTGTGGGTTCGGATGAGAAGCTCAAGTTCATCAAGGAACTCGGCTTTGATACCGGCTTCAACTACAAGAAGGATGAACCTAGGGATGCTCTCCCCGAGTTAGCACCCAACGGCATCGACATCTACTTTGATAATGTTGGCGGAGATCATCTAGAGGCGGCTCTTACCTGTATGAACTTCGAGGGGCGTGTTGTCTCCTGCGGCATGGTAAGTGTCTACTTTGAATATGGGAAGTAGGAGCTAATATATTACAGATTGCGGACTATAACGTCCCGCCCGCGAAGCAGCAGGGAGTTAGAGGCTTGGGACTAATAATTGCGAAGAATATCACCATGGAGGGCTTTATTGTCTTTACTCCTAAGTTCGGCCCGGCGCATTTTGACGAGCACCAGGAAAACATGCAGAAATGGCTTTCCGACGGCAGTGTGAAAGCTAAGCTAGCGGTTACCGAGGATATTGATAACGCTCCAGATGGATTTATTGGCATGTTTAACGGCAAGAACTTTGGCAAGTCAATACTAAAGATTAAGTAAATCTAAGGTCGTTAGTGTCAAGAACTTGAGATATCGCCAACCGCTCAGCGAAGAAACGGAACGGAGACCCACTGGGCTATCTCAGGGACTTATAGACCTACGCGGCCGCGAAGACAACGGTCTTGAAGCTCTGGGTTGATGCGCAATTGGCGGACAATCGCGTCAAAGGTTGCCCACAGGCTGCCCTCAATACTGGCTTTATCGTTGCTTATCACGTCAGTAACAGCCTAGTGTTTCCACTATGGCGTCTATAGAACTATGGTCTCCTTGGTGAGAGACCGTCCGGCGTAACGATTTTCTTCAACGTCACTTAAAGGCGATTTCCAGCTCAAATCGAGACAGCCGGTCCGATGTTTTCTCGGATGTGCTGTTATGAGAATAGCAAATGCTGAATGCCCGATTGAATAGATAGAGGAGTTTTAGACTCATATTCTAGTTGTATAAAACGAATCTATTACTTTCGTAGTTTTATTACACGCGGGCATCACCTAGGAAGTCCTAGGTGTAAGTATCATTCGACACCCCAGTCTGTTACAAGCAGTCAGGCCAAGTTGTTCCTGCCACTCCCCCGGGTCTAAGCCTTCTAACTTTGAAAACTTTTGCAAAAGTCTGACTGTGAGGTAGGAGATCTCGGTCAAAGCATACTGCTGGCCAAGGCATATGCGTGGACCGCCGTTGAACGGGAGATACTCCCAAGTGACTCGAAGGTTCTCCCAACGCTCTGGGCGAAATTGATCTGCATCTGGCCCATAAATATCCTTTCTCCGGTGCAGAGCCCAGATAGACCACCCTGCGCAGCTACCTTTGGCCACGTATACAGGACTTTTCCCGTCGGGACCACCGCCCCTCGGGAGGAATGTATCAGTAGTAGCGATGCGTGTGCTGGCCGGAACTGGAGGATGAAGTCGTAGCGCTAATTTAACCAGGGTGTTAGTTAATGTCCTTATGACGTGGCTGTAAATAGATATGAACCTGGAAAGGCTTACATTCGCGCAGGCACGCCCTGAGATATGGCATATCCCTCAAAGATGAATACGACGGCAATTCACCGTTCAAACCATCGACCTCGCGACTCAGCTTGGACAACACATCAGGATTCTTTCCTAACATGAAGAAGAGATTCCCGAGAACACTGGCCGTAGTGTCTCGCCCAGCCAAGAGCATATTTAACACCTCATGACGCATCCGTATTTTATCAGTTGTCTGCTTTGCCAGTTCCTGCAGGAAGAAATACTTTGTCTTCTCTCCCGTGACATTGTTCTCTTGCCCAGCTTCATCGTAGCTTTTGCGGAACGCGAGAGCCCTCTCGACTAACCGGTCAACGTAACGGAACACAATATCCACGTGCTTTTGCGACTTGATGCGCGCAATCCTTGCAAGGGGACCGAGCCCGATGATATTTGCGGCTTCTTTTTGCACAATGAACATCGAGTTCTCGAACTGGGCTTCCAGACTATCCGTGCCCTGACTTTTGTTAAGATGCCGGCTTTGGCTGTGGACGCATTGACCGAAGAGGAACTCGGTGGCCGTGTCGAGCGTGAAGCGGAAGAAGTTCTCTTGCAGGTCGATGGGCGTGACTCCATCCTGCGGGAGCAGTTTAAACAACGTTTGGACGTGAGCCTCCAGCATATCCAGGTCAGCGACCTGTTCACGCGCAAAGTTGGGCCTTAGCAGCGCCCTCGAAGACCGCCACTTCTCGCTATCTGTCACAAAGATGCCATCGCCAAGGAGGTGCCCCAGCGCTGGCTCCCGGAAAGGCGCAAGGGCGAAGTCGTTGAAGTTGGTGTTAAGAATAGCCTTGATGTTTTCCGGGTCCATGGTGATAACGATAGGAACGCCAAAGAGGAGCTTAGTGCTATAGGTTTCGCCTATGGAGTAGAATCGGTCTTCAAAATGCTTCAGGCTGCGGTGCTCGCGAATTGCTCGCATGTTGCTGAGCGTGTTGTCGATACCCATGATAGGGTCTCGGATCGGCGCCTTTATCGGAGGGAGGCAGCCATGTTGCCGACTAAACCGTCGTCCGCGGTAATAAGCACGTAGCTTGGAGATAACTGTGTGGATTGAAATCAGGGTGATGAGATAGACAATGACTGTTTGCGCATGGAGTGAAGCCATGACGATGGGCCTATGCTATTTATTGCGATGGGTAACGTATTCAATGTAGTCTTGCTAAGAGAGCAGCAATGTTTCCTGAAAAATGTCGTATCATAAACAGGGACGCGCGGAATGGCCAAGGGCCTTTCTATTAGCTGGGTAGTGGGCAACAAGCCCGGAACACATTGGCATAGCGTACGGGAATTGCTGAAACTAACTTTTGACAAAGTTGCCAAGACCAGAGGCTTCAATAGACCTTCATGATGCCGAATCTCTCGAGTCATTGAGGGTGTGCTGAAGCTTTCTAGCGGGCTTGTGCGGGCACAATACAAAGCTACGCGCAAGTCAGCTTTATGCCGATCGATCGTCATAAGCTTCCAGAACATGAAACGTACACATGAAATGTAAGTTTCCCTGTGGCGGAGAACGCAACACCTACCCAGGTCTCTCAGTCGGTTTGTGCCTGCGTGTTAAGGTCACACAACGCTGGCGCGCGCGGCGCGTACTTAAGTCCGTCAAGCCGGCTAGACAGTTTATATTGCGCATCTGCAGTCAGCAGAACAGTACATACTAGTGTCGGAATGCCTGTATTCTGGCCTTGATACAATAGCTAGTCGGTACGGAATAATCATCTTTATTTGTCTTGAAGCCGGAACGGCTTCTTTTTATCGCTGGTGTAAAGCTTCTGCTCTATAGAGATGGATCACAATCACATAAAGATTTCCTCTCTCAACTCCTTGCAGAACCCATGAGTAATCAAATATTTTACACTCTTCGAAGTGAGGCAATGTTCTATGACATCGACATATATCTTACATATTATGAGAAATATTCTTATCTGTTAGCACCAGGATAATGAACGCGACGTAGATTGATGCTGTGATTTACCCTACGCTTCTTGTTCTTTGATTCCCTCTTCCGCATTTGGAACCTTCTTTTCCTTGTCCTGCATACCGTACTTGGTATCGAGTTTCGTGCGCAGTTGGATTTCTTTCTCAAAAAGAGACGACAAAAACCCGATACCTGCGAAGGCGGCCGCAACAATCCACACTACTTGAAGTGAACGTACATACACACTAATCACCTGACTTTGGGTAACAGGGTCAAGACGAGACAGGACTTCGCGAGTTCCTAGCTCGTACGCATGCCCACCCGAGAACTCACTGCGAATCTTATCGTCTGTGATGTCTCCGGCCAGTCGCAGGAAACGATCATTGAAGACCGTCACGGGTATCGCTATGCCCCAAACGTTTCCAAAACTCCGCAAGAATGCCCATGTGCCAGTAGCGGCTGCAACGTCGCTTTCCGGAAGAGTTGCCTGAAGCGCTGGCAACAACGTGTTTAGACACAAGCCGATGCTGCTGCCGGTAAGAATCTGGAACAAGACCCAGCGGACGGGGCTAGAGTGACTGTCCAGAAGTACATGTAGACCGAGTCCCAAGGTGAGTACACCAAAGCCAACGTTGTGGAAAATCTTGTACCGGCCGATCCACGAGACTGCAGCAGATGCTCCTGACGCCACCAAAAGTGACCCAAGAGCGCTAGGCATCATCTGAGCCCCGGCCACTGTTGGGGTGGATAACAGTACAGCCTGGAAATAAAGAGGGCGGAAGAAGATCATCCAGTAGCCGATAATGGATGTGGTCAGAGTGTTCGTATATATGGCCATTCTGGTACGATCCTTGAAGAATCTCAGGGGAACCACAGGATGGGGGCAGAAGCGGGATGCCTCAAAACAGATGAATGCAGCGAAGCCTCCGAAACCTATCAACAAGGGTACGAGGACCTGCCAGGAACCCCAGGGATCCGAAGACCCTACCTGTGTGAGTGCATATAACACAGAGACCGTGGACCCGATGATCAGTATGTTGCCGATGTAGTCGATGTTCTTTATCTTGTCGCCCAGCGGGAGTGTCTTATCGTCCTTGACACGGAGAAGCAGGTAGAGAAGGCAGAGTGAAGTGCCTCCGATCGGAAGATTCATCCAAAAGACCCAGCGCCAACCCGCATGTTGGGAAAGGCCACCGCCGATGAGGGGACCTGTGCCAAATCCAAGGGCATAAACGAGAAGCACAAGAGACATAAAGTAGCCTCGTTGCCGGAGAGGTACGAGGTCTGATATGATGACTTCGACAATCATGTTGATGCCGCCGCTACCGATACCTTGAATAGCCCGGCCCGCGAAAAGTGTGGCGCCGTTCTTCGCTCCACCACAAATGCCGCTGCCAAGGGTGTGCGTGGCAACAATGAACAGCGTCAGTCTTCGTCGTCCAAACACATCTGCTATCTGACCGAAAAGAGGCTGAACGGCGGCGCTGTATCGAGCAATTAGAACATCTAGTTTTAAGCTTTAGATAGCCACGGGTTGTCTTGCCTTGCAACGAAGAATCCGTTGGTAATCCATACGTAATTTGACCCGATACCCAGCTCTCTGGTCATGTACGGCATTGAAGTTGAGATGACAGCATTCTCAAACGAACCCAGCAGACTTGTGAAGCAAAGAGTCGCTATGACGGCCCAAAATGACAAGTCCATCTTGAAAACGTTGTCACCTTGAGCGGGCTCTTCGGCTACGGGAGGCTGCATCGACGACTCTCCACTTTGTGTGACGTCGCACATCTGGGTATGAATGCTGTCGCTGCTATTACCTGGGACTTTTTCCATGTCTTCAACAGCTGGTTGTGGGGGAACGGCTTCTTGTTGGGTGCTCATCATTGTGGCCAGTTGTAGACTGTCAAGAATCTTGGTGAACATGTGAGACTGTAAATAGCTCTGGAATGAACAGAGGTCTCATTAGTACTAAATGTTCTCCCAAAAAATGACTCGTTTGTTCGGTACCATGGAGGTGGTCACTCCTTTTGCGGTGTCTGGAGGTTGACCGAACTTATATTATAGTCAACCATCACAGAGTCTACGATCAGAATTGACGATCACTTGCCATCAAGGTTCATTTCCAGTGATCCACGGTCGTGTTTCGGAGTCCTAGAGAATGGCTCCTGTTCGAATAAGTTCAAGATTTGACAAGTACTGTACTGCATAGGTATTTTTCATCTCATCAGAGGCAGAAGGTTTTCGAAACTTGTGTACAACCTACCTGGCGCAGATTATTATGGTTTTATGCACCCCGAGAGCTTGTAATGACTCTATAGGTAAAGGGAAGAAGAACTATATAAAATCCGATTATTGCTATATATCTGCAAACTCTATTACTAAGATAACGATAAACTTCTTCTACGCGCTACCATCGACCAGCCATCCACCGTTATTGTACACTTTATCACCAATCATCTGATGGTGAGGCACCTACAAAATATGATCCTCCATGAGAGCAGTTACAAACTCATCTAGCTAATATCATAACAGCTGGATACGATATCTTAAGATATATATTCCGTAATAGCAGCAACATTAATAACCTTTTCCAAACAAATGGTACCGATGATAGATATGCGAAATATTTGCTACACACCTAATGGGCTCGTAGATGCACTGCGTTAAACAATAGCATTACCATCATTGTAGATGGACCGCAATGATCAGTCAAAACAAGTTTTACACTAGTTGTTGGCTAAGGGTCAGGGTGTCCAGGCTAATTTTCTTTCGGCCTACGACCGTGTAGATAGTAAACCTGATAGGTTTCCAGAGTTCACAATCTGCCTTCTGAAACCTAAATGGAACCACCAAGAGACTGACTTGGAGGCTGAAGTTAAAAATCAGCCGAGAACGAGCATCATTGCTACCCAGGGAATGGATACTAGGTAACCAACCCTCAAGTTTCCTAAGCCACCCGCCCTATTGACACGTGAAAGTAAAATGCAGAGCTTATTTATAGTCTATAGCTTAAGAGAAGTCTTTACTTTTGAACAAAAGGAGTCGTAATTCGAAAAATTACTTTAATTACATCCCGTGAGGAGGGGGTCTTTAGCTCTCCAGAGCTAGGACCCCCGGGTATTAGCGATTGACACTTCTATATGTGCTATCAGTATACATTTATATTTATGCATGGCACGATTCATTGAGGCAGTGTGGTCTACGAAGAATTGAGTTACGTATAAAAATTAATTTCATTCAAACGAAACATAAAATAGGATCTCAGCTCGCAAGTCATGATACATAGTACGTAGGCGTTTCCGCCGTCTTGGCTCCGCGTAACTTCCGGTGCACACTTTTCCATTATTTCAATAATTTATATATATTTTTAAGTCATCTTTTTTTCATCTACCGGTGGTCATGTCAAAAAGAGTCAAAGTCAATAAGTAGACCAGTATATCACTGTTTCCACAAGCTTGTCACACGATCCTCTAAACATCCCTTTTTGGAATTAGAAAGAAATGGACCCATCAATATTGATTCCGCTTAACATGACATCTTTTTCGGCCTTGCTTCTCCTTGGAGCTGGTTTCGCAGCTCTGGGTTTACTATTAAGATGCATCTATCTTTTGTACATCCATCCACTAGCTAAATACCCAGGCCCTGCACTTGCTGGCGTCTCCTATCTATGGTATGCCAGTAAGTGGCTCAAGGGGAGATACCCTTGGGCTGTAGAAGAGCTTTTCAACAAGTACGAGTGTAGGTGTTATTGTTGTGCTCTTTTCTGTCCAATAGTTGAGTAACTACCTTACTGATGACGCTCTAATAACAATAGCCGAGATTGTTCGCGTTGGGCCAAATGAGCTTGCATTCAGATCACCAGAAGCCCAGCACGACATATACATGGCAACAGTTCGTAACCGCGAGACATTCTTAAAGACGGATATTCAAGATCTGGGAGGCGGTGAGCCTGGCATCACTGCCGAGCGAGACCCGGAAAAGCACCGCGTGCTTGCCAAGCAGCTCACCCCCGCCTTCTCCCCTCGGGCAATGTACGCCCAAGAGACCCATGTCCATCGATATGTAGACCTTCTTGTCGAGCAGTTGGCCAAGCATGGGGGCACCAGCGCCGACGGCGTCAACATGACCGAGGTATGCAAATCATCCCGCCATTTTTAGGTTTTGGAACATCAACATCTGATTTCTAACAAAATTACAAAGTGGTTTGACTGGCTCGTATGTGATATTGCCGGTTACATGGCTTGGAGTCACGAGTTTGAAAATTTAAAATACGGTGAGCATTGCTGCTTTCGCATAGGTAATAGCCCGAGAACGAACAGCTGCTGATATAGACAGCCACACCCTGCTTTTACTTCCGAGAGTCGATCAAAGTTGGTCTCTTTGGTACGGTTCGGCAAGTGCTGAAGAAGTTCCCGCTTCTCTACCCCCTGTCGCCTTTCTTCGTGCCTAAGTCTGTGTCCAAAACCATTCCAACCTGGGTCAGATTGAACGCAGATATCGTTTCGCAGCGTCTTCTAAAGCGTCAGGAGCTTCAAGGGAACGATTACTTCTCGTGGCTTCTTCGCAATGACGAGAAGTTACAGTCAACAGAGTGGTTGGTCGCGCAGTCCAACGTCTTAGTCGGAGCGGGCTTCGACCCCCTAACCAACGTTCTTACATCGGCGCTCTTCTATCTATGCAAGACACCTCGTGCACTTGACCGACTCTCTCAGGAGATCAGAGGGGAGTTTAGCAGCTATTCCGACATCAAGGCCGAGAAGCTACAAACCAAAAGATATCTCCAGGGTGTCATCGACGAAGCTATGCGAATCCACACACCTGCCGCATTTGGCCTTCCAAGACACAGCCCTGGAGCGCTTGTGGACGGCGAATACATTCCAAAGGGCGTAAGCTTAAGCTATCTAGGCATCCGCACACATGAACAAGTCACGCTAATGTCTCTGTAGGTTATCGTGCAAAACGCCCAATTTGCGGCTACGCACAGCCCCAAGTATTTCCTCAATCCTAGAGAGTTCTGGCCGGAGCGTTTCCTGCCCGAAGGCCATGAGTGGTATGACAAGAGATTCAGCCTTCACGACAACTCCAAAGTCTTCAAACCATTCTCGCAAGGACCCAGAGCTTGTCCCGGCCGAGAAATCGGTATGATGCAAGCCCGCGTCACTTTGGCGAAACTGGTTTGGACGTATGACATGGAGCTGCTCAATCCCGAAACTGATTGGGATAGGGATATCAAACTGTTTTTTATCTATGACAGACCAAGAGTACAGGTCAGGTTTCATAGGCGCTCGCAATTGTAGCCAAAAAGATTCCTGGCGGCAATGGCCCTTTAGGAGGTGCAGACACAATCGTGTTGTGGAGGTGAAGTTGTGATCAACAATGTTTGTATTTACCGGTTATTTTGCGTTTAGTCATGCTTATCGTACAGTGGGTGGTAAAAGCCTCTATGCAACTTACTTTTGCCCTCGAGCCATACAATAGCAAGAAAGTCTCGAAATTCGGCTGTCATTTCCGTAAGGTGTGGTGTTAAAAAAGAGGCAAAGGTGTATTCCAGTGTATTGGTATCATTTGGATTAATACCTGACCCAAAGTGTATGATAACAACACACTTTATACACACTTTCTGCATAGCCATCCTGTATCATAGCTAAACATAGAGCCTTGATTCTATAATTTAAGCTATAGCTTTGGTTCTGACGTTTTGAACCGATCTGAGGACGCATCTCATACTAGCTTAGTGGGTGGTGTAATTTCTGAGCTGATCAAATCACCACTGTGGTCCCCATTTCTCTACACATTTTCAATAGCAATAGGTTTCTCTACTAGGCTTGGAAATTACGTAAATCGGGAGAGTTTTGGTCGTTTCAGACGATGCAGAGTGTCAAGGAGGGATCCTAACTAGAATTTTACATATCTGCAAGGTTTTTGTTAACATCTTTTTGAGCCAAAACTCATGCTGAATGATTCATGTGATTGTTTCTGGAATATGCCATGACTAGTCATTGAAGTTATACAGGGTGACAGGGCAAAGTTAATTACCCCTACGATGTTACCCACCCCAGTTGATATCACAATAGAGGAGGAATATTCACCGAAAGTAAAGTCTTGTAGAGGGGGGTGAACATTAGTTACCTAACAGGAGTAAAAGACTTCGGCCTGATACCATAGTATGGAGAACTTGCGCTTTGAGTCAGTAGGATTAAACTCTTTTGCTCCAGAGTCTACATAAAGCATGCAAGATACAGAAGGACATAGACAAAAGCCGGCTTCACGCCGAGGGCGTGCTTCTCTTCAACCCCAATCCCGGCTATTATGAACCCTTCAACACAGAAAGCATCTCGTGAACTGAATTTGAGGAATGATTAACATTTCTCGTTTTTTCGATTGGAGTCAAAAAGTACCCCAGTCACCATGGAGCCCTCAGCAGGTCTGAAGTGGGCGACCTGAAAAAGCAAGTAATCGACAAAGTCTAAGATATGATGAAACTATGGATGAAATAGATTTGAGGTTGCAGCTACAATCAACACGCGAACGACGCAGAATGTGAACTTTCATGCCGTATCTTGGTCTGTAGATTGCTGCTCTGGACCACCAAATCGCCGATGAGGATTGGAACGCTGCGGACCGCTGAATCGTCGACGATATGCTCCGTAACGCCAAGACCTCGAGGAAGTACAGATCAGCTACCCGGTATGGAAGCTCTCACTTCGTAGAATATAAATGTGTAGAAAGACCACGGAACATCTTCATTGCCTCAACAACAACGCCTCGCTTCTTCTATCTTGCGCGAAATGTCTTCCTCATGCAACATATCTGAACCCATTGCTGTGATTGGCATTGGCTGTCGTTTCCCGGGAGCTTCATCTACTACGGAATTAGTAGATGTTTTAAGTGATCCCGCCGACCTGTCGCAGACCATCCCTTCAGATCGATTCAGCATCGATGGTTATCATCACGATGACGGAAGTCATCATGGCAGCACCAATGTTCGAAAGTCATACTTTCTGCAGGATAGCATCCGCAAGTTTGATAACAACTTCTTCAACGTCACTGCCGTAGAGGCGTCTTCTATAGACCCCCAGCAGCGGATCCTGCTGGAAACAGTACACGAGGCCTTTGAGAACGCCAATGTATCTATGCCACAACTTAGAGGCTCAGATACGGCTGTCTATGTTGGCTTGATGTGTGGAGACTATGAGAGTCTCTTGTACAATGACCTTGAGACTGTTCCCAGATACATGGTAAGAGCCAAATGAAAACCTCAGTCTCTTTGTAACCATGATTATCCGTTGCTAATGCCAACGCTCAGGCTACTGGCGTTGCTCGCAGTATCATTGCCAATCGAATTTCATATATATGGGATCTTCGTGGCCCATCTATGACAATCGACACGGCTTGTTCTTCCAGTCTAGTTGCCCTCCACCAAGGCGTGCAGGCCTTACGGCTAGGAGAAACCAACTTAGCGCTTGTTGCAGGGTCCAACTTGCTGCTTGGACCTGAATGCTACGTAACGGAAAGCAGTCTTAACATGCTCTCACCGACTGGGAAGAGTCGCATGTGGGATGCGGAAGCGGATGGCTATGCTCGAGGCGAGGGTGTGGCTGCTATAGTGTTGAAGCGTCTAAGCGATGCTGTTGCCGACGGCGACTTCATTGAGTGTATCGTGAGGGAGACTGGTGTCGGCCAAGATGGACACACCAATGGCATCACAACTCCGGGTGCAGAGTCCCAAGCATCCCTCATCAGACGCGTCTACGCCAAAGCCGGTCTTGACGTGATCAAGGACGGCTGTCAGTATTTTGAAGCGCACGGCACCGGTACACCGGCTGGCGATCCCGTGGAGGCTGAAGCAATCCATTCTGTCTTCACGGATTCCTCAGGAAATAACGTCCGCACCGCTCCGATTTATGTCGGATCAGTCAAGACAGTGATCGGTCACACTGAGGGCACAGCAGGTTTGGCGGGCCTTATCAAGGCAACGACTTCCCTGCAACGCAAAACAATTTTCCCGAATAAACACTTCAACAAGCTGAACCCTCGCATCACGCCTTTCTACGGGAACCTACAGGTCCCGACGGTTGAAGTTCCGTGGCCCAAACCACCAAACGGCCAGCCTCTCAGGGCTAGTGTGAATAGTTTTGGGTTTGGGGGTACAAACGCGCATGCTATCCTGGAAAGTTATGATAACGGTATTTCACCAAACCGAGTTTCAGAGGATGCTGTTCCACTATTTGTGCCAGTCGTCTTTTCGGCCAAGAGCGCAGGCTCGCTATACGGCGGACTTGCGGACTATGTCCAGTGGTTGAACCTGCACCCGGAAGCCAACATACGGGATGTGGCAATCACGGCTTCCAGAAGGTCGCCTTTTGCTTACAGGGCCGCTATCCCGTCCGCCAGTAGCTCTGACCTATCATCGAAACTATCAGAGGCAATTCGTGAGCGACGAATTGTGACACCAGCACGCAGTACCCCGAGGACAATTGGCATTTTCACGGGTCAAGGGGCTCAGTCTTTTGGTATGATGGCTGAGGTTCTGCGCGCCTCTCCTTGGGCACAGAATCGCGCACGCCAACTGGAAGAGATGCTTCTAGATATGATCCCACTCGAAGACAGGCCACCTCATTCGTTGGTTGACCAGCTTCTTCTAGGTCGCTCCCCAGACGGCTCGTCTGTGATGGAAGCGAGCCTTTCCCAGCCCCTGTGCACCCTGGTACAGATTCTCCTGGTGGACGTACTCCAGACAGCCGGTATCAAGTTCAGTGCCGTCGTCGGCCACTCCTCTGGAGAGATATCTGCCGCATACGCTGCGGGCTACCTCACGGCAGAGAACGCTCTAGGCGCTGCTTACTATCGAGGCATGCATACCAGATTGGCTAGCGGTCCTGATAACCAACAGGGAGCCATGTTAGCAGCTTCCATGTCCTACAAAGAGGCACGCCGATTTTGCGCGCGGCCAGAATTCAAGCAGAGAATTTGCGTGGCAGCCAGCAACTCTCCAAGCAGTGTAACGCTCTCAGGAGATGAGGATGCCATTATTGAAGCCGAGGAGTTCCTCCAGGCCGAAAACGCCAACCCAAAGCGTTTGGTGGTCGACAAAGCATATCACTCTCACCACATGAACCCGTGCTCCAGCGCTTACCTGGAATCGCTTAGAGCCCTCCCGGGCTTTAAGTCTGATCCTAACACATCGACTAAGTGGTTCTCGAGTGTTCACGTTCGGGAGGCCAGCGAGTTCCAGCTCACGGCGGACTATTGGAATGATAACATGGCCCAGCCCGTCTTGTTCTCCCAAGCACTTGAAAAGGCGTGCAACGACGTCGGATCTTTCGACCTCGTGATTGAGGTCGGACCGCATCCCGCACTCCGAGCGCCGGTTATGCAAACTTTACAAAACCTGGACCCACAGAACCAGCCAGCCTATACCTTCTTACTCCGTAGAGGACAAGACAGTGTGCAATCATTCCGTGAGGGGTTCGCACAGCTTTGGCAGGCTGGTTTGAATCCTAAGCTGGCTGCTGTTGAAAAGCTCATGTCTGGTATCTCAAGCCAGCCATTGAGGGGACTGCCGATATACCATTGGCAACACGATCAGGAGTTCTGGCATGAACCCTATTTTACCAAAGCCTTGAGGAGGCGCAAACAGCCAGCTCGCCCGTTGATAGGCATACGGCTTCCCGATAGTTCCGACGTGGACATGAGGTGGCGCAACGTTATCCTGGAATCGGAGTTGCCATGGCTTTCTGGCCATAAGATCCAGGGTCAAACCGTATTCCCTGGAGCCGGTTACATATGCATGGCCATCGAAGCGGCTCAGGAACTGAACCTCAACAACCAGGAGATTCAGACCATTGACGTCACCAATCTAGACATCAGCCAAGCTCTACTCATACCGCCAGATGACCCTGGGGTGGAAGTCGTGTGCACGATGACAAATGTGCGTCGCAGTGGCAAGACTATAATCATAGCCGACTTCTCTCTTTACGCTGCTATCGGGGACAGCTTATCCCTCATGGTCAAAGCAGTTGTGAAGCTGCAATTAGGACCATCGAAAGGCGAAATACTGCCATCTACTCACCAGCAAGGTATTGCGGACTGCTCGATGCGTCCTATTGACAGCGATGTCATATACTCGGGATGGAACAACGTGGGTTTTACGTACTCAGGGCCGTTCCGAGCTATTCAGAATGCTTCAAGGAAGCTTAGCGCAGCAAGTGGTTCCATTGCCAATGCACCCGGCGAGGGTTCAATGCCCTTGCATCCTGGCACATTGGATGCCGCTATTCAGTCACTCCTATTGGCCTACTGTCACCCAGAGGATGGGACTCTGGTCTCGCCACAAGTTCCACGAACCATCAGGAACGTTCGCATCAACTTCGGACTGGTAAAGACCGTTGGCCTGACTCATCCGCAATTCGAATTTACAGCAGTCGTCCCGGATCGTGAAGCTTCCGGTGCGTGTGGAGATGTCGAACTGTTCACTCAAGAGGGGCAGAGCATTGTGCAGATAGAGTCTCTTCAGTACGTCAGGCTTTCTCCAGCAACAAAAGAGAATGACCTCAAAGCGTTCTGGTACACAAAGTGGGTGTCCGCATCTCCTGGTACTCAAAACTTTTGCCGGGACGGACAGGCTACAGAGGACGATTACGAACTGGTCGAGAACCTCGAACGTCTGTCTTTCTACCACATCACGCAGCTTGAGAAGGCTTTCCCGCAGGGTCACCCGCAACGTCAGCACCCCAACTGGAAGAACTATTTTGGCTTTGTAGCCCATGTTCGCAGTTTGGTGGATTCTGGCGTTCATCCTTACGTTAAAAAGGACTGGCTTCAAGACACATCAGAGGTGGTCACTGCCATTGCGGCGCGATATCCTGATAATCCGCATCGCAGAGTCATCGATGCTGTGGGGGACAACATCACGCAGATCGTACATAGCGGAAGCACGATACTGGAACATCCACTACGAAGCCTTCTAGATGACTACTATGCCCATGGGATGGCCGACCAAAGCTACGCACGCAACCTAGCGCGCGTAGTTGGGTATCTTGCTGATAGATTCCCTACGATGAATATCCTCGAAATCGGTAAGGCAAATTCAACTTCCACATTCGAAAGCGACTTTGCATTCTAATCAGCATAATATAGGAGCCAGTAACAGAAGTGTAACCAAAACAGTCTTTGAGGAGATTGGTTGCACGTTTGACACCTACACATGCACAGACGTATCTGTTAGTCAATCTGAGAATGCGCGTGACCTTTTCCCTGCCCAGAAAGACAAGATAGTTTTCTCAAGTCTCGATCTGGAGCGGGACGTCGTCGAACAGGGGTTCAACCCCCAGTCATACGACCTGGTCATCGCCTCGCTGGCGCTTCATGCAACATCCAACCTGAAGAACACTCTTTCCAACGTCCGGAAGTTGCTGAAACCTGGAGGCTATGTCGTCATGCTTGAGATCACCAACAACGACCCCATCAGACATGGTTTCGTCTTTGGAACAATGCCGCAATGGTGGATCGGCGAAGCTGAAGGCCGCGTACTCTCGCCCTGCATCGAACCCCCAAAGTGGGATGCTGTTCTCCAGCAGTCTGGATTCTCTTCCATTGATTCAATGGTCCCTGATGTCCATCGCCTTCAGGTTCCTTTCTCGGTAATCACGGCTCAAGCAGTGGACAACAGAGTTCAGTTGCTACGCAACCCTCTTGCCAACAAGACGGCGTTCCCTCGCCTACTCGTTGTCGGAGGCGCAACTCCAAACAGCGTACAGCTTGTGAGCAGCGTATGTGAGTTGTTAGGGCAACACTATGAGGTTGTTCTTAACATCCGCACTCTCGAGGACTTTAGTGACGCCTACCATGGATGCACGGTGTTGTCCCTATCCGAACTTGACAGGCCTGTCTTCGAGAACATCAACGACGGTACTCTCAGGGCCTTGAACAAAATCATGTCGAACTGCCCAGTGCTTCTTTGGGCTACGCATGGTGCTAGAGACAAATGCCCTGGATCCATGATGGCTATTGGCTTCTTCCGCACAATGATGTGGGAAAGGCCAGAGCTAACCTTCAGGTCTATCGACTTTTTGGACGAGAGCCTACCTGACTCCGATGTCATCTGCTCTTCTCTTTTAGAGTTGGAGATGGGTGTTTCATGGAACCTGAAGACCAGGGGATCTGACATTCTTTGGCCTCTGGAAAGAGAGCTCGTCTACAAAAACGGTCATCTGGAGATCCCGCGGGTGGTACCATCTCCCATGCTAAACGACAGATATAATTGCAGTCAAAGACTGATCGTTCGCAAGAACGGAAATACCCCGATCCGACTCTCTCACGATGGTTGGCTTGATCAAGAGGTATCTGTTCGTTCGAACAAGGCATTGACCTCAACATACGGCAAACGCCTGCAGCTCAAAGTCGAGTACTCGACCTCATTCTCAGTGCCTGTACTGGATTCGGGCCCCAGCAATTCATACCTGGTATTCGGAAGAGTAGCCAACAGCCGTCGTCCAGTCCTCGCTTTGGTGCCTAAGTGCGGATCGACGGTCAAGCCGTTATCTTGCTCTGTCTGTGAGGTTCAGGACGATAGCAACCCGTCACTTGTTTTAACACAGGTTGCGTCAGTTCTACAAGCGGTATATCTGCTTTCTCACGTCCCCAAGGGTCAGCGCCTACTCGTACACAACCCTGACGCACAATTTGCCGCGGCCATCAAGTCTTTGGCCAAGGATCGAGATATCCGAGTGACCATGACTTCGACCGATCCGCAAACCAAATTCATCCACCTACATCCTCATATGCCGGCACGCTTGCTGAAGGATATAATCAATCCCAGTCACCATTATTTTGCGGATCTATCCAAGACCACAGAATCTCCAACGGAAGCCTATATTCGGCAGCTTCTCCCCAAGTCCATGGTTATCATTGACACGCAGCCCATTATTGCAACCGACGGGTCTCGATTAGCCACACCGTTGACCTACGGTAGCTCGCTCAACCCTGCTGAGACGATTCCGGTCTCAGCACAGCTCTCTGCAGCGTACGATATCAGCCATGGACTTCCGATGCATTCACTTGGGCTTGTTTCGCTGAGTGACTTTTCCAGTCAACGGCCAAATCGGAACAAACATATCCTCCAGTGGAGTGACACTGAAAGCGCCTTCACACGTGTCCTGCCTACAGGTCGTCACCTAGCATTCCTGCCACATCGCACGTACTGGCTTGTGGGCCTCACAGGGGACACTGGATTATCTCTTAGTGAACTTCTCGTGCGAAAAGGCGCTCGATATGTGGTTCTGAGCAGCCGCAACCCTAAAATCAGCCCCGAATGGCTGGAACAGCAAAGCAAAGCTGGGGTGAAAATTGCCGTCATTCCGTGTGATGCGGCGAACAAGGCCAGCCTGAGTTCAGCTTACGACAAGATCAAGGATTCTTTTCCACCGCTAGCCGGAGTGGCTCACGGCGGGATGGTCTTGGAAGATGTGCCTGTCGGAGACCTAGACGCCGACAAGTTTGCCAAGGTTGCGGCTCCCAAGGTCGCAGGCAGCACGAATCTAGACCGGCTTTTCGAGGAACACGGTGTTGATCTGGACTTCTTGGTCTTTTTCTCTTCGAGCGTCGGGACCGTTGGTAATTACGGACAGTCAAACTACTCAGCCGCCAATCTATACATGCAAACCTTGGCCTTGCAACGAAGACAGCGAGGCCGAGCCGCCTCGATTCTCAATCTCGGGCTCATCATTGGCATAGGGTATGCAATGAGTCGGATGAATCGTAGCCAGCTCGAAGCTTTGGGTAAAAATGGTGTCAAATGGATATCTGAGGAGGACGTTCATCACTCGTTTGGCGAAGCAGTCCTGGCAAGCCCTCCTTCATCGGACCTTGACTATGAGGTTACAATCGGTCTCGATACGTTCTCAGCCGGGGGCCCCTCGGCACCCCCATGGGCGGAAGAACCAAGAATGTCTCATTTGTTCAATACCGACCCCAACATGAGCCTGGCATCGAAACGAGGCGGTGTTGGTGCACAGAAGTCTCCCCGTGAGAAACTGGCGGAAGCTCCCTCGCTCGTGGAAGCTGAAATCGTAATCAAAGGTACAGATCTTTCTCACCATACCGGGATACTTCCACCCATCATTCGTGAATAATGTATATACTGACAATGTTTAGAATGTTTCTTGATCGAACTGCAGAACATCTTGAAGCTGTCGCCCTCTCAGATGGAGGATGAGAAGACGCTGCTCGATACGAGTACGGATCAGCTGGGGTTCGACTCACTCATCGCCGTGGAGGTACGCAGTTGGTTTCTGAAGACATTTGATGTCAGAATCGCGACTCTTCAAATGATGAGTGCCAACATTCAAGGCATAATCGACTTGGCCTTGTCCAAGTTGGACAAACCGAGCACACCCCATCTGGTCATGGAGTCTGAGAGTAAGGCGCAACGCAGTGAGGCTTCTAGCCCACTCTCGGAAGCAGATGTGGCGTCCCCGAGCACAGAAGATACAAGACCGTCATCTCGCGGCTCGTTCGATCAGAATGTCCCGCGCCTCATGGAGCCCGAGAGCCCGCAAGAAGACGGGTCTTTGACCCCTTTCTTGAAATCAGACGGGTCTTTGACCCCTTTCTTGAAATCAGACGTGGGGACCCCGGTCACGGAATCTTCCAGCGTGTCATCTCATACCCCAATTGATCAGAAGAGCCCCGGTCTCCCGGCTATTGGCTCAGACAGCACACAGCATTCTCCTCGCTATGGACCGCATCCTCTATCTATTGGTCAGGAGATGTTCTGGTTTGTGGAAAAGCTCATGCCGAACGCCAACCCTCTCAACGGCTTGGTTGTGTACCGTATGACTGGCTCACCAGACGTGGCAAGGCTTTCAGAAGCCGTCCGAATGGTCGGAAAGCGCCACGAGGCGATAAGGACAGCAATATTCGAATCGGAGAACGGCTCGGCCGTGCAAGCTATACTAGATTATGCTACAGTACATCTGGAGACACTGTCAGCCTCTCACGACGCTATTCCGGACATCATACAGAACTTTGCAAAGCATTGTTATCGACTTGACCAAGGCCAGATCATGCGCATTCTCCTTGTCTCAAGCTCGCCTACGGAGCATTATCTCTTCATCGGGTCACACCACATCAACATGGATGGAATCAGTCTTCAAGTCATTCTATCGGAGCTGGAGGCCTTTTACAAGGGAGAGGATTTGCCTGGGTCGCCCTTGCAGTTTGCGGACTTCGCTAAACGTCAGCGTGAGAACAACTGGTCTGACCTGCTATCGTTCTGGCAGAGCGAGCTTTCCGGTATCTCTGAGGAGCTTCCCATCTTGCGGCTTCCCGATGCCGCCAGGGTGCGCCAACCGTTGAACGAGTATCGAAACACGGAGATTAGCCGTCGAGTCAACTCTTCTACGATGGCAAAGGTCCGTGTGAGATGCCGTGAGTTGCGCGTAACGCAATTCCAATTCTACCTCGCCATCTTCCGCGTCCTACTCGTTCGGTTGGCCAAGGTAGATGACATCTGCATTGGTATCGCGGATGCCAACAGGTTAAGCGAAGACACTCTCGAAGCGGTTGGCATGTATCTCAACCTGCTGCCACTGAGGTTCCAATCGACATGCAATCAGAGGTTCTCAGACATTGCTCAGGACACAAAGCAGAAGGTTCAATCTGCCATTGCTCACTCCGCCCTTCCGTTTGGTTTGCTGCTGGAAAACATGGGCAAACTTGGTTTGCGACGATCCGCAGACCATAGCCCAATATTCCAGACGTTTGTCGACTATCGGCAAGGGGCACGAGAGCAACAACCTTTTGGTGATTGCAAGCTCGACGTCAGATACTGGCATGGTACCAAAACCGCTTACGATATCAGTCTTGACATTGTCGACTACAAAGAAGTTCCTACCTACATCCGGCTCGCTGTGCAAGATAGTCTTTATTCGAGAGCGGATGCTGAGCTGCTCATGGATAGCTATATGCATTTGATCGATGTATTTGCGACCTCGGCCAATGAGGAGGATTGCCTGATTGAAAGAGTCCCGATATTCAATGACAATTCGATCGGAACCAAGCTGAGTTTCGCGAAAGGTAAGTTGCGTCTGACCTTGAGATCAGAAAGGACTTGGTAACTGACAGGACCAAACTTCAGGACCAGTTGAGCGTTCCTCATGGCCAGGAACTTTAGCTCACAGGGTTGCTGAGATATCGGCCTCTTATCCTGAGAAGACTGCAATCAAAGATGGAAATGGGACTATTTTAACGTACGCAGGCATGTCGAACAGGGTAGCCGCTGTCGCCAGTGGCATTCGAAAACTCGAGGTTCAACCAGGATCTGTGATTGGGGTCTTCCAAGAGCCAACAGCCGATTTCGTGTGCTCTTTGCTGGCGATCTGGCACGCTGGATGTGTCTATATGCCGTTGGATCCGGCAACTCCGATGCCGCGGCTCGAGACTCAAGTTCATCACTGCTCCCCGCAGCTTATTCTCGTTGACAATCGTCTTGCAGACGCGGCCGCCTCCTTTGGAACTCCACTTCTCAACGTCTCATACATGGACGCTCAGGAGTCCTCTGGAATCGTGTCGGAGGTGTCCGAGACCAAATCCACAGACCCAGCGGCTGTTTTATACACCAGCGGATCGACCGGTGTTCCGAAGGGCATTGTGTTATCCCACCAAAACCTAATCCACGAGCTCGAGTTCTCACCAAAGAACTATGACTTTGGATTCGAAAACGTCTTATGCCAAAGCGCCTTGGGATTTGACATGTCTCTGACTCAGATCTTTACGGCTCTTGCATTTGGGGGCTGCGTACACATGGTAACATTGGCTGAGCGCGGCGATGCCCTGTCTATTACCAAGCGTATCGTTGACGATGGCATTACCTTCACCGGCGCGACGCCCTCGGAGTATCTCTCTTGGTTGGCCTACGGCGTTCCGAGCCTTGGTCAGTCTGGGTCTAGTTGGCGCCGCGCAGTTTGTGGCGGCGAGCCAATCCCACCCGCACTGCTCCGTTCCTTCGCCTCCATCGCCAACCGTCAGCTGAGGCTCTTCAATGCATACGGGCCAACGGAGACAACGTGCTCGGTAACCAGAATTGAGGTACCATACCGAGACCTCGCCCAAGCTTCGTCCAAGGTTCAGCTGACTGCTGGCCATGTGGCCCTGAACTGCTCCGTCTGTATTGTGGACTCGGATCTCAGACCCTTGCCTGTCGGCATGCCTGGCGAAGTTCTTATCGGCGGCGCAAAGGTTGCAATTGGATACCTCGGGAATGAAGCTCTCACACAAGAGCGATTCGTGGACCATGATCACGTCCCAGACGAGTTCGCCGCGGAAGGTTGGGCATCAGTACACCGCACAGGCGACGTCGGCTGGCTACGACCGGACGGCCAGCTTGTCCTTGAAGGCAGGGTTGCCGGCGACTCCCAAATCAAACTGCGGGGTAACCGGGTGGATCTTACAGATGTGGAAGATGCCATCCTTCGTGCTGGACAAGGTCATCTGATTGAGGCCCTGGTCTGTGTTCCGACAAAAGCAGACTCGGGCGATGCCAGTTCGGACTCCGTATTGCTTGCAGCACTGGTTGTTACAGACGCATCTCTCGACCCGCAGAGTCCAGAAGAAAATCAATTTCTCACTGATGTCTTGAGGCGTGTTGATCTACCTCGGGCCTTGAGGCCAACAACAATACGCTCGGCTCCGGCACTTCCCAAGAGCGCCAACGGCAAGGCAGACCGTAAGGCTGCTGCTGAGTTGCTCAGAATACATTTGGATACGTTCGAGGCATCTGATAATGACGAGTCGTTATCAGGAGTCGAGTCACAGCTCCAACAGGCATGGACTGAGGTTTTGCCATTCAACCTCAGTTCCAAGATTCGAAGATCCTCGGACTTCTTCCACGCGGGCGGCAACTCTCTGCTTCTTGTTGCCCTCCAGAGAAAGATTCAAGAGGTTTTTAACGTGAAACTCCCCCTCGTCTCTGTCTTTGAACAGAGCACTTTGTCCAACATGGCTTTGCTGATCGAGCAAAATTCCATCGAGGACACGACAATCGACTGGGACAGGGAGACCGACCCTGAAAACTGCATTCCAGCAGATTATCTCCGGCCTTTTGAAGCATATACTGTCCCCGAACGCGGATGCAGTGTCGTTCTTACAGGAGCCACAGGATTCTTAGGAAAGGCGCTTCTTCGGACACTAGTCACTGACAAGAGAATATCCACCATTCACTGCATTGCCGTGCGAAATGCAGAGCCGCTAGAACCGTTCAAAGACTCCGGAAAGGTCGTGGTTCATCACGGGAACCTCACGTTACCTCGGCTTGGCCTTTCTACTAATATGGCACGATACATATTCTCTACTGCAGACATCATCATCCACAACGGTGCCGACGTGTCCCACTTGAAGTCGTATCGGACTATCAAGAGCGCCAACGTGGGCTCAACTCAGGAGCTTGTGAAGCTGTCACTTGAGCATGGACGACCGATTCCATTCCACTTTGTTTCCACCGCCGGTGTTTCGCTCTACTCGGGTCTGGAGACGTTTGGCGAGGTATCTGCTGCACCGTTCCCGCCACCCACTGACAACTCAGACGGTTACACGGCGTCAAAGTGGGCTAGCGAGAGGTTCTTAGAAAGGGTACATGGGATGACTGAGCTTCCGGTGTGGGTCCACCGGCCTTCAAACATTCACCGGTTCGAGGACCCTCAGTTCGACCTTTTCCAGAATCTGCTTCGATACTCTCGTCTTATGAAGGCAGTTCCTGCATTTTCCAGCATGCAAGGCCATCTAAACCTAGTCGAGGTAGTGGATGTTGCCAAGAGCATTCACAACGATATTTTCATTGACGCGAACTTGGAGGTCAACTACCGGCACCGGATCAGCGGAATCAATCTCTCGATGGATCGCCTAGCGGATTTCGTCAGCGACCAAGTCAAATCATCCGTCGAGGTCCTTGACGTGCATACTTGGTCAGCTAGGGCGGAGTCTCAGGGTCTGTCAGAAACGGTTACTGAATGGTTTAAGAAAGTTGCATTTGGAAGCCCTGTCAGGTATCCTTTACTTGTCACTGATAGAGATTAGAGATACAGTATATTAGGCAATCTTCTAGGTTAGATTCTATATAAAATTGGCTGGCTTAATTGTTCCCTGACTGTTATTAAAGTCATATCTATGCTTAATGCAGACTAGGGCTGGGGTATTTAGGTAGCTAGGAATAAGAAGAAGAGGAAAAAGCAACTTTGTCTACTATTGAAGACTTTATCTAAGAACCAAGACGTCGTTATGTTCACATGTCTGATTTGGTACCAGTTGAATACCGCCGTTAATAACCTTGTCGCTTGTTACGACCTAACAAGTTATAGGCAACGTCAGCCCCACTAAGGCAGAAGCGTAGGCAGTATAGCCTTTGTAACAATAGGACAACCAGGGGCGTCTTACAGATAACTCCCTAGAACAGAGGAACTATAGTGTAAGTTATATAAAGATAATATAGCTAGGATATATTAAATACACTCCTTAGGGCGACGGTCGAGAACGAGGATCGAAGCAGATATCTTGCCATTGAAAAGATTGATCTGATGTGGCTGAAAGCCTCGGGGATTGATGTAGAAGAGGTGCTGGAGCATAGAACCGAGGCTTCGGTGAGGAGATGGCGTCAGGAAATGAAAGAGAATGAACAGAACGTGAGGGTGAAAATAGAAGGAGAGAGTGGTCGATCTGAAAGCCTGTATTGAGGTGTATTTCGACGTTGTGTACTCGGTACCGTTGCGGTCTCTCGACCAATGCCATAATCATTGGATACTGGACACACGGTATATCTGCCGGGAGTCCGAATCATAGCCTTTGATTCCATCAACGATGAAGAAGACTCCTTCATTTGATTATTCAGCAAACCATGGCGAAAACAGAGACTTATGGAGCTTCCAACAAGAACAGTTTGAAGAAGTGAGTATTACATAACGTTCCATCAAGTAATGGGGGGTTAAGCAGTTAGACAGTATTGGATTGTCTTTAGACGGTGGTGTGCCAATGTGCTGCTATACAAAAGCACTACAAACTCACACATTTGGATTGGAAGGGCGGGAAGCTTTGTCCAATGTTCACGCAGTTCTTCGAGTCGGAAGTGCCCGTCGGCATGGGGGGCGAAGCAGAAACATTGGCCGTTTATTAAAAGGCGCGTCGTCATTGGTCAGTGTCGGGGATGGCTGGCGGGGGGAGCTCTGGCGCGGTTTCACCTGGGAGCTCCCGCTAATACCGCCGCGGGATCATGGCTCTGGCCGTCAGCCAAAAGACGTCAGCCAGCCAGTCGTACGACTTTTGTTCCCCTCCCCTCTCCCGACAAACTCGTCAAATCATCAGTCTTGCCATTCGCTCTCGTTCCAGCCTAGCCCCGGCTGTCGTCCTCTCAAAATGGCCGGATATTTCTTACTCGTGATCCCAAGCATCCTCATGAGCTTGCTGGTCTCCAGAGCGCCTTTCATGATGACTACCACGCCGCAGACGACGAAGCCGTGGGCCGACGGGCCCATGAAGCTCATTACGACGCCTCAGTACGAGACGAAAAAGGTTCGTTCGTCATTTGCCGCCCCCAACTCACGTGCATGTGCATGCCAATTGAAGCTCTCTTCCCCCTCACTCGTAGATGCTCCGACTGACTGGCTATTCGGACAGACCGATATCTTTACGCTGGGCGCTACTCACATGGCCTTGCTGCACAACTCGATCTTGCGCGGTTATAACTCCATCTACCAGCAAGCGCCTTACATCCAAGAGGCCGACAAAGCCGACTTCATCGGGTACTCGCAGACTTGGCACAAGTTCGTCAAGTCGCACCACGATGACGAGGAGGAGTCCCTCTTCACGAAGGTCGAGGACCTCTTGAACGACAAGAACGTCTTTGCAGAGACGCACAAAGAACACGGTACGTACCTGGTGTCCTCCACACGACCCGAGAAACAATCCCCGCTGACAAGCGACTTGCAGAATCCTTCCTGGCCGGCCTCGCCGAGTTCGACAAGTACCTGACATCGCTGTCGTCGCCCTCCGTCTTCTCCGGCGCCAAGCTGCTCGACATCATGAAGGGGTTCCAGGAGCCGTTCGAGAGCCACTTCCACAGCGAGATCAGCACCATCGCCGGTCTGGCGGCGCACCCGAACGCGCCGAAGGAGGGGACACCGGAGGCGGCGAATGCGAGCCTGACGTTCAAGAAGTGGGGCAAGAGCACCGTCACCAAAGCGGGCACGGCGGACGTCGTGCCGTTCTTCTTGCTGAACCTGGACCGGACGGTCGAGGACGGGTTGTGGGCTAACTGGCCGCCGATGCCGGCGCCGATTAAGTGGGGTCTGATCAACATCGCGGGTGCGTGGCATTGGGGGTGGTGGAAGTTTGCTAGCTGCGACGCGGCCGGGCAACCGAGGGAGCTGTACGCGCTGCAGTCTTCCGGGACGGAGGACAAGACCAAGGCTGAATTGTAAAATGGGATTTGAGATAGACGGACTGCTGTAGTTGGTCACCTGTGGGACGAAAGTGCAGCGTTTGGGGGTGGCTCGACACCTGCTTACTTGTAAGAGAAGTACGAAATATTGAGATGAGCACAAAATAGTTGGATTACCCAATTCAATCGTGTGATATCCGATGGATGCTTCCTCGCCAAAACTTTCGCCAGGGTCCGTGTTGGGATTTGTCCCGGATAGAGACAGACAGGGAGGCCCCAACCCGGCAACGGGGCCTCTTGTCGGCGCAAGCCGAGCGATCGTCGTCGAGATGGATTTTATATAGTAGTATAGCTCTGTCGCCGTTTGCAAGAGGGCGTGGGTGTGGGCGAGAGCCAGGAACCAGTGTGTCGACGAGACTGCGACCTGAATGTTAGGCTTGGGGGTGTAGCAGGTTTCCCTGTCGAGCTCGTATCTGTCCTCTTGGCACTAAGCGCCGATCTCTGATCTCCCCACCATCACTCTCTTTCCTTGGTACAGAATACCAGATAGAAGCAGCGGTCGGCGATGTAGGGCATTTGGTGAATCAAGACGGGATCAATCGGGATAGGCGGTAACTCATCGTGCAACGGCGGGATGGTGGCCGTTGGTACCCAGCGATGAGGCGTCCACCCAACGGGTTGCAGACAGTACGAGTAGTGTAATATGCAGACGCACCGTGCCGGGGCGGCGGAACCCTCGTCTCGTCCCCCCCCCTCCCCAATGAACGGCCAAGGCGATTGGGGCTCTTGGTCGCTTGCTCGCCGCAACCACGACGGAATGGAATGTTGGACCCCTAGTTGAGTATCAGTTCCCGTGGTTCACACGATTCACACCTGTGCAGGTGGGCAGGCATCGCGTGGTCCAAAGTAGAGTATGTTGCAAATGTTTTCAAAGCATCCCTGATGGCGTCCCGCATGTTGGTTGTTGTACAGCGCCAAGCAAGACGGCAGGTGGGGGGTACAAGGTATGCTGATGATTACCGGTAGTTGAAAGGCCGGAGGAAAACTCACGAGTGCCATTTTCGCGGTATACGGCAGGCAGATCGTGTTTCTTCTTCGTCACGATCAGCTACATGGTGAGCAAAGCCAGATGCCTAGGACGGGAAGGTCGGTTCTTCAGCACTCATGCGGTGCTATCCTTGGTGGCGACATTTCCCGAGAAGACGACGAGAACATTGTCACACCTTGTGCTTCTGGTTTCTAAGTTGGATGTCTCATCAAGGCGCGGGTACGGACCAAGTCGCTGCTGCAGGTTGAAGCTGGGAACTTGTGGGAAGCATCTGGTTCTGTCGTGCAGAAGTCAGACGTGGGGTGGAGAGAGCAAGGAGGGGCCGATGAGGGATCCTGCCATTTGAGGGCTGCAATTGGACGGGTGGCCTGGTAAACTTGCTCAAACACACGCAGGATGCGTGAGGCAGAGCTAGGCAGGAAGCGATAGTATTTTCTTGGCGGCAGGAACAAGCTCTTTTTTTTTTCTTTTTTTTTTTTTTTTTTTTTTCGCGTGTCGTCTTATTCTCTCTCCTTCTTACCGACCTAGGTAGGTAGATACCGATACCCAGGTAGGTGCCTAGGTACCTTGGCAATGTACATCCCGCCTTCCGCATGCGCTTGCATGCCTTCTTCCTCGACCAAGTACTCCGTACTGTTGTACGTATGTATGTGCGCTGTCTTAAACATTGGTAGGCACGCAGTACGACACCACCGCTGGTTTGAGAGAATAAGAGAACATTTGCTACACAAAAGCCCATGGTAGATCAAAGTATGATAATGGCGGACCCACTCTAATGTGCAGTAGCCTGGATTTACCTTCCATTGCGTGTCCCCCCCCCCCCCCCCCAGGATCGCTAGTCCTGGATGCGTGCATTGGCTAATAATACCTACGTTAGAGATCTCGTCGAGCGGAGTTCCTAGTCTGATATTAGCCATCGACACATCCACGCCTATGCATATATCTAAGCCTGCACTGGCCATCTCCACCACTTACATACAACAGAAAGAAGGAACAGAGAGCCAAGAAAAACAGAAGGGCTGCAGAATCTTATATCGCTTACTTTCTTGGACCCTTGCTTGCCTTTCGGGAAGGTCCCTGTCCCCGTGTCTCCTCACTCCTTCCCATGGAAATCTAGCGCAAAGTGGGTCCTCGTGGCTTTCTATCCATCGCAGCAACGAGGAAAGAACGTCTCTCCCGCTACCCTGGGAGCTTAGCTTAATTTTCCGAAAAGGGTCTGCCTACTTACTTGGGCACGTACCTATATAACTCTTCTTCCCGACTCAAGAACTTTGTTTCCTTCTTCCTTCTCCAGCTTCGCCCCCTGATCGACAACAACAAACGGCCCGCTCCCTGCTATCTCGGACGTCATCGCCAATCCCTGTTCCAAGAAGCCCGTCTCGAATACCCCGGTATCACGGCATCTAAACATATCCCTCTTATCTTTCGAGTTCGGCAATCTGTTTACCCAACGATGGATCACGGCGGCATGACGATGGCCACTACCACGGCCCCCATGGCTGCCACCGGCACCATGAACATGCCCGCGGTCACCAGCAGCAAGCCTGCCATGTCCATGGGAGGAATGGGAGGCGGCGGTTGCAAGATCTCTGTAAGTATTCGACGCCTAATACGAAGTCGAAACGGGTGCTTTAAGCGTCTTTCAATGTAAACCGCAACATCATTAACTAACGCCTTCTCCTTAGATGCTTTGGAACTACAACACCATCGGATCGTAAGCAACATCGGCACACGCTCGGCATGGACTATGCACTAACAAGCTTGCCTTTAGCTGCTTCATCAGCAGCTCCTGGAAGATCACCTCCAACGGCATGTTCGCCGGCTCCCTCATTGGCGTCATCCTCCTCGTGATACTCCTCGAATTCCTCCGCCGCGCCGTCAAGGAGTACGACCGATACCTCATCCGCACCCACAAGGCCCGCTACGCCGATGCCGGCGCCGCCTCCCCAAGATCTGTCAGCGCCGACGACCACGGCAAGGGTCCCTCAACCTCCGCTGCCGCCGTCAGCTCCACCGTCGTCCCGCGCTTCCGCCCCACTGTCCTCCAGCAGGCCGTACGCGCCCTCCTTCACGTCTGCCAGTTCGCCGTCGCCTATTTTGTCATGCTGTAAGTCTTCGTCTGCTGGTTCGCGTGCCACCGCCTATGAGACAGTACTGACTCTGTCGGTCCATAGGCTCGCCATGTACTACAATGGTTACATGATCATCTGCATCTTCATCGGCTCTTACATCGGTGCCTTCATCTTCCAATGGGAGACCCTTTTCGATGAGCCCACTTCTGCCGCCAGGGAGGCCACCGTCTGCTGCGGTTGAATAATGGGGTCCAGCACCAATCGGATTTTCTCGACACCAGAGTAAAACGTCGAGGAGGAGGCACAGTGTTATGTGCCTTGCGACAGCTGGTTGTCTTGATGCCCTTTCCGATAATCCGTGGTTATTAATGAGAAGAACGTTTTGAAAAATATTTTTGCATAAAGTGACTCTCGCTCTATTCTGCCTGTAGTGCAGGGTTGCTTATGACCCCGACCTCTGCAACTTTGTGCTACTCTTTCAAAGCCAGAAATGGAGAAGATGATCATTTCATAGCACACAAATATCTCATCGATCTTCTTGGCCGTCGATCTCACATCAGCTGGCCTGTATTCCTTCCGCGTGAATTGCTCGCTAGAGTGGTCACTATTCATCATCCGGTCGACAACAGCTTTTGTCTTCATCAGTTAGTTTTTTTTCTTTTTCTTTTTTTTCGTTTTTTCTTTCTTTTTTTTTCAAATTATGCAAATTCCCTCAGACTCGGGAAGCCGGTCTTGGTACATAGTTCAAAACATACCAATCAGATAATCTGATCTCCTCCGTGGAACACCCCTTGAAAACTGCCGAGGTACAGATATGATGATGAGCTTCTATAAAACCATCAGAGTTGGACCTGTTCTCAACAGCTTCCCAATTTCTACAGATAGATGTAGAGGCTGGAAACACAGCCGGATAGGTAACCTTATCTTTCACAAGGTATTATTAGTCCATGATACCCTTCCGTCAAGACTTGTTTTTACTACGACAATGGCCCCTCACTTTGAGACGGTTCTTTCGACCCAAACATCCCGCGTGGAGAGGTCGAAAAAGGCGACTTTGACAAACTTCCAAACATTGCTCCCCCCTCCCCTCGGCGGTACCATCATACAAGCCTGACGGACCACCTCCACCGAAACTTGTCTTGTTTGCACCGCTCGATTACATAGGAGCGAATAACTCACTTATGCCTTTTGGCGGCATTGCCGTGCTTCCAGATGTCGCTCCTCCAAACAGACCCCCAGTGGAACGTTTTGACGAGCCCGACGAGCCAGGTTCACCGAAAAGTGTTTTGTCTGAAAAGTTAGGTGTCGAAGTAGCGAATAGGCCTTTTGACGGCGGTGCCGTACTTCCAAACAGTCTGATACCGGACGGGGCTTTCGGAGCAGCCGGCTTGGCGGTTTGGGCTCCTGGACTCGATCCCTTCGCGGCTGACGTTTTTTGTAGCTCTCTGGACGGTAAAGAGGGGGATTCAGCAACAGCAGTGTTGTTGGCGCGCTTGCTGGCTGGCTTCGACGTGGAGCTCTTTGTGGAGGCTTCGGATCTACCGTCAATCGAGTCTGAAAGATCAGACGAACCTTGCGAGTCGCGTTAGAGTCGGATCAAGCTAGGAAACACGGAATCCTGGTGACTCACCGGGAGTCTTGGACCCTGCAGATGTCGGAGTGCGATGCCGAGACGGCGGCGGTGTTACTCGCGCGGAAAGAGAACCTGATGACTGCTCAGCACGGCTCGAACCGTTGTCAATATATGGATGATTATGTTATCAAACTCACCGACCGCTGTCTCCTTCGGCTTGTATCGACGGCACTGCTGAAGGCCCTGCTTGAGGAGCTTGATTTCCTCTCGGAGCTGGGACCGGTAGTTTTGGACCTCCTCGGACTCGGCAGCGAGCTCCATCAGCTTTTCGTCGTCCATTCTATTCACGAGTTTCGGTGAGAAGATAGCGGGCAGATCCTGGATCAGACAGCTCTCTATGACGAGGTTGATGAGGTTGTCCGTAAACGTCCGCAGTGCCATCTGGAAGGGCCGGGTCAGCCTGTTCGTTCATTTGTCTTGGGGGATATCAACCCCCGACTTACATTGTAGAAGGCTTGCATCGTGTATACGATGCGCCCAATCCCAAACTCCTTGTTGCCGTCGGATGAGTCACTATCACTACTCTCGTCGCACTCATCGATAATCTTTTGCATGGCTTCATGGAAGTCGGCGTCGAGAGGCAACGCGTAACCCTCTTTGAACGGCCTCAGAATCTCATCCAGCTTGGCCGAGAGCACCTGTTCCTTCTCGTCAAAGAACTGATCCACGGACGTGGACAGGATGGCGCGTGTGGTACTGGTTGATCTGGACGGTCCGATGATGTGCTCGAAGGCTTCGTCCACAAAATCCTTGACAACGTCCGTCACCTTGATAAGATGCACACTGGCAAGCCCCTGCCAGGGCTTTGACTGATTCTGGAAAAGCTGGACCACGATTTCCATGTTGGCGTATCCCGGGAACTCTGTACCCTGATTCGCGGCCGCCTGGCCCTCTAGCTGCTTGGACAGCTTTCTCCAGGTGATTTCGTTAGGGTGCTTGATGTCCCTGTTATACTTTGCCAGAAGGTCTGAGAGATATTCAGGTGCCTCGTAGTTTTTAGCCAACCCGTCATGACTGTCGACGACCTTCTGGGCCGCCCCATAGTCGAGCAAGACATGTCTGATGGCCCGGTTGAAGTTTCGGAGCCTGGAACGAAGTTTCCGCTCCGTTCCGTTGAAGCCGCCAAAGAAAGGGTCGTTGTAATGTCCCCGGATGCCGTCGTGGACCAATCTCTGGAAGTTGCCGGCGATGTCGATGAGGTAAGCTCTCATGTCTTCGGTTGTACATCTCGGTGTCCCCAACTTCTCCAGCTCCCCCTCCCGCTCGGACAGATTGGCCTTGATTTCTTCCAGGACTGCTGGTAGGCTTCCCTTGATATGATCGTGGAGAATGTGACTCAGCTTCGTCCGCAGAGCAGCGACCCCGCGGTTTGCTGCGGGGATCGAGGCCCAGGCGCTCGATTTGAAGAACTCTTCTTCGACCGTATCGCGAGGGCCCGTGTTCTTCTCATAGTCCGCCCGGTTGCGCAGTACATGCCAACCGAGCCTCAGGTTGTTGGCGCTGTCCCGTCCTTGAACAACCTGCAGGTACTCTTTCTCATCTGAAGAGCCAGGGGGAAGAAGGTCTGGCTTGGTTACGATACCAAGAGTCCGCGTCTTGGTGGGGCCGTGCTTCTCGGCCTCTCGCATTACAACTTGGTTAGCTAGCTGGTTGTTGGCGGAGATGACGGTAAGAATGATGCTGTTGGGTTTCTTCATGTAGTTTTCTACAAGATTCCTGACAAGCTTCATCCCCCCAGTGGATTGATTTGCTGTTTCGGTGTGGAAAATTCCCGGGAGGTCGACTAGGGTAAGGGGGTACACGTCGGGGCTTTCGATCTCCAAGCGCAAGACGCTCTTGGAGAAACCGCGGCCTGTCTCGGGTATATCCATTGCCTCTCTTGCCTCATTGATGATCTTGCCGATGTCGTCGTGGCTGAAGTCCGGAACCTGCAACGAAACGTCCGGCTTGGATTTGTGCGCGAAATGAACGGTTGCCGTCACACAACGACGGCTGCTCGGGCGGAGGACTAGCTCGGTTAGGAAGCGGGTGCAGAGCCCCCCCTGGACTGGGAAGCGGACATGGGAGATGGCTTCTAGCACAGACGACTTTCCGGATGACTGGTCTCCAACGACGATAATCTGGGGCAGGTTCACGATTCTGCCTACGCCCAGGGAAGACAGTTTGTCGGCGGCGTCAAAGAGAGTCCTGGTCTCAGCACTATTCAGCTGGTCAAGAGCTGCAGAGTCAATAGTGATTTTCGCCATGCTGATTTTCGAGTGTAAGAACGTGGTGCTATTGTATGAAAAATCTATGAAGAATGCATGAGCGTGGCCGGGAATTTATGTTCGTTGCTCTTTAAAGCCCAGAGCTGTAAATTTACACTTCACAGCGGAGGACACATCTTCTCATTGGCGAATTTGAATGTTCTGTTGGTTGTTGGAACGAGCTGCGCAGCCTGAGAAGTCACCTTAGCCTGAGACAGCTGAAATGCAGGAGTTCCAACACCCGTCACAATAGCCGCGGTGATAAGGGCAGTCTGATGGGTGGGATGTATACAGAACGCGACAGGCTTGGCCACTCAGAGAATCCCTAGTCGCTCTGATTAATTCACAGAGGGGGGGCTATTCACGAGATTCCATGACTGTGTTCTAATATCTGGAAACCTTCCAATGTGGTGTAGAGTATCGGGCATGATGCTTATACTGTGTTTATCCGACTGTGTTAGAGTAAAAATCAATATGTACCTTTGTGACTTTGATAGGGATCGCCTAACAAACAAGTTCCACAGCGGAAATAATATCTATATCTTTGTGCTCAAGAGCCACCTTGTTCTAGCTTCTCTTCCGACTTCTGAAGCGGGATGCGTCTTGTGTATCATGGTGGCATGTTTTGATTGGCTTGTTGGTGCGGTCGTCAGGACTCCTGATGAAACTGCCAGGGTCGGTTCAGAAGGGTAGCAGTACAGGCGAACACGGCGAGTGCAAAGTCTTGAAGTCTTGCAGTCTAATAATAGTTGATGCCAGTCCTGCCGGGTGTTGGTTGTGCTGTTGAGAACCACGGGGACAATCGAATCGGGATTCAATGTTTCATTTCTAATCCCGGCAAGGCGGATTTGCTGTTTCTCTATCCGTTTACGGTTATAAAGCGCCGGGTCTCTCACAAGGCTTGCCCGATTGGGGAGTAGTAGGTGTCCGGCACATCGGCCGGCGGCAAAGTCTTCTGCAAGACAGAAGCCCAAGACTATTGGTTTTCCCCTGAAGAGCCATGTCGACTTCTCAAGATGCAACGCACGACAGGGGATATCTTCCCAAATGGAATGCGCCTGTTGGAATGCCAAAAATGGCAAATTAGCAGAGCCTGCTAGCCGCCATGTGTGCATTCAGGTATCCAGAGCGTTCTGATCAACCAGACGGGAGGAAGGCCTCGGTGGCCCGTGATGCAGCCGTTAATGTTCGGCAGCGGCACAGCGGCGGCATTCGTAACACGGAGGTGCTCTTGGCTGTTGAGACAGTTTGAACACCCGTGTACAGTGGAATCGGCCAATTGAAAGTTGTTAGAGCATATCCGGTCTGTAGCGCTTCCGACTTGAGAGGTAACTCGAATATTAGCACACACTCTTGGGCTAGAATCGTCACTGAAAAGTACGTAGGAACTCGGGCATTGCGGATGTTAACTCGTTCGGCCTGAATGGGACAATTGCCAAGGAGCGGTACTCCGGTACATTACTAGGTTCGGCCAAAGATGTGGCTCGTTGAACGTTGACGGAAAACGTGTGATCCGGCTCAAGCTTGCTGTACTAAATTGTGCTGCATCATCATTCGTTCTAACACAACGGACTGTAGGGAGCCAGTAGACCATCCTTTAGTTAATTTAGTTTGGTATATGGTACACCGCTGAGTTCCAAGGCTTCAGGAATGACGTATCTTTGCCACTCTTGGGATTAAAGGTTGATATAAACGATATCCCTAAGTTTTGGCGACTACCGTAAGATCAGGATTGAGACTAAGGCCACTTGTCGGAGTTGTAATTAAGGTGCGAGCAATTGACCTCTGAATGCTCAACACCTGTGTCACCTGCTTCGAGATCCAGATCCACGTTCTTCTTGCGAACAGTTTCGATCTTGCACTATGAACTCACGTGCGTATACATGCCGAGTCTTCCCTCGTACACCACCGGGTATTTTCGGAGGCCTAGCCCGAATCGAACAAATCAGCACTGTTACTTGATATTACCTACTCAGTATCCAACTCCCAATGCATAAGCACTAGTTTTAGGCGACATCACTACAAATACAAACGTGGAGAGATCCGCGCTGGTAGACCACCTACCCCATGCACGCTGCTTGCTCTCGCTATAATGCCAATATCTTATCTTATGTCTTTGCTGTTTGGACATAGTCCTGGAACCGGTGCAGAAATTTCAGCATCGGCTTCTTCCGATACTCGGTTAGTTCCCGAAAAGGACACCTCTGATACTTTGACGCTTCCGGATGGTCGAAAACTTGGCTTTGCACAGTTCGGATTACCAACAGGTAAACCCATATTCTACTGTCATGGCCTCCCAGGCTCCCGCGTTGAGGCTGGGCATCTTCACGAAGCAGCCTTGGACGTAGGCGCACGCATCATTGCGACAGACCGACCAGGTATGGGTTTGAGCACATTTCAACCTCAGAGAAAGCTTGTCGATCATCCAAAGGATCTGGAACACCTTGCCGCTCACCTTGAGTTGCAAGAATACGGCGTGTTGGTACGCAACATGTCTTCTTTACATCACTGGTAGCTCGTTGCTCATACCTCTACTCAATAGGGTGTATCAGGTGGTGGACCGTATGCGCTTGCATGCGCGGCATCGATGCCTGACAAAAACCTCAAATGTGTATCCATTGTATGTGGCATTGGCCCGCCAGATATCGGCATGGCCGGAGCGGGCTGGTTCCACTGGCTTGGATTCACATACGGGTGGCGGTACACTCCTCGCCTTGCCGGGTGGTTTTTCCACCGGCAAGGCCGCTTTCATCTGTCGGATGAAAAGAGGCTCGCAATGCAACTGGAGGAAGCGGAGAAGAACAAGGCAGCTTTCCCGAAGCAAGAGCTCGGGATCTGGACAGACAGTGAGATCGTGGGACGCATCGTCATGACGAGTCGACAGTACTACGCTCAGGGGATCGATGGCGTGAGTTATGACGGCTACCTGGTCGGTACGGAGTTTGGTTTCGACATAGAAGATATTCGTTCTGATCTGCCAGTGCAGCTGTGGTATGGCAAAGGCGACACATTTGTTCCTTTGAACCATGGAAAACAGATCACTAAACGGCTAGGGAACAGCGCCCATCTTAGGGTCGAGGATGATACACATGCGAGTATCTTCTTCAGGTGGAGGAAAGAAATTTTGGCGGACCTAGTAAGATGTATATAAGATTAGCGCCACGGGATTTATATGATTTAGACTAGTTAATTATCGTCGCTTTAAATAGAACCTCACTTTGTCTCTCGTTAATCATATTAGGTCTACAATTCTTTGGAAGAAGTGTTCACCAAATCTCGAGAGTATGACGGTTCTGCATATTGGTCAAAAGTTGTTTTACTGCGACTATCCCCTAGTTACAGCTGAAAAATGAAATTGTCCACTCAATGCGCAACCAGTTTCAGCAACGGAGAAGATATGCTTGTATACAAGTCCGCCTAATCTCTGGAGAACTGGGTACAGCGACAAGATGCTCTCGTCTGGGGTATCTGACTGTATGATATACCGGTTTCGTGTTCAACAGTTCCTCGCATAGCATTCACTTGAAACTGAGTATGACACTTAGGCATTAAGTAGGTTGCTGGCTCATATCAATCTCGTCCTGCTGCCGCGTCTGCCCTCCCTGGCCCCCCGCCCCTCAAGGACATCGCGGAGAACCTGACGGACCTCAAGATTGGGTACTCTTTTCTGGACCACGAGGTCGATACGTCGTGGTCGCGCCCAGCAAGCACATACCTCGAAGAGAAGGCGGCCGACCGGGAGACCCCATTTGGGTGCTTCTGCGTCGATGGAGTCCCGAACAGTGTCGCGATCACGAAATACCAAAAGGTCACCAACGCGTTCCTCCAAGCCCTCTTGCCAGCGGTACATGCGACATGCGGACAGCCAGCCTGAGGACTAGAGATCATCTCCCTCCGCGTCGAGAATACACCTTGCGGCGGGCCTCGCAACGTGTTCGTGAGGGATGGGCTTGTCACGATCTTCGCCATCTACCATAAGGGATATCAGAAGACGCGATTTCTCTCGTTATCCCTCAGCACCATCGTCATCCGGTATCCCTCGATTGTCCGGTCATTCATCAACGCTTTCTCTGCCCTCAACTACAGAGTTCTCTTATGTAGAGGGCCATCTTACATAGTCTTGCTGCACCAGGCTCGGAGATTCTTATTGGTCGAGGATGAATGACCATGTTGTGCGATCAGAATCTAGCCCATATGGCTGATAACAAGGCGCAGCCATGCATCCCGCATGTCCATCTTCGCTTGGGCGCTCACATCGGTATCAGTAACTACGCCAGCTTCTCCCTCACGAGGCACAACAGCTGTCAGCCCCAAGCCAAGGCTCTACCAGAGTCTCCCTACATTGATGTTTTTTCCTGTCGGCGCATCGTTGCCAATCGTTCTTCGGCCCTAAGTGACACATGAAGCCTATCAGCGAGGCCTGTACCCTGGCTGGATGTCACTCTTCATGCTGGAGCAGAGCCTCTAGGCCACCAAAGGGAGGAATCATATAGCTTGTGTTTGGCCTTTGAATCTAGAATCAGACCAGTGCATCGGTCCATCAACGACTGGCTTTTATACTCAACGGCAGATGTACTTGACGAGTTTCGAAATACCATCGACAAAGAGGACGTATTCTTGAAATGCCTTATTCGGTACGCGGAACTTGCCCGGTGACACTTTTAAGTTTCCATCGTTGGCATCTTCTCATTGAATTATTACTCATATCTGCGCTGAAATGGTCACCCGTCCTCAATACCAAAGAGAGCGTTCATATGGCCCGTTTGGGCGAGTTGGATAATATATTGCATTCAAAGCGTCAAAAATACGCGGCCTCAACGGGCCTGGGGGACACTGAGAATGAAAACAGTCCAACTTTCTGGGAGGCTTCACTTCTCCATCTAAGCTGCGCCTATCACTTTGTCCCTTTCATTGACTAGGATTTGCGAAACCTTGCCTGGGCACAAGAAACACGGATTCGAGTAGAGCTCTTGGGCGATGTCTGTCTTTCTGGCCCTGACAGGCTTTTGTCACAGACTCACGATTTTGAGTTGTGTCTCGACGTGTTTGTCAAGCTGGGCGTAGATCTTAACAGCGAGTGTACGGGAACGTGGTCTCTTGCCCCTTGGCTGACTTTTATTTCCAACGAGTTGGCGTATGACATTGGCCTGAAGATGCCACATAATCACCCAACCGGATGCGATCGGAAATTCAGCTGTGGTATGATACAGTTATTAGAACTCGATGCAGATCCGAGAATACATCTTGTGTGGCGAGCAGGAAACAGACTTGGTTTCGAGGTCATTCGGACTACTGAATAGTTTTATTTATCCTCATTGACTTTGGTTGAACAATTACGACCGATGCATTTTAATTAACAAGCAGTTTATGCACAGCCGCTCATCCGGCCGGGCCGAGCGAGGGTTGCTGGGGTTGAAATAGCATTGTCAAGGAGATTGCCGTCGGAGAACGTACCACCTCCCATCAAATGAGTAATGCGCTTTTGAGTAGCCAAAAATTCCCTACGACGAGATTAATGCAATCAAGTCTAACCTATCACCGTTTAGTCTGGGCCGTTTTGTAGACCACTTTAAATTCTTCCATGCGAAGCTTAAGAGATTGTTGTTTCTAAACAAAAAGTGTGCTTACAGCTAGTTAGCTTATTAATTACGAAATGCTTATTAGAAGGAATCAATATAGGAGTGTCTGGAATAAGTTCAGGTCGCTAGTACCGTATCCTCTCAGTAGATTCGTACACGGCACAGACCACCCACTAGGCCTATTTCAAAGGCGGTCAGCCAGCCTAGCCACCCACCCACCCACCTAACCCTAACCCTTGCCACCAAACTCGCTGCTGACGTTGACTAACCCCTGCGTTTGCCCTGAGAGGATACGGTAGGTTCATAGGGCAAGACCCATTACTCCACTTGACAGGGGGCTTTCGATTATCCAGGCGACGGCTTGAACAGCCCATGCTGTTTGATTAACTTACGCATACTACTAATAAAAATCGCCTGATTAAGACAAATTTCTCGCGTAGTATTTCTTGCCTGTGTACATATAACACACTGTTTGTCCACTATTCGCCACAGATGTGAACAGTGAGGGTGTTCATGGTGACCATCAGTCAACCAAGTTGACATTTCCAGAAACCGGAACAATGCAGTTAGCTTACGTCAGCCATGTCTTTTTCCTTCTTGCTCTGGCCTACCTTTCTACCAACGCCCAGGCTAGGATCACCATTGGCTATCGCACGGCTTCCAGAGTAAGTCATTTCCTTCACTATTCCACCTTCAGAGCGTTGCTAAGTACATCGGATGCCTCTAGGAGGAAGCTGTGCGAATCAACGCCAAAAATACACCTGTCAGAAACACAGCCTATGACAATAAACCTGGCAGCCAGATTGGGAATGGTATCTACTTAGGTAGGAGCTGTGTATGAATTCTCTCTTCTGCAGTCTAACCAAAATATAGGTTCCACGCCTGCTGGATGGCTCGGATCTCCGATCAAAAGGAACTGGTATTGCGTATTCCAAGCAGATGAAGCTCTTTTTATGGCGGCCCCCAAGTTGTGGATTCCGAAGTCCTATAAGAGAAACAGCTTCCTGAGAAGCTCGAAATCTGTACAACTCTGGAATCATGGGGAGATGGCGATTGCCAAGTACGTTCGTAAATCCAACTTGAATGCTGATAAGACGCTGCGCTTCTCCTACATCGAGGCGCATGGGACTCAGTTACAAATGGTCATTCCAACTAAGATGGCGAATGCAAACTCGTTGGGCTTTTTCGCCAAGTGTTTTGCGACCAAGTCAGAATTGCTTAGCTACGAAAGCAAGCCCGTAAACTGGTGGTCTTTGGTTATCAAGGGCGACCCTGGACCTCCTGAACGTCCTGGACGTCCTGGGTAGTGCGCGCTCAAGGGCATAATACTGGACGATGGTGAAAGCTCAAGAAAAGTTGCTCTCAGTAGACTATAGAAGGAAGTCACTCATAACATGGGCTGAGGCTATTCTGAATCCGAGCTATGTGCACTCGGTTACAAGCCCGTTGGGAGTGAAAGGGCATCCACCTACATCACATGACATAGTTCTCGGTAATGAAGTTTCAGCACCATCATTCACCATTTCTTCTCAGTGCTGCAGTTTCTCGTTAGGATACGCAGCAAGCCATCGCAGGGCCCTCCCGTCAAGTGATAAGCGACTTATCGCCAGTAGCTAAAACTAATACTACTAGAAACGGCACGAGAATGCACGATCGTATTAGCTAGAGCCTAGAAGCTTGGGACCGGTGCTCACTCCTGACCCAGAGTGCAGTGTTGACCATCGAAAATTCTATTTTCCCAAGTACATTTGGATTGAGATCTGTCTTCTTTGTTACGTTCGATTATTTTTCTTCCACTTGCAACCTGATATCTCCTAAATCTTTATTTGATGAGAGATATGTCTTCTTGTACAGTCTTGTTGGTCTCTTTTATTTAATTCATTGAAGTCTTCATACTGTCTACGCAAGAACAATCCTAGGTTAATCCCGAATCTCATGCCAAATGGATTGTCGGAACTAAACAGGTCAATCAGTATCGGCCATATCGTCTCCTGTGACGGACTCGGAATGTCATTGGATGATACAAAATCTCGTCTTTGACGGTCGTCAACGTGCAAAACATTGAAAACAACGGTGACCACGATCTGCTGTTACAGCGCGTACGCAAAATCCACAGAACAAACCCCGCTCTCTACGTGAAAACGATGCCGCCGTCCACAAGCTGCGTCTGGCCGGTGACGTGGTCGCTGTCCGGCCCCGCCAGGAAGCTCACGAGCTTGGCCACGTCCTCGGGCACGCTCGTCCGCTTCTGGGCGATGAGGTCGCGCGACTTCTTAAAGGTCTCGCCCTTCTTGGCGCCCGTCCGCTCGCCCATCTTCTCGTCGATGAGGTCCCACATGGCGGTGCCGACGATGCCGGGGGCGTAGGCGTTGACGGTGATGTTGTGATCGGCGTACTCCATGGCGCTGGCCTGGGTCAGGCCGCGGACGGCCCACTTGGAGGCCGAGTAGTGCGAGAGCAGGGCGAAGGGCCGGAAGCCGACGATGGAGGAGCACTGGAGACGTTAAAGGTCATTTTCGAACGATGACTAGATGGAGTGATGAACGGGTGAATGAAAACATGTAAGATTGAGAGCTTACGCCGATGATCTTCCCTGGATGGTCGGGGCTGCAGTTGCCCTGCTCAATCATCTGCTTTGCGGCGGTCTGGTAGCAGTGCTGGACGCCAAAGACGTTGACGCGAAATATGTTCTCGAAGTCGTCCTCGGTGATTTCCAAGAGGGGTTTAACCTGGGCGATGCCGGCGTTGGCGATCCTGTCTGGGTTTCAGCTTCGTGCTTCTCCCATCACCCGCCCTACGTTTCTGCTGGGGAGGACCAACATGGTGTTCAAGGGGCCAAGCTCGTCGACGGCCTTCCGGACCATGCCGCGGACCTCGCCGAGGCTCCTGACGTCGGCGGTGGCGACGACGGACCGGCGGCCGAGACGGCGGATCTCGTCGGCGACGGCGTGGGAGGCGGCCTCGTTGGCGGCGACGTCGTTGATGCAGACGTCGTAGCCGTCGTGTGCGATGCGGAGGGCGATGGCGCGGCCGATTCCCCGAGCGGAGCCGGTCACGATGGCGACGCGGCTGGAACGAGGTCAGTGACGGATTTGTGCAACCTCCCCAACGACGACGGATGAGCAGCTCAATGACATGCTTGATGAGTAGTGTCTGTGTGTCACAGCAAAGGCGGGCAAGTTGACAGACCTAGCTTGCGCCGCAGCTCTGGTTGCTCCTGTAACCGCGTTCATTTCTGCCTCTGGGCTTCAAGTGGTCCTTGGGCCGGATAGACGAGAAGGGATTAAGAACCGTACAACTGCGGCCATCGTCCCTCGTCTCCTTATGAGCAACAACAAGCCCCGGACAGACCACGGGTTACACCCCGCATTGCACTGACTGATCATCATGCGGATCCATTGGTAACGCGGGGAAACCCCAAGAGTCCCTACGTCCGGCCAAAAACTCCAAGCCGCAGACAGACACACACAAACACACCATCGTCATGCATACAGAGCTATCCGTCCATAGGTGGTGCATGGGAGGTGGGAGGACACGGTGCGGTTTAGTATCGGACACGTATTTCGACACTGCCCCATCAAGAAGCGGAGCAGAGAGCTTGGAGCTCGGAATTGCTTCGCCGAGGGGCATTCCAGCGTTTGGAATACCGTACTCGTGCTTGGAAAAGGATCTCCGAGCCGGCGCGCCACCGATTTGTCATGCACTCCACGTTTCTCACATTTCTGCCCTGGCGGGGCGACCACTCGAACCCCTGAAGGTCCAAGTGGTGACTTCAACACTTTTTTTTCTTCCATTTTGTTTTATTCCCGGCTCCCGTTGTGCGTGGGCTGCCCGACTGCCGAAGTCCCCTGAAGCTGGAGAGAGATGGTGGTGGCGCGGGTTCCGGTGCTTTGGAATCTTTTGAGTCTTTGGAATCGGGAAGTGGCGCAGGCGGCAGGGTCCTGATTATATATCGGCATTACCTACCTTGGGTTAGTACACTGAAATGGTATAATAACACATGGTGACTGCTCTTCAGAGTTATTTATCACCCGTATCAACCCAACTCAATTCCTCTTGACAACTCCTCTTACAAACAATCAAATTGTATCCGTAAATCCGCCCCATTTGCAGCCCCAAAAAAAACCACCTTCCCCTACCATCCAAGCGTCATACCGCCAAAAAATCACGATTGCTCCGAGCCGCCCGCCCCGCACTCACCGCCGGCGCCAGCAGCTGCCCCTCCTCGGCCTCGCCCTCGCCCTCTTAATAACCTCCATCCTCCTCTTCCCACAACAACAACAACAACAACATCACCACCACCAGGCAATGGTCTTCAACTTCATCTCTCGCCTCGCCCGCCCCTTCGCCTCCACAGCTACAATGTCCGCCGCGCCCTCCTCCTCCGCCGCCGGCGCGGGCCCCACGATCCCCGAGGACGCCCAAAAGGCCACCATCGCCGCCGGCTGCTTCTGGGGCGTCGAGCACCTTTACCGCAAGCACTTCCAGGGCAAGGGCCTCGTCGACGCCCGCGTCGGCTACATCGGCGGCGACCTCGCCAACCCGACCTACCGCGCCGTCTGCGGCGGCGACACCGGCCACGCCGAGGCCCTGCAGATCGTCTTCCGCCCCAAGGACGTCAGTTACCGCCAGCTCCTCGAGTTCTTCTACCGCATGCACGACCCCACCACCGCCAACCGCCAGGGCCCCGACACGGGCCCGCAGTACCGCAGCGCCATCTTCTTCCACGACCCCGAGCAGGAGCGCGTCGCCCACGAGGTCACCCGCCTCGCCAACGAGCAGTGGTACAAGGGCAAGATCGTCACCGAGATCATCCCCGCCGGCCAGTGGTGGGACGCCGAGCAGTACCACCAGCTGTACCTGAACAAGAACCCGAGCGGGTACGAGTGCCCGAGCCATTTCCTGCGCACCTTCCCGCCCCTCGACGGCTGACTCCCGCCCGGGGGTCGCGGTGGCCACAATGACGACGACGACGACGACGACGACGACGTGGTGGACGGGAGCGGCGGTGGCGATTCGCGCGGAGGAACAAGAGCGGCGCGGGGCAGGAGTCGACTGTAACGATAACGGGTTTTTCTTTTTCGACTCTGGGAAATCATGATGTACGGATGCTTTCGGGATGGGGCGGAGCCGGGGTTCCTTCTATTATGGACTATAGGGGTGCCATCCCCGAAGCGATAAATAGCGCTCAACCGCTTTTGAATTTCACATCTTCATACCCATTTAGTTCGTGTGATGCATTGTGTACGACTGAATTGCGGGCGTATCGTGGAGAAATCTAGGCCAATGGTGTATTCTTGTCGTTGTGATTGGCTTTGTGTCATGGATTTGCAGGTTTGATAAGAAGCAAACGACACTAAGAACATGAGGATCCTATCCTTCGCCGAGCAATGCGGTCAACAGGGCCAATTTTGTTCAGGAAAGTTTGAAATGTTTTTTTTATTTAACTGATTGAGGTATTGTACAAAATAAAAACAACTTCTAGCCCGTAGGCATCTTTTGAAGTACTAAGAGGGGTGTTTTCTTTTCGCCTCTTGCGTTCGGTCCCACCCACCGTGGGTGTATTAACATACCGTGCCTCCCACCGACCGAACTTTGATTATTCCATTCCTCCGCTGCCATAATCCCTACAAAGCGCAAACCTACCCTCTACTTCCTGCGGTTCTGCTGCATCATCAGGATCTGGACCATGCGGACAAAGATGTTGATGAAGTCGAGCTCGAGGGCGATGCTCTCGTTGACGGGGTCCTTGGGCATGATGCCGCGCTCGGCGAGGCGGGCGTGGTGCAGGATCTTCTGGACGTCGTAGAGGGTGAAGCCGCCGAAGACGGCGAGGCCGCCGTACAGCGAGATGCTCTCCGTCAGCGCGAGGGTGCGGACGGCGGTGACGGGCAGGACCATGGGCGCCAGGCCCGAGGCGATGACGACGCCGAGGCCGGCGAGGAGGGGCCCGCCGATGTAGAGGTACTTGTCCTGCTTGGCGGTGGCGCCGACGATGGACAAGCTGCCCATCATGGCGACCGTGTAGAGGCCGGCGCGGGCGAGGAGGGCGCCGGGCACCATGGTCAGGAGGGGGGCGATCATGGCGGCCTGGGTGGCGTTGAAGGCGGCCCACATGGCGTACTTGGGGATGTAGCTATTCGCACGTCAGCATCATGTTCCGTAGTCGTAGTCATGGCATTAGCCAGGGGAGAGGTTTCCAACGTACTTGTCAGGAGAGATGGACCGGGTGCCATACATGGTGGCGAAGCTGAGGGCGAGGCCGCCGAGGCCGACGACCCAGGGGTTCGTGACCATCAGGCGGTAGACGAAACCGGACTGGATCATCTGGCGGGCGCTGAGGGCGATGATGCCGACGCCGAGGCCGGTGTGGAGGAAGGTGTCGTTGAGATACTCGCGCTCGAAGGGGGGCATGCCGCCGTCCTCGCGCGTCTCGCGGTTGAAGACGAGGTTGATGGCCACCAGGGAGCCGCCAAAGATGGCGCCGCTGACCAAGAGCTTGCGCATCGTGTTCGGCTGCTGGGCCGCCTCGTAGGCGCCCGAGTTATACGCCCGCGAGGATCCGCGGAAGGCATTGCGAGCGGCGAAGGAGGTCGTCTTGGCGAGGCTGGAGGGCCGGGCCTTGGGCGAGGCCTGGTGGAAGGCCCGCGTAGCCGTCGTGCGGAAGACGGAGGTCGAGGGCCGGGAGAGCTGGGGGAGGCGCTGCGCCAGGCGCGCAGGCCCTTGGCGGAGGGTGATGCTAAACGACATCGTGTGCGTGAGTGTGTGTTTTTCGATGCTGTTGTGTCGATGCAGAAACAAAGGAAAGCGTGTTGCTGTTGTTCGTCTCGAGAGATGCGTTTAGTATGTGCGCGTCGAAGTGGTTCGAGTCGGGACCTTTCTTGAAGAAAAAAGACAAGCCACGGGAGAGGCAGATGACGAATGACGTTTCTCACTCTTTCGCGGGAGTTCGGAAGGGGAGGGGGCGGCGGATTTTCGCCTCAGCCGCTTTGCTGCCGTTGGCTGACGCAGCAGCAGCAGCTTAGCTAAAGCTTTTTGCGGTCATGTGAGTGGCCAGAGAGAAGCTGGTAGAAGTTCCCGCAGCTTCCAGGCCGTTTTCCGCTTAACTCCGATCCGGGCCCGGGCGGGTTTTGGGAGCTTGGCAGACCAGGTGTCACCACCTGTCGGACTGGTTCATCGACAGTTGGCGATAAGGCTCTCAGCTCACTTCATATACGGATATATATATATCTCTGATGCAACGCAACACAGGTACCGTATCCTCTCAGCAGATTCGTACAGCGCACTGACCACAGGCTACTAAAAAGGGGTAAGCGGGCTGGCAGAAACAGGGATCTAGATGTGGCAAATGCAGGGGCTAGTCAACGTCAGCAGCAAGTTTGATAGCAAGGGTTAGGGTTAGGTGGGTGGGTGGGTGGCTGGGCTGGCTGACCGCCTTTCAAAGTAGGCCTAGTTAGAGGTCAGTGCGTTGTACGAATCTGCTGAGAGGATACGGTAGCTCCCTTGGTCAATAGATCCCGCCTTTTTGTCGTCCGCTTCCCAAAAGCATCTCAGAACACTCCGTACTACGGTGCCAAAATAACCCCCTAGGCAAGTACCGGTGGGTCTGACCCATACAGCCAAGCCAGCCAACCAAAAGGCCCAAATTCATCAGACTTCTTAGATGATGATTTGCCTACATAACCTATAAACCCAAGCTTATGTCAGCTTGCTGAGTTCTTCGTGAGTCAAGTGCTTTCAAATTATGTCAGCCAGTTTTAGCCCCTTGCTAGCTATCTGGCTCAGTTCCTGTCTGGGTCACCACCTGACTATCCGGTTAGATATACCCATCACACCGTACTAAACCACTACATCGCCGTAGAAGTCTCCCGCGGAAATTTTAGCCCGATAGGACGGCAAGCTACACACTAGTCATGCCGCTGTCGCTGACAAACAAGAAATGAATAGAAACCGAGAAAAGGTTTGTTTTGCAGCGACATCGTGAGAGGCTTGCAAAGACGTTTTTTGTGTTTTCCTGTTTCACAAGAAGCCAACCCCGGGCCTTGTCTGAAATACAGAAGCTTTCCCCGTCGACTAGGTTGCTCCGTTCAGTAACAGAGAATGAATGAGACTTGTCGGTCAAAGTTCACGATCCCCCTCCCCTTCTCAAACTATTTTTTTTAATTCCAATCTGACCGCCGTCACGAAACTCAAAGATGGCCAAGGACCAGCCTAGCATCTACCCCGCGCCGTGCCTGACCGATCTTTCGATGGTACCTCCATCACCGCCGTCGTCGCATCTACCCAGCCCTCAACGGTCGCCCCAACCTAGACCACACAAAGGGGGGGGGGGGGGGGCCAACTGCAGTCTACCGCCATCCGTTGCCCTCCTCCCATCAAAAGGGGTTCCTGACTAGTCTCGAAAGGAGCAAGCAAATCTCCCCCCCTCCCTCCCGCAACAGCCACTCCGTCTAATTCGCTGGCGTCAAGCCATAAAGCCCATCCCCAAGACGTAAACTTAATCCCGCTTGTGCAGTTCGCGCCGAAAAAGAAAAGGAAAAGAGGGGGGAGGAGAAGGAAGAGGGCTTCATCCGAATCCGCGCGAACTTGCACGTTGATGGATGGACTATCCACTCATGTCAAACTGCGTTAAACGAACGTCCGTCTTGTCCTGGCCCATCACTTCGCCCCGACCGACACTTGTGTCGATGGGTGTCATTACACATGAGATGAAGGTCGCGGAAGCGCAACGACGTGTGTATCATCGCGCCCGCCTCGGCAGGCAGCCTTGGGGAGGGGGGATGAAAATCCCCGGCCAATTGCCGCTGCAAGCTCTCAACCCGAGTTGACGGTTGCCAGGAAGAGGGGATGGTGGATCGTCAACTAAGGTACTCGGGCAAGGCAGTCCCTCTTGAGGTCGCACAGGCGGAGGATCGCCAACCAGACATCCGCCCCCCTTCCACGTCGATCCGGGAACAAAAAGATCATGACAGAAGAAAAAACACATCCATCATCTGCGAAACACACCACCACTCGGGCAAAGCACCACAATACGTGAACAAAACCCACGCACGTGCAGCCCCTTCTTCCTCCACTCTTCATCGACCGGGTCGATCCATCACCTGCCCCAAGCTCAGACCGTTCAGAGTCGTTGCGCGTCTTGAGCTGGTCTCGTGAGACAGATAATCCACCCTTCGGGGTCTAGGAACGCGGAGTGGGGGGGGCATTGCTTGAAGCTCGTTTTGTGCCATCACTCCTGTCCGCCTGATGATGCACAAGAAGGCGGATTTTTTTTTTTTTTCTTTTTTAACAGAGTCGGCTTCGTCTTTGCAATGTCTTTCGATGCGATCTTGCTCCGATGGTCCCGGACAAAGTCGACAAGAGGCATCTATAGACATGCATACATTGTATAATACGGGGCAACCAACTGACTCGGCCAACACTCACATACAGGTACGTAGTAGTTAGTCACACGTTCCGGCCGACTGAGGTACCGGTATCTATCCACCCCCGGGAAATAAGCCCAACCCCTGGCAAATATCGTGCCGGGATAAGGGGGGAAAACGGCATCGCAAGCGAACCAACTACCTAGCCAACTTACCGTCCGGCTAGCGTAGCGCCAACACTAGAGCGGTTAAGCACAAAATCATGCATGATTCCCAATACTTTTGTGGTCGGGACGCCGCCGAAAATGCATTGCATCTCGATTCTCGAGTGAGCACACCCCGGCCTCCCAAGCCTCTTCCCGCTCCCTTCCCCCCGCAGAGGAGCCGTCCATCGTCACACGAACCGCGGCCCAGCACCGCTCGCTCTCCCCTCTCGTTTCCAGCCCCTCCACTGACTGCCGTTGCTGCAGTTGCACTGCCCAAATCGGCACCGCTGGCTCGGGTACGACGCAGCAATATCGGGGGCTATGCCACGCAAACACTGCAGGCTTGGAAAGAGTTCCCAAGTCAAGGACCGCGGGATATCAAGGCCGATGTAATCCCGGGGATGAATCGAGGAGAAGGGTCGTTCGGCAGGGGTTCGGCTTTTCTGTGATCCGTACATAACCAAACCTACGCTCTCGTCCCCCCCTCTCCCTCTCTCAAATATTGATAAAAAATCACTTGCGTTAGTCGTTCAACGCTCTCGAGTCCTTTGTTGTGAGCAGTACGGATAGTCCTCCGGCTTTTCAGACCTCCCTCCCGTTTTACTCCTTGTTGTGGCTTTTGAAAGCCAGCCCCGCGCCTCCATAGTGCGACTCAACTAAGCCACCGGCGCGCGTCCTAGTCTCTCCTCATCTTGGCCCAATCCTGTATGGCAAGAAGATAGCGTCTGGCGCAAAGATTCGACTCGGCCCGATTTCTATCGTCATATGATGAAACGGGTCAGCCAAGATCTTAAGAAAGCATTTCTGCACTCTCTCGGTGTCTTCAAATCCTTCAAAAGCAACCCCTCTGCCGTCCGTCATCTGGCGCATCCAGCACTTCGCAAACAGCCGACAAGTCCACAACGATCTCTTGTAATCTACAATTCCAAAACTCAATACAATATGAGAATCGCAACCATATCATCGTTTGCCGGCGCCATTCTGGCTGCAACCGTCTGGGCCGCACCAGTCGATCCGGAACAACACCCCATGGTGTCTGTTGGATACCCACAGGTCCCTGCCGCCGCAGAGCTGGCAGCCCCGGGCAGAGCGCAGCCGAATCCGACATCACCCGTGAATCTGATCACGGCGGTATGGAACGCGATCGCCGGCGGCGATGAGAAGCAGCAGAGAGAGGATCTGGGCCAGACGTGCTTCTGCTCGAGCGGCTCCATCTGCTGCAACACATCGTCGGGCCTCGACTGCACCCATGGCTTGTGCGGCCTCTAGAGTCGACTCGCATCGGCGATAGGAACATGGAGCTCTTCACAGGGGGGGAAGACCGATATCGCCGGGAATCACGCCGATGCCCTCATCATTACCGGATACGAGCTGATTCCAACCCCCCCCCCTCCCTACAGCAGTCCCGTTTGGAAGCTCAGTCGGCCGGAACCGGCAGGCCATTCGCCGACAGCCAAGGAGTAAGCCTCGCATGCTTTTTAATCCGGTGCCGGAGGGGAGGGGTTTTTATTGCGGAACGAATCATTGCACCTTCACTCGCAAGCTGAGAAACTCGGTCCCAGCCAACGACACTCGAACCACTCGCATCGCACGCCCATGTGGCAAAGCACAACACACATACAACCAATGGTTGGTTACATTTTCCGGCGGCGTCGGTTCGAAACACGGGGGTTAACACTCTGTGGTGTCCGTGTGTGTGCCGCGCCCAACAAGCTTTTTGTCGGAGCCTCACTACGAGGGGTGCTTGGCCGATAGCGGAAAGCTTTCTGAGATGGAGTGCAGCTGTTTGAACTCGACCTTGTAAGACGATGAAATATGAAGATGATTCAACAGCCGGATTGGCGAGGCTTTTTCGCGACTCTGACCTTGCGCCCGCATCAGGTCGATGCCGAATCAGGGGCGTGTGTTACATGCCGTTGCAGCCCGGCGATTATTCAGTCATTGGCGAGAGAACCAACATATTGAAACTTTTTAGCAAACAACGTTAATTCGTAATTCAAGCATCAGACCATTAAATCTTGTAGTCGTCGTAATTGAACAGTATGGACCACCTTTGCCGAAGCTTGGCAGGATCCTGTATGATGCAACCTGGATTCCATCGCGTATCAGCATTGTCCAGCTTTATCTTGGCCGCTCTTGGACGATTGCAAGGTGCGGAAAGGACTGTCATGGCTGGCCGGTGACCTTAATATTGGCATAACTCCAGCTCCAACTGCAAGTCAGACGAGTAAAGAAGGGTTGCTTGAGGCTCACTGCATCGATCAACGCTTGAATTGTTCAGGAAGGTGATTTGTCGAGTATGTAGCAGTCCGAACCTCGGACCGGGACTGGCAGGAGAGAAAGTGAGGCTGCAATATTCTCTCCTGGATGTTTGAATTGCGCGACCGAGAATGATAGATGTCACGGACGGCCATGCGCTCTTGGTGTCAGCGCGTAAATCGTCAAAGACGCAGGGGTCAGTTGCAATAATGGGCCACCGCTCCTCGAATGAATCGCGAAAGCTGTTAGGCATCCACTTTGGCAAACATCTTTGCGCTCTGGTCCCTCGGGTGCTGGAGTGGACAAATAGAACAACACAAGGGCCTCCCTTCCTCGGAGCAGAGGCCCTTGATTTGGGATCTCGACACCGTAAATCTTGTAGAAGACGGAGCCGGAGCCCGGAGATAGAAATCTGGATCCTGAACAGAGATCAGACCAAAGATGACCACTTGTGCGCTAAGGGATATAGCATAGAGTCTGGGTGAGCCTATTCTTAGTGCTTGGCCCATATTATAAACCAAAAGACCACAGAGCGTTGATGGAAGCTGACTGAATCAAGCGCCGATTACTGTCACCGTTTGTCCAACAGGTGGTCTTGGAAGCACAACCGAATCGCGTGAGCACGCGAGAATAGGCGTCGGATGAGGTAGTGCAGAAGGTATTAAGGTCGGATCAAGGTTAGGCGATCCGACCCAACTGCAATAACCAGATAGCTGTCAGACCCCAGATCCCAGGCAGCCGGCAGAGAAGCGCAGCAAGTCATACCAGGCGGGAAGATGTACAATGCGACCAAGGTTGCTCAGATGTTGGTTTATTCAGGGAGGTCTACAGGATGTTCATCATTTAAGATTGCACCTGTTGATAACGTTAGCATTAACCGGACACTAAATCAAAGTTGCTGGATGGTTGTCGCATCCTGGTAAGGTACCGTTGGGGCGAGAGTTGAATGAGAGAAGCGTATAATAAACAAGGACTCTCTGCAGACGTAGTGCCTGATGATGATGATGATGATGAGATCTAAGGATGGACGGGAATTGAGAGTAGCGGGTGCACTTTTCGTCGATGCTAGAGCAAATTGGCTGACCATGGAAAGGAAGGAAAGTACGAGGAGACGGAGAGACCCTTGAAAGCGACGTAGAGGTAGGCGGCCAGCGTAGTCGCTTATCGGAAAGCATAACGCTGCGGGGTCCTTCCCTTGGTGGGGTAAGGGGCGGACTCTTATGGCTGATGGTCGAGGAAACCGCGCCCACCTGATGCTTCCTCACCGGCAGGAACGACCACGCGAGGGAAAGTACTATTGTTGAAGAAACCGCAACAAGTCGTCACTTCCAGGGTCAATATACAGCCTCTCTCTTCTCCCAAATTAACAGAGTCCCTTCTCGACTATCGGTACTGAGATACAAATCCGTATTCAAGGCGATCTTTCCGCCTTGACACACGACTTGCACCAAGTTCCGACTGGCCAGCAGAGTTCCGCCAATGGAACAATCGCAAGCACGGCAGACCCTGGTTCCGCAAGCAGCGTTGAGAAGAGCTCTCTAGAATATAGCTTGCAAAATGCGGCGACACGACACACAGGATTCACAAACACCAACCAACCAACCTACCTACCTGGCCTAGGGTTCTGCGCTGGACCCCTCCGGCCACGGCAGGCTTCTAGGCGTAGCTTCCACGCGACCAGCTCCCTGCCAAGAGACGGCCCCTACCCAGCCAAGCTGCAGTACCGGTATCCTACCTAGCTCTGGCTGGCATGGTCATGGTTGACCGGATGTATCCTCTTATCTAGCCGTTGTGGACTTTCTCCCTCTCCTCCGGGGCCATTGAGTGTACCGTGCTCGTCATTTCGGGTCCGATGGGCCAGGGGTCCCTGCTTGCAAGCTTGAGACACGGGGTGAGATGGTGGTCCACTCACACACATGCCTTTTTCGTCCTGGCTGACGAAGGCAGAGCATCGAGAGAACCCAGAGAACTTGACCGACCAGGCATCGACCCAGGACCGAGAGGAGGGGACTAGAGTGGAGGGATCGCTATGTTGCGAAACAGCTGGCCTTCTACGGCCGCACGTTCTCCCCCTTCCCCGATGGCCTGCGCTCCTGCCACGGAAATTCCATTCCCAGCCCAAAAACATCAGTCGTGCCCATGCAACGGCGTGACACCTTTCGGCAAACCGAGTGGCCGTGCTGTTGAGGGGCCGGTGCGGGCTTCTAGAAGGCCTCTCCATGGTCCCCTACGCCGCATTGATTCGATCACGAGGAGGAGACTCAAGACACGAACCACGGAGCGAGATGAGAAGCAGACGAACCTGTGCGATTGAAGTTTAAGAGGAAACATGATACACCCACTACCCTACCGGCCAGAGCGGAAGGGGGAAGGGGCGGTGTGAGCAAAAAGCAAGTGCAAAGCCAAAAAGGAAAAAAAAGGAAGAAAAAAAAAAAAGGAAAAGATGGAAGCACGCATGGAAGCAAGGCCAGAAGCCCAAGAGAACAAAGAAACACAGGCGTCAGCAAACCGTTTGGTTTTGCTTGCCCGTCCCGCCCCCGCCCCCCGCCTCAGCTTTCTACAGCTATTGTGCTTGTTTTCCTCTTCCCTTCTTCCCCTGGCTAATTTCATGGGGCGGTGTGACCCCCGTGGGCGTGGCCATGATTGACCATCCTGGAAGAAGATGCCCGCCTGTCCAAGGGGGAGATAAGCTACCTTAGTCAGTTGCCCAGTGTCATACCACACACGTGGAGTGGCCGGGAGGAGGCCACAGATTCAGGTCGCACTTCTCTGTAGTCGCTGTCTAGGCCAGCCCTAAGCTAACGTCTCACGACATGCAGTACAGACCGATTGCCAGCATTCCTGGACTACCAAGCCCACGTCCGTTTACAATGGGCCTGAAAAGGGCTGTCGGCCATTCGGTCGCTGTGTCGTACCATGTCGTATCGCGCCTCTGCTGACATCATTTCTGGAGAAGACCGGCAGGTGGATGAGGGATAGTGGCAATAAGCAGCGGTAGTCGAGCGTCACTGTCACCAGCAAGCCTTTGACCTGCATCCTGCTGCGCCTTGTCGTTCTTGCTCTTGCGTTGGATCGTTGGCGGCAGCAGAAGCGGCAGCATCACCGTTATGTTTGCCTTTCATACTTTTACGTCTCCCAGAGCATCCGGATGGGGTACCGTTGGTCACAGTCGCGGTATTTCCATTTTGTCACTCCAATCTCGGCCCACTGACGGGGTACCCAGGTCTCCACAGTCCAAGGTATACCTGGGCAAAATCACGAAATCCCGTCGTGTACGGGTGGCGAGGGATGCGTACGTACGCCGTACACCACGCACGAACCGACGGAAGTACGAATGCCGGGGCGCGTAGCCTGACAAGTGGAATGCCTACGCCTGACTGAGGGAACACAAGATGGCGCTTGATTAAGACGGTAGGCCATGGGTGCAGTGCCAGATGCCACGGTACGTGCTCCAAGCAAGGTCCAAAAAGGGTGCTTCTTCGATCCAACGAGCGGGTTGTAGCCCGCTCTAGGTGTTCTACTTCTGCTCTAGTAGCTTTCTCGACGCCGCAACGCTGCACTAGAAGTGAGAAATGTGGGTAAGAGTGTTCTGTAGCTACCTACCTCCCTTGGACAGGTACGTCAAGCAGTGTACGCCCACGGGCGATTCTTCTCTTTGGGTGTTAGCAGTTTAAGCTTTGGCGTCATGTTGCTCAGATGTCTCGTCACCTTACCACCCCCTGAGACAGCGACCAGCGGGTGCCCGTGTTCAGTAGTCAGGTACATGGGCGGTACATACTAGTAGCCCCACCCTCCTAGCGCGTTATTGTGCGGGTTTGCTGCTGCGCTGCGAGGGCAGTAGATGAATGCTGTGTGTTTCTGCCCTCGGCTCGCCAGATGTTTGCTCTGGTCATCCTACAAGTATGTAGGTGGTTGATCCTGAGGGAAGCTCGCCTCGATATGGACGAATCCAAGCACCGACCTGCCAAACTCTCGCTGACGGTCTGATCAGGCTGGGCCGCCACACCCATCTCAGCTACTTGCCGTGCATACTAAGGTATCTTGGGTACCTACCCAGGGTATGTATTCAAGCCATGCACAGGTATGCCCATCCGTCCGGGCGTTTTCCGTACGTCCATAGCTCTTCTGGAAGTCTGCTAGACTCTCCAGTAACGGCACCTAGAAGACTTGTCAGCTGCACATGTACATATGCACAGGCGCTTGCGGTTGCGCTCGGGCTACGAGAAACGCGAAGCAACTCAGCCAGTGCTGCTGAGTTCAGTTTGGTTCTCTGTTCTGTCCTTTCAGTTCAGTTCCGATCAGTTGAGTTCGGTCTTCTTGTATACCTTACCCCATGGCCAAGGTAGGGGCCACGGTCATCGACTGCCACGGTCGCACACTTGTACGGATACCTAGGCAAGTAGGTGTGCACAAGTATACGGGTGAGAAGAGAGTACAATAGGTAGGTGCAGTATAGTCAGTAGTAGTGTGCGGAGTACATGCCTACCCACACCTCCTGCTAGCCTCTACGTAGTAGGTCGGTCGCAGTCCTCTCCTCCAGCCTGGCATGGCATGGCAGGCACGTCCTACGCCCCACGTCCCACGTCCCACCATCGAGCCTTCCCTCGCACCCTGTCCCGTCGCCCCAATCCCCGTTCCGCCTCCTTCCCGACTAGACAGACCCACGACCGCCTCTTTTCGTCCATCACCGTCCCTCCTCCTCCTTCCTCCCTCCTCCTCCTCCTCCCCCTCCTGCTTCTCTCCTAACTCGCACACCCCCCACCCCCCCTTCTTCATCCTTTCCTTCCTTCTTCCTCCTGCAGACTTATTTGCTGGGGAAAATCAAAGATACGTCTCAGATCCAATTGCGAATCGGTCCTTGTCGGACACCGGAAGCAATCGCTACCGCCTGTGGCGACTGCAAACAGACTTGCATCCGCTACCGTCCTTCTCTACCGTCTTTTCGCGACCGAGACCCCGACACTACGACACGACGACGAGAGCTGCATTTCGGCCCAACAGGTGCTCCATCTTTGTCGGCTCCTTCAGTTCGCATCACCCGGACATTTGGTCAGTCTTTGAATCGCGCCTTGCCTCCAGTGTCCGGAACTGACCGTGTGTCTGCGCCATAGTTCCGCCGACAGCCCGCCGCCCGCACAAGCTACTAGCGAACCCGGCGCCGACACCTCCTCCGTCGCTGCCACCGCGCGGCAAGCTTCCTGTCTTGTTTCCGATCAAAATCCCAATTGCACCGCGGATGAGACAAGTTCTGTACTCAATAGCGACATCCGGCGTGATACCTCAACCGTCCCCTCGCCTCCCAGTTACACACCTGACGTATACTCGCTGCACGCGGACAGAAACGAGAAACGCCAAACGCCCACAGTCCGAGACGTACACGGATTCTTTCAAAGCGCACCGATCCCGTTACGAATCAATTGCCGTCTCGTTCCCCTTCCCCAGTGTGGATTCAGTCTCGTCCGCTAGGCCGTAGCATGCGCCAATCCCACCAGCCCTTTCTTGTCTCGACTCGTCACCACAAAATCTAGGACAGGCAGCACGTACACTTCACCGGCAAGGAGAGGATCCCCCCCCCGCCAGCCTTTCGGAGCTCAGGCGATAGGTTGGGAGTGTAGTTGGCCAAGTCTCGTGGAAGGAACCGTTGGCTTTCTGCCCTACTCCCGGGCGGAGAGCTTAGCCGTCAAGGCAAGTCGGAACCCTGGCGTCGACACGACCACGCACGCGGCATCCCTCCCGGACCATGAGGCGGAATCGCTCCCCTACATCGCCTTCGCCATACCGCGCCCTCGCCCACGGCACCGGTGTCGGCGGTGTGCCAGATTCCATCTCCCTCCTCAGGTCCTTCAATGTCGACACGAACCCTACCCGGCCCATGCGACCTTCTCCGCTGACTGCCTCGACCATACGCGATATGCCACTCGACTTGGTTGACCGCATTAGATCTTTCCCCTTGTTCGTGTCCGCTCCCGATGAATTCTTGGCTGCCATTGGGAACCACCTAAGGCCGCAGGTTCACGCCGCCCAGGACCATATCCTCACCGAGGGCGACGATGCACGAGCAATGTACTGGCTGGTGCGCGGGGTAGTGGCCGTCACCTCGCGCGATGGCGAGGCCATATACGCCGAACTCAAGCCCGGCGCCTTTTTTGGTGAGATTGGTGTGCTGATGGACATTCCCCGGACGGCAACCATCGTGGCCCGGACCAAATGTCTGCTCGTCGTCCTTAAGAAGGAGGACCTCCAGGCCGAGTTGCCAAAGTTTCCTGACATGGAGAAGGCAATTCGCCACGAGGCCCAAGAGCGACTCAACATTCTCAAGAAAAAGCGTCAGGAAGGAGGGCATGCCACCAAGCCCCCGCCGACTCTCATCAACGGCGCCAGAGAGCCAGCGCCCGGCGAGGTTTCAACGGGCGAGATAGGCACCATCAGTCAAGGCACAGTTATCAACTCGAAGAAGCGGAAATCCCCTAGCCCAGGGGCCATCGAGGACCCCGCCGCGGGCAGCGCTCTGGGCAGTGGTTTTGTCAACGTGCGCAGGACACTACGGGAGTTGCCACTGTTCTCAACGTTGCCTCCCGACATTCTCCACCAGCTGGGCTTGAGCGCCCAGCCAAAGACTTACTCGCCCTTCACAGACATCGTCCAGCAAGGATCGGCGGGCAACGAGATCTTCTTCATTGTGCGCGGCGAGGCGGAAGTCATACGTGAGATGCAAAACGGCAATGAGCCCTTCAAGAAAATCACCCGCGCGACATACCTCCGGCCGAGGTTGAAAGCCGGTCAGTACTTCGGAGAGGTTGCCAGTCTTGGCTTGTCCGAAGGCCGGACAGCAACTGTGCGGGCTATCACGACGGTCGAATGTCTGATGATACCCGGCGATGCACTAGACACGCTATGGAGCCGCTGCTCGCCCGACATCAAGTCTCAGGTGGAAGAGACGGCTCGCAAGAGGTACAAAACATCGGACGAAGACGTAGAAATGGCGGATGTGGACCCAAGAGAGCGGCACAGCAAGTCAGACCCTCCCACGCCGACGACGCCCAGTACTCTGCCGCACATGACCTTCACGACCCCTTCAAAGCCCGCGTCCCCCACAAAAGACGACGGCGAAACCATGGAGCCCAAGGACCCGGATCCCTTCTTGAGCGTGGACATGGAGAACATGCGGAACAGGAGACGCAATTCCCTGGCCCCACCCACGCCGCAGTCCGATACCTCGTCGCCGATAGCCCTCAATGGCTTCAGAGTGCATCCGGCCGAATTGACGCCGCTGCGCTACTCAATGCCCCAGTCCCCTCCCGACTCGGAGGTGCCAGTCAAGCGAGCCCGTATGCTGCCGAGCCGGCCTCACCCGGCCTTGGTTCCCGCTCTCCCCGACGACATGCTCATTGCCGTCTTCCGGTATCTGGACATTGCCGAGCTGATGCGGGCGCGGCTCGTTTCCCACCATTGGCGCAGGCTGCTGACGACACACCCCAAGGTGTGCCTGGATCTGGATCTGTCCGGGCACAACAGGCGAGTAACGGATGTGGCCATCAAGACAGTAATTGCTCCCTTTGCCGGTACGCGTCCCGAGGCTATCGACATCAGCAACTGTTTCCACATCACGGATGATGGGTTCCGCAGTCTGTGGGAAAGCTGCGGCCGCAATGTCAAGCGGTGGCGTATGAGATCAGTGTGGGACGTATCGGCGAACCAGATATTGGACATGGCGGAGAACGCGAAGGGCCTTGAAGAGATCGATTGGAGCAACTGCCGCAAGGTCGGTGACAACCTGCTCGCCCGCGTGGTCGGCTGGGTGGTTCCCGAGCCGCCGCCGCCTCAGTCGCCGAGCAAGCAAGTGGTTATATCCAGCTCGACGGCGAAGTCGAGGCCCCAGAAGGCGATGATCCAGCAGCAAGCCCAACAGAGGGCAGCAGGCAATATTCCCAAGCCGGGCACCGTCATTGGCTGCCCGGCCCTCAGGCACCTCAACCTATCGTACTGCAAGCACATCACGGACAGGTCAATGGCGCATCTCGCAGCGCACGCGTCTAACCGGCTGGAGACGCTGTCACTGACGCGCTGCACGTCTATCACGGACACGGGCTTCCAGTCGTGGGCCAATTTCCGTTTCCTGAATTTGTCACATCTATGCCTGGCGGACTGCACTTACCTTTCGGACAACGCCATTGTCGCGCTCGTGGGCGCGGCCAAGAATCTGACGCACCTCGACCTGTCGTTCTGTTGCGCCCTGTCTGACACGGCGACGGAAGTGGTGGCGCTCGGGCTGCCGCAGCTACGGGAACTTCGGCTCGCCTTCTGCGGTAGCGCCGTCTCGGACGCGAGCTTGCAATCGGTGGCGTTGCACCTGAACGAACTCGAGGGGATTTCTGTCCGGGGCTGCGTTAGAGTCACTGGTGGAGGAGTCGAAAACTTGCTCGAGGGATGCGGGCGGATACAGTGGGTGGACGTGAGCCAGTGCCGCAACCTCGAGAACTGGATTCGAACGGGAGGCGTCATGCGATGGGGCTTCGACGAGCGCGGCGGCAATGGCCTTTTGCCTGGGCAGATACCGTTGCCGTTGCCCAACCCGTCGCGCACTACGAACCACGTGGGGCTGGGCGGCCGACCGCTGAGCTTCCGGCGGAGAACGAGAACGCCGGTGCGGTTTATCGTGGAGAAGGGTTCCTTGGGTCTCCGATGAAAGAGGTCGGAAGAGGGCGGGGGAGGGGCACGCGATGTCATCATGAGAGATGCTTGTATAATGCGGCTGGCGTCAACGGAGTGGACTTTTTTTTTGAGACAATGTAGGAACAAGCCTGGGGTAAGGGGAGAAGGACAGTTTACAGGGTCTGTCACGGGATATTTTGTACAGGGTACCATGCTTCTGCTTTTCAGCAGAGGTGGTTGGCAGGGGTGTGTCAAAAGAATAGACTGGATATGGCGATACCCTGTTCATCTGATTACGGAATGGGGGAAAATATAAAAAATGAAAGCACATGATGCTTCCTCTTGGAAAATGTTTCAATTGTTTGTTTTTGCCCCCCCCGTCCCCCTATTCCTTTTCGGGGAGGAGTTTGTTCAAGTCAAGAAGCAATAGGCTACTGTTGGTTCTGTGATGCGGTGTGACGATGTCGTTGGTGGTTTCTCAGTCAGTCCCTGCGTCTTACTGCAGGTGAGATCGCCAAGGATAATAAGGGGGGGGAGGGGAAGGGTTTAGGGGTCCCTCTTCAGATCTCTTAGCGGTGATGAAGGACTGCTCCAAAAAGCTGACTTGTCAGGAAGAACAAACAGGCAGTGAAATTGAGGACAGGTCACAACGAGACCATATCGACCTCTGACTACCTCTTCCCTGGGGGAGAGGTTCTTGGTGCGAATGCGAGTGCGAGAGCACGTGCGCGCAACCAAGGGAAGGATTGGGGGAGGAGAAAAGGCCCGAAGACGAGATGCGGGAAGGGGTCGCCGGGTGATCCGGGCGCGACTGCCGCTCAAAATCGTGGGGGCGGGAGAGGCGCTACGGCAGGCGTGGGAGTTGAAGGAGCTTGGGCCATCGTGTCTTGAGTGGAAGATTGATTATTCAGCTAGCATTTCATCACGCAGGGCACGTGCATAGACCTACGATGTACTCTGTACAAAGGTAGGTACGGGTAGGTAGGCCAAAGCCCCTCTTTTGCGGGTTCCCGATGTGGCAAGTGGGCAGCCACATTCGGTTTCCACACATTATGGCGCAAATGGGCATAATGGGTTACCTAGATAGGTACCTTGGGTACCTAGGTATAGAAGGAGGGGCTCCGGGCCGAGTGCGGGGGGAGAGGGTCCGTCTCTCGGGCCCGTTTCCGACTTCAAACTTGGTCCTGGCCGGGACTCGCAGTCGCCGGTTTCCGTACTGCGTTGTGCCTATTTACCTCGCATGACGCACAGCTCTAGGTCAACCCCTTTCCGTCATGCGACTACTCAACACGGCCACGCTACAGCTCAGCGAATTCTATGACGGACAAGTGCCGCGCTATGCCATCCTATCGCACACGTGGGCCGACGACGAAGTCCTCTTCGACGACATCGAGGGAGGCCCGTCGCCGAAGGCTGGCTGGGCCAAGGTGCAGAGCGCCTGCCGCCTGGCCCGCGGCCAGGACCACGCCTGGATGTGGATCGACACGTGCTGCATCGACAAGTCCAGCAGCAGCGAGCTCTCCGAGGCCATCAACTCCATGTTCAGGTGGTACCGCGACGCCGACGTCTGCTTCGCCTACCTCGCCGACGCTCCCTGCGCCGGACCCGGCACCCCCGAGTGCGCCGCCGCACTGGCCGGCAGCCGCTGGTTCACCCGCGGCTGGACCCTGCAGGAGCTGTTGGCCCCGGCCGCCCTGGACTTTTACTCGTCCGACTGGCGCCGCATCGGCTCGCGGCCCATCCTCGCCCGCGTCATCGGGTCCGTCACCGGCATCGACCCCGCCTACCTCGACGGCGATGGGGGCGCCCTGCGCCTGGCGCAGGCGAGCGTGGCCGAGCGCATGAGCTGGGCCTCCCGCAGGCAGACGACGCGCGCCGAGGACCTCGCATACTGCCTCCTCGGCATCTTCGACGTCAACATGCCCCTCATCTACGGCGAGGGCCCCAAGGCCTTCCGCCGCCTTCAGGAGGCCGTCATCCGGGACACTGACGACCAGTCCATTTTCGCGTGGGGCGACGTCATCGTCGAGGGGGGCGACGCCGCCGCCGCCGCTGCCCTGTCGGACCGGCGTCCGCGCCCGCTGCTCGCCGAAAGCCCCGCGGGCTTCAGGAACTCGGGCGACGTCGTCCCCGTCTGGAACCCCGCCGCCGCCGCCGCCCGCGTGCGGATCGAGCATAGCGGCGTCACCGTCATCACGCCGCTCCTGCGGGAGACGCCGTCCAAGTGGGTGGTGCGGGGCCGCCCCGCCGTCTTCCTGGCGCCCCTACTCTGCCGCCGGCGGGGCGACCCGTTCAACACCCTCGCGCTGTGCCTCCGCAGCGCGACGCCCTCGGACCGGGCGTCGGACGCCGCATCGTCGTCGTACTACAGGGTCTCGGACGCCCTGCTGACCTACGCGAAGACGGCATGGACGGGCGAGAAGCTGCGCTCTGCGTTCGTCTACTTTGACGCCGCGCGCGTGCGGCACACGGCGGGCGGCGCCATCGGCGCCATCGGCCCGCGGTCGGGGTGCGCGATTCGCACGCTGCCGAGGGGGTACCGGGCGAGCGCCGCGTACTCGCGGGCGTGGGGCCGGGCCGACGCGATGACGGTCCTCCCACTCACCGAGCGGTTGGTCCAGTCGTACGGGCTGACTTGTCCGATCGTGGTGCGTCTCGAGAGGCAGGGTCAGATCCCGGCCGGGAGCCCAGACGGGAAGGAGGGAGACCGCCCCCTCGCGCTGGTGCTGCAGTATCAGCACCAGTCCCTCGACGGCGACGCGCAGTGCAGCCGCGTGCGGTTCTCGCGGGGCAAGTACTGGATGCTGGGCCGCGTCGTCGTCGTGCCGGCGGGGTCGGGTGTCGAGGACGTGGCGGCGGTCGCGCGGGCCGAGGCCGAGGCGTGGCCGGCCGAGTACGTGCGTCAGCTGTCCTCGGCGAGGAGGCGGGACGTCAACGCTGACGCCTCGGCGGCGGCGCCGCCGCCGCCGGCGGACCAGGCGTTCCGCGAGAGCCGGCTCGAGACCTTTGCGCGGTTCCGCGTCGGGGTCTCGCAGGACGCTGGGACGTACGGGGACCTGCTCCTGGTGGACGTTGAGGACCGAGAGGGGCCGAATGTCTCCCGCGAGGTGCGTCACGAGGGGGTTTTCGAATCTATGGTCGAGGTGGGTGATGGGGATGGGGTTATCTAGGGGGGCTGTGAGCGGTCTCTTCTCCCTCTCGTAAATGAGAGTTTGTCAAGACCTGACTCGCATCGTTCCTACCTACCTATCTACCTATCGCTCCCAGCTTGTCTATACAACGTCGGCCCGACACCGGCCACCCGGATCGGAAGACGAGAAACTCTTACGAAAGAGGCCGTGCGATACTGTCATGAAGAACGTTATGATGATCAGGCTCTGTGGATACAGGTAGCCTTGTGTTAAGTCACATGGCTACCTATGAGAACAGTATTTCGCCAGAGGCCCAGCCCACCAGATACCGTTTCATACATTGAAGCGCTTTTCATACCAGTCTCCTATACCTATCTTTGCTATTTTGTTGGCGACAAACAGAAGCCCAGTGGCTTTTAGAGCTGTTACACCACGACGGTATAATGGCAGTCAATACAGTGAGTGCTGAGCTTTTATAAACTACATATTTTCGCCCTACAGAGGTATAGTCTCCTAGCTTGCTGTAGAAATGACAGTTGAAAAGTGGCAGAGGCCGGAGGTGCTGCGTATCGAGCTTTTGCATATCATGATGCCCAGATACCTGAGAACTACACAAGACCGCTTTTTGGGGCCTAGAGGACCATTGTATTTCATCAGTAGAGGTGACAGCCCTAGTAATGCTCCACGGTTGCAGCCTCGATTGGATCATTATGTATCCTTATGTATCTCAAATGAAAAGAATATAAGTTCCCACGATCTGATTCATCTCGCGAAACAAGCAACGTCGACTAGGTGATGCGTCAACGGGCCATTCGTTTCATCTTTCCGCTTCTCCGGCGTGGCTGGGCGTTCAAGTAGATATATGACATGTTGGGGCTGGATTATCACATGCTCATATCAGTAAAAATCAACCGTTGTAAGTGATGATTTCGAGCACATCATAGTTGCTCATTATTAAGATATTAGAGGCGTTCGTGGGAACTTTGTACTCGAACTGTAATCAATAACTCATCCAAACCAACCGATCCAACCCTGGTATAACGCCGGCAAATCCAAACAAAACGCCCCATCGTATTGCGCCTTTTTGGTGAAGACCCGCATCTATGTAGATGATGATGGGATCTTCATGGCGACTTCTTGTTCGCCGGGTATCCAAAACCCATTCAACCATGCCACAACGCCAACAAATTTCCAGCAAAACGCCCTGCGTCATTGAACCTTTTTTCTCCATATCCATAAACGCCCACCTCCGTGCGACAGAGCGCGCTCTGCTCATGCCCTGAACAACACCCCGCCGCCCCGGCGGCCCTCGTTGTCCTGTACGATCTCTCCCTCCTCTATGTCCTCTTCATCGTCTTCGGACTCATCGTCTTCGTCCTCCACGCCAGGCGGCAGCGCAGCAATGGGGCCGTCGACTCGCTCGCCGTAGACGTCATACCCAGGGATGCCGGCGAACGCGCCCCCGTGCGCCTCCGCCATGTGTTCGTAACACGCCAGGCTGTCCAGGTAGTACTTCATGCAGACCCAGCAGATGTGTGCGTGGCAGCACCCGCACTCAATGTGGTTGCAGCCCTCGGTGCGCTCGATGAAGGTGTTGCACCGCGGGCACCCCTTGATGTTGAGGGTCGCCATCAGCTCCGTAGTGGCGGTCTCCTCGGCCCCCTTGCACGAAACGGTCTCGTCGTGGGGCTCGTGGCAGGCGGTGCACAGCACGACGAAGCAGTCCGGGCACCGGGCCACCGCGTTGATGTTGGCACCTCTGGGCGTCGGCCGGTAGAGCTGCTGGCATTTTGGCGTCGGGCAGCTGCGGTAGTTGAAGGGGTTCTTCCTGACGTGCGCTTTGGCGACCGACTCGAGGAGCTTTCTGTAGCCGTCCATCTGGAGGACGCCCCTGAGCTCGGACAAGGGGAGCGGCGCCTGGCAGGCCCCGTACCCGCCGATGCATTTGAGAGAGGATTCCGTCCCTGACTTGGCCTTCGACTCGACCATATGCACGTAGCATTGCTTGCAATAGACGTGGCCGCAGGCGGACCGGACAGGCTCCGACGGCTCCCCCGTACAGACAGGACATTCCGACTCGCTCGAAACCGCCGCCTCGCTGTCTTGGGGTCTGCAGCACTCCTCGAACTGGTGGTGTTCTTCATCCTCGGTCATGCGGTGATAGCCGCCAAAGATCTCCACGAAGACCCTCCTGATGCTGGCCACGGACTTTGAATCCGTGTTCTCTATCTTGATGATGACGTCGTCGCTGCTGCTGGTCATCTTGAAGCTGATCATGGAGTACCTCTTTATGACAGACTGCAACAGGGGGTCGGACATCCACCGTTTGGGGACACAGAATATCGCCGTGTAGAGGGAAGACGCCTTGAGGATGCCGTAGCGAACGAAGCTTTGAGCGGTGAGGTCCAGCTTTCCGACGGCGCGCCGGGCGTCCTCCTCGAAATCGAAGCGCGCTGTCGCACACACCATGCCTTCTGGGACATCTGCCTCAGGGAGCAGCTCGACGGTGGACCACCCGATGGTGTCCAGCAGATTCTTGAGTGTAGTTAAGTCATTGCACTTTTCCTTGTTGCCGTAGACCCCCTCGGGGCCGCATATGATGCTGTTGGGCATGAGATCTTTGGGAATCCGGCTCCTGATATCTTTTTGGGTGACGTTGAGTGGGAGCCCCCTCAGCCGGACCGCGTACCCCGAATTCTGCAAGGGAAGCGGCTCGTCGTGTACGCTGCCGCCAAAGAGGTCGATCTGCCCTTCGTGCCAGAGCTGTGTAAGTTGCTCCGCCTTGTAACGGTCGAAAAATATAAGGTGTGCGTTCTTTCGCGGCTTGTTCCACGTCAGGCGAACAGTGCGGGCTTCGGTGAAGCCGACGTGCTGCTCGGGGCGCCAGCTGACGTAGGAGGGGATCCGCTCGAGGTCCTGCGAGCGGGTTGTGCCCATCTCGCGGTCGAGCTCACGGAAGCCCTGGCAGATATTCTGGGCGAAGTGGGCGTCCTCAAGGACCACGTCAATGTAGCGGACGCCCTCGACTGTGCCATACCTGGCGATTTCCTTGTGCTGGTGGGCATCATAGCCTGAAAACGCCTTGAGATTTTCCCAGAAGGACGGGCCTGGGGCTTCCTCGTCGATGTTCCAGATTCGGATGGCTGTGAAGTCGTTGGGGAGGGAAAACCTCATGATCTCGGCACCAGGCCCGAAACTGATTTGGGAGCCCATCAGGCTCTGAAGAGCGTAGTCTTTTGAGGGTTCAGGAAAGAGGTGCATGTATCCTGAAGCGTGAGTAGTCTCACATATGGGCTGGGGGGGGGTTGACAATTGACGGCGTTGGTCGGCCATTGTCACAGAAAACCCGACAGGAAAGATGACTGATTAAGAGTCCTCTAATGAAGGATCGGCTGATGAAGAGTCGGGGGAAGAATAGACGGTAGAAGAATAGGTGGTGGAAGAATAGGTGGTGGAAGAGGAGTGGTCTGATCAAGTAGTAGAGTAGTGGTTCTCTCAGTATTAACGGTTGCCTCAAGCATGAATATGTACACCAGAAGGGAAGAATGGTTGTCAAGAAAGATGAAGAAAAGAAATGTTGCTGTGGGAGAGGGGGCGCCTTATAATGAATACTAGTCATCGGAGAAAGGTTCGCCTGCGGACTACCGGGAAAACGGTGGCTTGAGGAAAGGTTTGAATAGATCCAAAGCTGTTCGAACTATAAAATTTCTAACCCCTCCTGATGCGAGAAATCCTGCAATACTAGGGGCTGAGGGCGAAGTGCCCTGAGAGGAATCCATCAAAGGGGAGGGCGTGGAGCCGGCAGCGGCGGTACAGTGGCTCGGTCTACGATCGCGATAATAAGGCGTCCGGTTTACAATTTCAGCTTGAATGGTCGATAGAAAGCTTGTTGAAAGAATTTCAATCAATGATTGGCCGTATAATGAATTCATAGTTTGGTGAGACCTAGATGGTAGCCGCCTGAAGTTTGCCAAATAAGCCTCCATCCGACAATCGGCCCTTCACCGGGACTGTACTCTATAACGAAATTTCACGGTGTGGGCTTATATCAACTAGTCCCATAGTACTTTGAGTGACTCGTGTAGAATTGTGTTTGGAGTATAGCTCTGATGAACCACGTTTTGCAAAAAGCTACTACATCCGGCTCCGGACCAAGTACCCCGTTGTCGGAGGCTCTGCCTTGCCCAGGTGTGGGCGATGACTATCCCAAGATATTCGGTAAATTATTCCAGGATTTCTGATATTGGGTATTAAATAAGGGGAAAGCAAAATGCCTCGAAAAGGATCAATATTTTTTCAGATCTTGTTGTTCAAAAATTGTGATATACGAAAGACATTATTGTGCATATACTGGAATGGGAGATGATTGAGAAGGCGAACGAACAAAACAATCATCTGTTTTACGGATAGTGTGACACTCAGGCATGGCCAGCTGCAGCTTCCAGTTGAAAAAAGGCACAATAGATCTGCTATCCAGACACATGTTTGGATAAGTCGGAAAGATCTTGGGCCTCGGGCAGACAAGAATCGGTACCAACCTAGCTACTACTACCTTGACTATCGTGAACTCACTGTGCCGACATTTTCGTTCACACCGAACGTTAATTAGCATTCGTTTTCATTTGGCAAGCATATTTGTGCTTCTCTTGGTGACCGGATCGATAGGTACCGGGGCAGCTGTCGACGAAGAGGTCAAATTGTCATTAGTACAAAGTAAGCCAAACCACATCGAGGCTCACTTTGGTGAGGTTCGAACAAATTTTGACCAATTCGTAGTATTTACCGGGGCTGCAAAGCCGAGATACTATGTACATAGAAGTTTTCAAGTCGTCCGGGCTTAGTGCCGGTCCAACAGTCATGAAGCAAATAGACACTAGTGGGGAAATTTACACTCATAATCCTTGCTCAATCTCAAAGATTCTAGCCTCAGAATCCGCTCAGCAGGCAGAGAGGGAGGTCTGACCCTTGCAGTTGGCCGTGGTGGTGACCTTGGTGCTGCTGCCGCTGCCCTTGTTGACACCCTTGTACTCTTGGCAGACCTTGGGGACGCTGGAGCCGCAGGTGCCGGAGATAGTGGCAACGTCGCCGTAGTTGGAGTTGATACCGACAAGTTCCTTGACGTTTTTGGCCTTGACATTCTTGATGACGACGTTGCGGGGACCGCCGTTGTTGGTGCAGTCACCGCAGCCGCGGTACAGCTTGCCAGCGGTGACAACGGTGAAGCCGTCGATGGTGACGGTGCCGCGGCCATTGTGCTGAACGACCTTGTCGATAGCGTTCTGGGCGCCGCCGCCCTGGATGAGGACGTTGCCTGTGCCGAGGGCGGAGATGGCGTCTAGATATGAGTGTCAGAGCGTGAACCAAGAAGGAAACGAGATGGAGCAGCGCTCAGACGACTTACCCTCGCAGACGTCACGGAACCAGACGTTCTTCAGGGTGCAGGCAGCCTTGCAGTGAACACCCTCGAGCTGGTTGGCGCCAATAATGACGTTGCTCAGGGTGGCGCCGTTCTCGAGGATGAATACTGCAGACTCACTGCCAGTGTCATCATCAGTGTCGCAAGGGCGACCGCGGTCGAACTCCTTGTTGCCAAAGTCCTTGGATCCCGAGATCACGGAGGGAGCGGAGAGAGAGACGATGGAACCGCTGCGGGTGGGAATGTTGAGGGTCTGAGCCGTGGCAAGGGTAGCCAGCATGGCTGAAACTAGGATCTTGGTCTGCATTTTAGAGGATGAGGCGCCGATGTTACTGGGGAGGCTAGGGTTGGGGGATTACAAGATGGCAGCAAGTTTCAAGCAAGCGTGGTGCGGAATAAGAACCAAACCTCTCATGCTGAGGGCACTTGGAGAGTATTTATGGTCTGCACAAAAACCTTTTGATATCGTCAAGATCTTTACCGGGACAAGAGCCAATGATTTTCTCGCAGTATGAGAGTTTCAAATTGATCATGCAAGTCTAGAACCGTCCAACACGTATTGCCGGCACACGTCTAATATCCCCACATCAATGTGTCTGATGAGTGCTGACGGTCGTCGAATCTCCTTGGTGGAAATTCCACAGAACAGCGCCGGCACCCCCCCCCCCCCCCCCCCCCAAAAGTTGAACCAACGTGGGCATTTTCACCGTGGGGTTCTCGCTCAACTGCGCCGGTGGCTATCGAGGGCTCCCCTTGCTGAACATCCTTCCCAGCTATGTACTGGTCTACTAACCAACCAACGGGCTCTCTTAAGACCCAAGTCGCCGGCCTGGTCCCTGTGTCCGAAAGAACCCCTGAGCATATTTCACCGGCATAAGCGCTGCGGCTCACTCGAGGATATAGCGCCGTGATTGCAGCCCTGGATTAGAATCTTAAATGTGGTTTGAGCCACGTTTATATTACAAGTCGCTTGGCTGCCGTACGTGAAACTGCCCCGGTTCTCAACGCACCGAAGAAGCCCTCATAGATTGCGAGCCCTTGCTGAACCAGCCTACTTCGTGCCAATGAGGCCACACCATCACCGCATTAGTTGCTTTCGTAAGGCATGGCAGATAATATATCCAGCATGCCCTTTCACGGAATGTTCATCTTCTGACGCAGCCCTCTTCGGCCAAAGAAGCTCTAATCATGCCGAGGAGGTATGTGCGATCCCTCGAGGGATCAATTATTCCCGATACGCGCTTATTTCCTACTAGGGACAGACCGGCAAACAGAGCGAAATGCTCGAGTGTTAGGGCGTCGACGCCTGTCTTCCAAGGTATGGTGAATTGATAAAGCGGGTGATAGGATGGGGCGCCCCGGGCTGAATAGGTGGTGCGAGTTGGTAATTTTCCGTATCGAAACATTTTGAATGTCGGTGTGCTCGAAGATAACCGGAATCGGCAGGTGGAAATTCAGCAGACTCTCATCTGGTATCAGTGGAACATCACGAGGCGAGAAGAACCACCCCCAAATGCAGCCAAGATTCAAGCCTAAACGGTACGTAGATGGTGCATGCAGAAGAGGGTGGCAGGCCGCTGGCGTCTCGGAAAATTGACGCTACATCGCTCCCATTACGCCATTTTACGAGATTCCACGGTACTGTGTTTCTATCTAGAAACCTTCTTCTACTGTGGAGTATTGGAATGGTCCTCATATTATGTTTATCCGACCGTGTTAAAGTACGACTGAGGAGAGCGTTACGTGACTAGTCACGCATTGAGATGGATCGAGTGGCCCCCGGGGCTCTGTTTGCTTCGGGAGATCATGCGTCTCCGGTGCTATTCTCCGTGCTGTGGGGGCGGAAGACTGGGGCCGTTGTTTGCGATTGTGTCCTGGAATCGAAGAAATTGGACGGACGATGATGCCAAGTGCTTCGAGACAGCTTGGGGTGCTTGGCGGTGCAACCATTACGACTGGAGTCTCGCCGCACCGTGAAGGCTAATATCGCTACCCGATTAGCCATCTGGCCATGGGAAACATCGCTCCTCTTGTCTTGGCGCTGCGACAATCCTTGTTGGCGTGAAGTTCTGTGGAGCCACCAACTCATTGACGGAAATCACTTTTTTCCATCGATCAACACATTTTCAGCTGGGCCTCATGTCACCATTTTCTGACCTCTTGAGAAACGGCAAGGGAGCGAAAGGGGGTGTTCATTCTTGTTTCAGAACAGCAAGTAGAAATGATTATTATTAGTGCATGACACCAAGTTCTCATCCTTTACTCCGTACAGTTAAGCCAAATAATCAATGTAGCATGCGTGGCTGGGCTCAGAGAATCGACAACTCTTCCTTTGAGATAAGGATGACTTTACTTCTCAATGTTATCTATAACGGCAAGTAAGAACCAGCCCGAGAGTAAAGGTGCCTTTTCACCAAGTTTAATAATTGTTCCAAACATTGTACAAATCATATCCTCTCAAACAACTTTCTTGCTATTCTGCATTACCAATGACCGATGCTTGTTCAGACAGAATGCATTGCACCGTAACTCACTTCATGAAAGTTAGTGCAGCCTAGACCTCTAATTCAAAGGGACAGCAGACAAATTGGTCACCAACGAAGCCATAAAACAATTCAGCTCTCTGCAGCTTTGTAGGTGCTTGTGCTTATGTAACAGTGCCAGCGATTGAAACATGAGTATCAAGGACATATATACCGTCTTTACCTCGAGAAATCAGCCCCCTCTTGAAACAACGCCGCTCAATGCGAAGTCTATGTTCCTGTATAATAACTCCGTGTCGATGTTTCTTCGTTTGAAAAAAGTCTATACCATGGTTCCCCTCGGCGCAGCCCCCTGTGGTAATCCTCGTCCGTTCTGACTCTGCAGATTACTCTTTGTGAGTAGTATCGTTCTTGACTTCGGTACGAAACTGCTCCTCCTCTTGTATGAGCTGCGATATCAACGTTTCATTTGCCCTCCAAACTGGCTTGATCTCGAACAGTCTATCGATCTTTTCAAGCGGAACGCCGCTGGTCTCAGGGATGAGGAAGAAAGCAAAGAAGAAGGCGAGAAACGATAAAGCCGCAAAGAAGAAATAAACGCCATAGCCCATGGCCGCAAACATTTGCTCAGTAAATCTTGAAACGAGGAAGTTAAATAGCCAGTTACTGGCTGTTGTCGCGCCACCGGCGAGAGACCGGAAGTTTGGGTCGAAGAATTCCTAAGAGGCGGAAATTGTTAGTTACCGCCCAATAGTTATGGATGGCGACTAGAGATGTACTTACTGAGTTCAAGACCCAGGGAGTGCCGTTCCATGTCGGCGTGTAGACTGCCGTCCAGAGATAGAAGAAAACAATGGCGGCGTAACCACTACCACTCAAGTGATCCTGAGGATTCTTCGTCGGTTCGACAATACAGACATAGGCACCAATGACCCACATGCAGATTGATCCAGTGACGGCACCAATGAGCAACAGTTTTCGTCTTCCGAGTTGATCGACGAGGAACAATAACCACACGAAGGTCATAATGGCCTTGACAACGCCGAATATTCCCGTCATCAGGTTTACTGTGTTATGGTCAATGCCAATACTCTAGACACGCAATGGTTAGTTATCGGCGGTCTCGAAATGGAAAAAGCCCAGTCGCTTACCGAGAATATAGTCGGGGAATAGTAATTGATGGCGTTGATGCCGCTGCCGTTTTGCCAGAAGAACAGCATGCAGCCTATGAACAAACGCCATTGCAGCTTTGGGCGAGCCGCCAAAGCTTGGAAAGGCTGCCAGAAGCCGGTTCCAACTGTAGCCTTTTGCATCTCGTAGATATTGTCGATCGCGGCAATCTCTTCTTGGATATACATATCACTTGGTTCTAGTTGACGAATCCAGCACAAGTTGTCCCTGGCTTCTTTGCGGCGATCCTTCTGGAAAAGCCAGCGAGGCGACTCCCGGATCCACATCGAGCCTAGCAGGAGGAGGCCGGAGGGGATCAACTGGACAGCAAAAGGTATTATCCATTGCGTATGACCCGGCGCTACGTGGGCTTGAACACCATACTGCCGTTTGGGTTAGCAAGAGGCAAGTCACGAGAATTGGTGTGCCATTGTGAACACTCACGTTGATCCAGAAACCGACCATTCCGCCTATCTGCCAACCCAGTTCGTACAAACCAACGAGGCGACCGCGAATTGCTGGTGGCGACAACTCTGAAATGTAGATGGGAATGATGTTCTACAACCTCGTGAATTAGTACCTTCCATTCGCCATAAAAGTGCAGGATGTAAGGCACGTCCTGGGCGCCTTGATGTGCAAATTTTCAGACTGTTTACTCACAGAAGCCACTCCGGTTCCCAAGCCCGAGAATACGCGTCCAGCGTAAAGAATACCAAGCCCCAGGTCACTACTGGCGCCGCATGTTAGGCCAGCCCCCAAGGAGAAGGTGGTAGCTCCGATCGCTAAGCACCACTTGCGTCCTATGGAGTAGCTGAGACAGTAGGTAAGCAAGGCACCAAAGAAGGCCCCAGCCACGAATAGAGATACGATATTCTCGCTGATCAAGTTTCGTTCCGCAGTTGACAGCTTGTCAATACCAAACTCCCTCTTGAACGAGTCAAGTGCAACAGTCGTTCCGATGAAGGCACTTGTGTAACCAATCATGCAAGATCCGCAAGAGGCGATGCATGCCAGAGCGTATATGCGCCAGTTGTAGACCGATGGCGGCGTCGGCCTCTCTTCAACAACTGTGAGAATGCCCATGGCCGTTCGGTATGGCGGCTCACAGATATGGCGGGTGGTAAGAGCAGGCTCAGTGCGCGTGCGTGCGTGTTGAGTCAGAGGTTGGAAAATATGCAAAGGGGAGAAAAATTCTGGAAACCAAGGGTCCCAATCGTCAATAAAAGGATCCGATGGTCCCCATAACCTGAATCTTCTTGCCCCATAGTTTGGAGCCAGCCTTCTGGGGCTCGTGAGTTCATTTCTGGGGAACGACGGCAAGCATGCCGGTGTCGGTGGTAGTGCAAAATGTGAACGTTCAATCCATGTCTGCCATAATGATGCGGCTCTCTTCGTCATTTGCATCCAAAGTAACCTATCAGTGCATTTGTATTTTCGAGGAAACCCCTCAGGGTCCACAAATGGCCCGAACAGACCGAACCCCTGCTCGGGGATGCGTTTTCCCCCGTGGAAGCGTCCGCTTCATGATTTTCCCCATGGAGAGCAGGACACTTTGACCCGGGGCAACGAATGGACCTCAAGAGTGAGATACCTAGGACGAAGGCCCATACGTCTCCATGCTGGCAATGAGGGGGTGGTGGGTGGCCGAGTAGCCTGGTCCAAATTTTAGGCGTTCATCGAACCCCTTCCCCATACTAATCGCGGCTTGTCGGCACATTCGCTCGAAGTGTTAAATGTTCACCCGGTAGCGCCCAAGCGTCACAGCACTCCTCCACCGTCGCTGTCTATAGATAAGAGACGTAGGAAGCAAAGGTGGCACAAGATTCTTGCGATTCCCATACTTATGTGAACATGCAAGATTGAATGTTCTCCCTCGCCCAAACTTATCAACTCGATACTTCGTCATTGATGGATAGACTCCACAATACAGACAGAGGTATGAGGTTGATAAGATGGAGGTAGCGTCCACATCATGAGAAGCTTTCCCCTGAAGAGACAGCCCCGTCCATTCGTCGGACGAAGCTGAGAATATATGTAGTTGGTGAATTGGCCAATCAGAGGCTGCGGTGAACAACACCACAGTTGCTCAATGAAAGGTTAATTGGAAGTCACATGGAAACAGGGAGTTACAAATCGCCCAAGTGACAAATCACTACTGCCAACTCATTAACTGCTTTTAGCAGCTAATATGTAGGCAGAGATCCATGATCGACATCCTATTGATCGAATATAGTCGGCCTAGACCCCTATAAGCATTCTAGCGCAGTTCGACCAGTGCATGAATACCACGATACGTATAACCCGATACGCAGCACCTCTGGCCTGTGCCGCATCTCAATGACTTAACACGGTACGGTACGGAATACCTGATAACGCCGATTAACTGCCAAATCAGACTTCACTTCAACTATGTTACCAACGGCCTTGGCAATGATGTGGCAGGTGGGCGCCAGAACGTTGGCAATCACAGATCGGCACCTAATGGTACTGTTTAGTCTTTATCGACTTGATCAATGGTCATGTGATCCTTCGGGGTTCTTCGGTCATGGATTGTGATGTATCCCCTCGGCCTGGCATCAATGAAATGATCTGTTTCTGTCGACCGTAAATGTCCCCTTACATACACACGCAAGACCTATGCAAGCCCCTACGCCGCCATGGACGTCACTGTCAGAAGTGCGCCTATGCGATGCAATTCGGCAAATACCAATAAAGCTATAAGCCACAAGAACGCAATGACCGCTGTTTGCCGCTACTTAATCTAATCTCAAATAAGTACTAATGTCCTATTTACATTGATCATGCTTTTCGAATGATAAACTGGCATCAGTACTTATTTTGTCGGCTGGTAATCTGAGATGGTTAGGGTTCACAGTTAAGTTAAAGAGATTGATTCGTGTGGCAATCGTGTCGACAGGAACCTCGTCGGAAGCAGCATGAATTATCCCACTATATGCACTTTATCGAGTAAGCAGTTCTTAAATCAGTATACGGCAATCGGAAATCACAGTTGCGCTAGGTCAGCCACGTTTTTTATGCAGGTGTCACATGTGCGGTGACCTAGGTTGAAGCGGTGACGAATAATAGGGGTTGAAAGGCAGCATAACCACTGTTGCAGTGGCGGGGGCTGGTCGGAGGTAAGCCCCATTATCGACGATATTTGGTGATGGTCGGCATTGCAATAGTAGGATGGCGTGTAGCACGCGAGAAAGCGAGACGGGCGTGTAGATTGGGACTGTAAAATGCGAGAAGCATGCAGTGCCGTTTGTATTGATTGAGGACATGAGCAGATTAAGTCTACTTCACAATAAGAAACAGTGCTCGGTGGATATATAGCATAGTTATCGTTATTGTTGTGGTTATGTTTACACAACTTTCTCCTTCAGTTGAACTCCATTATGCACTCCAAGGGTGCCCCATGCAAGCGATATCGGCCTGTATACTGACCTGAAAGGCCCCTGAGAGGAGTTTTTTTGTCTTCTTCTTTTTTTCCCCCGGATAATAGAAGAGTCGGATGACGTAATCAGTGGAGACAACGAAGTTGAATCTTGCATGAATCTCGTCAATATAAATGGTATTTCTCTCTGCTTTAAGCCATCCTATTGATGGTTTGTCGAAACGATTATCAACAAGAAGAAAAGGTTACATCCAAACATAGAACCGGTGCCAATATAAGTTATACTGTCTATGAGTTCAACTGATACTCAACTACCTTCGAGGTTTTGTGGCTTCGAATGACTTCGCCAAATTCGTGTGGCATACGAAGGCCCGGTTGGCAGATCGAATGACTTACCGCGATAACGTCATTGAACCACTTAATGTGTCGTAAAACACGGAGATGTTCCGCCAGTTCTCGGGACACGGGTCTGACATTACCAATTGATGTCGTGACATCTTTGGTTCATTGGATTAAGAGTCTTCAACTAGAAACACTGTTACAGCACATCAGATATTTGGATATTTGGATATTAATCTAGCCTTTTCCACCAAAGCTCTCCTCGATTTGACCCATCCCTCTGCGACGTGATACGCAGCAGCGTTCTATTCTCAAATGTTGTGTAGTTACGTCTGTGAACGGCACCAACCATGGCCGGGACGTTTGCAACCGTCAATGGGCCATGGAAAACCTGGCCGTCGGTAGCGGATGCAGGGATATCGCCACTAATCGAGAATGGCCCGGCGTACCCGATGCTATGCTTGCCGACCAAGGCCCACTCCGCGTCTGACTGGCCTTCCTCGAAGGGAAATGTGAGGCTCGCTGGGCGATGTTCGGGGTTCGTAGATGTGAGGGTGGCCGACATGAAGCCGGTTCTGCTGTATGTGAGGATGCCGACGGGGTTTGAACCGTAAGTCGGGTCGTCTACAGGCACGCCATCGCGGGTTCTACAAGTTCTCTGTCGTCAGCAAACGTGGCTGCCTGGGGGCTAGTGGGAATATGATCCACATACGCTGATGTGTTGAGAAGGGTGTAAGTGCCTGCCAGGATGGCAATGATTTCTGAAGGTTGCATATTGACTCATGAATGGAAACGCTCAGTTGACAGCCAAGACAAGTCTTAACTCTTTTATTTCGAAGAAAAGGGGATGGAAGATGGGCATGATATAAGAAGCAATGCCGTCAGCAGAATAGCAGCTCTTGTAAAAAGTACCAAAGACCAATCGAGATCTGCACCGCGAGATATTATGTTAATGAGCATACCACATGGGTGTCAATTTGGGTTTACGCGATAGGGGCCGTCCCTGGTAAGGCCGGGGAACTCCAAGGGGGGGAAAGTGACACAACTCCCGGGACATGGTGTCAGAAGTGGATCATAGGCGCCAAGCATTTAAGCTTATGTGGTATTCTATGATGTTACTACACCTGGAGCATTTAGTATCGCTCCTTTTGTCTGTGGCAAATGCAAGTCTTTAGTAATCTGTTACTCTAGCATTGAGTTACATGCTTTGGAGCGTTAAAGATTGCAGCTCGGCTCTTGCAACCAGAGTTAAGACTAAACAGAGCAATATTTGCTGTTTTGCTCCAATGTACGTTCTCGCTTATGGGTTTTACTTGAACTAGTTATAAAACGGTATTCGTCACGTGGCGATGCACCAAGGTTATGCCACCAGACGCGGACGGGGAAAGGGGGGAAAGCAGAGATAAAGCTGGAAGCTTGGCTCGGCTCGGCTTGGCCTGGCTTGGCACGATGCCGCGCGGGTTGCGGGTGACGGGGAGACTCGTGGCGCAGCCCGGTAGCCTTCATTCGTATTCCATGAAACACGAGTGGATAGAGTTCTCGGGGACAGTTCATGAACCCGACGCCCCGTTCCTCCGAGGAGCCATGATCGGTGCCCAAAGAAGCTTGAAGCCCTCGCAGGCACCCTATCCCCGAAGGAACGGATGAACTGCAGGGTAAGCTGCCTTTTCCTAAAAGGCTCGGAGAAACATGTTGACACATCGTTTAAGCGAGCAGGTTGGCTATGTCACGAATCAAAAAGAAGCTGACCAAAGCTATAGCGCCTTGGCGAAATCGCGGGGTTCGGGGATATGTTATTTGAGGGCTAGTACTCCGACCGAATGAAATCTTGTTTCATGTATTCAACCAACTTGATTTGCTCAAGGTGTTCAGGTTTCGCTCAGGGTGGTCAGATTGGTTGGGAGCTGTCGATGGAGAAGACGCAAGTGATGACTTGGGCAATGGCGGAACTACGGATAAAGTAACCACGTAGCGCGGGCTGTATGCATTTGGACAATACGGTGCCAAAAAATACTCACGCCTGCGGCCAGAGACCACGCGACGAGGAACAGATAGACGGGAACACGGGCGACGGTTGGGATGATCATATAGATTGCTAGCAGGGGGGCACGCAGTTAATGCACGAGCTGTTGATATTCACATATAGCCCGTGCCAGAGGCCTAACCGTTAAGAGGGGACGCCTTGGGTACTTAATACCTCGGTACCGGAGATATGAGTAGCCTTAACCGATCAAATCCAGTTATTGTTACCATGGCGATGCGATGGTTCAGCTTCAGAATTTGATCAGGAACATATCGATAATCTCTTGATGTGTTCCGCCTTTCATCGTCAGATGACCTCTAGACTACAGTCTCCAATACGTCGCAAACCGTTGTATTGGTTTTGCAATCACACCTCAGCAAAACATCGGCTAACAGTCTACAGATAAACATTTCACCGAGTTCTCTCCTAAACGTCTGTAGCGGTGGTATGACTGTATGCATGGAAGCTTGCTTTCTCCAAATGTAGCCATTCTATATCCAGGTTGACGAAGCCGGTATCGGATGTCTCGTCGGCGGATGTAGATACCCGGGCTCAATATCTGTCATACGAGCCTCACCAGGAGGCTTTCGAAAGTAGCCTTGCCGAGTGCTACCTTGCAAGTGTTTCATTCATTAGTAAGCTACATATAGCAGCAGTACTGGCCAAAAGTATTTCCTTAAGTCAAGCATAATTCACCCCATTTCTTCCACGACATGCTGCGTGCTTCAAAGTCGCGAGATCTTAACTCCCTCCTTTGTCAAATATCCAGCTCTCCTACTATGAGGAGCTTTGGAAATCCAGGATTGATTATCAGGCGACTAATCCAGACTGGCATTACGATACATGTATATCTAATGAAGAAACCCGTTGCAATCTCTGAGCCGTGCTTCTTCGCAAACGGCCAAGACTTCAATGTCGGGTCCCCAAGATTGGGCTCCTTGACGAGAGCCGAGAGTCTCCCAGTTCGTCGGCCTTGAACAGAGTTCAGTCTTGAGCAAAGTGGCTGGGTTATCGCCTGAGCACAGTCAACCAGATACGATGCGCCGTGATCGAAGTTGTGGAGGAGCAAGCATTATAGAAGAAGTGGGCCCGCGTGAGGCTATCTCCACGCAAGGGCCTTCAGGGTCTTGATGAACTATTCCATTCCTAGTTATGTCGATATAGTCACATCGTCTAAGCGATTTGGTCGTACTAGCAACGGCATTGATGGAAGTTTTCAACTCCACCGGCCCTCCTTGGCCCTCTCACCCATGCATTCGGGGATGCTCGACGCCAACTCAGGCTCGAGGTTAAATTATGTTCTTCCTTGGTAGCATTTCTATTCAAGTCTGAGATGCTGTCACTGTAACTCACATAAGATTGCTTGCATCTGCGAAGACGTCGCCATAACCGGCCTCCGACGTGATCTTCGCAAGTCCTGACGCCTTGCACACGACTTTCATGAGGCACCCCATCTCCGCATGCACGGACGCGGAGACCACATCTCGGCGAGGCTACGGAACAGACACCTGCGGAACCACGGGCTTGGATGGCTTGAATATCACACTGGTGTATTCTGATCCTATGCTTGAGATAAGTGCGACTCTGTCCGGATAGTAAAAAGAAAACTGATCACAAAGACACAGCCAAACATCGTAGTGTGAGCGTGGCAAACAATCCCATTATGAAGCGCAGCGGTCACAGAGGCAGCGGAGGGAAGCGAAGCTGTCATGCCGTTCGAATAGCCTCAGACGCGAACGTCATGTAAACAAAAACAAAAAAAGACGGTCACTCACCTTCACTCCACCGTAAGATAGGCCACATGACCTGCTTCGTAAAATCCAAAATGAAAGCAACGAGAGAACTTTCCCTCGTTTCCTCCCTCGTACGTCATCACATCTTCCCCCCAAGGTGAAAGCAGAAAATAGAACACGACAAGGGAAGGGCCTAGGGGGTGAGGTCACTCGACACCACCGAGACGGGGGCGAGGTACAAGGGGACCACCACCTGACACGGTCAGCCGGGGCGGGCTTACCGAGAGGCCGAGACTTTCACGACACCGAGATCACGTTCCGCGCGGGATCGCACAAACGGATCTGATAAAACGGTATGGCATCGGCGCGATTGGTGCGCACACGCGATACCCGCGTGTCGTTCTCTAAAACATACTTATCCCTGGACAAACGAACAGCAGCGCTTCGACTATATGGACATGCTCACTTTCGAGTCATATCCCATCACGATACAAATCGCGTTTGTGGAGACCACTCTGAGCACAAAACGGACGGAATGATCGCTGTAAAACTGGGGCTTAGCCTACGGTCATGGTCATGGATAAACTGGGAAAACGGATTAGAACTCATGATACAGTTGTATGTACACTTGATGGACATATATACAGCGTGCGCCGTCCCCGGCCACCGTGCATGCTAGTCCAGTCCTCTCCTGCGCTCCCTGGCCACCATTGCCCGCACGCGTGCAGCGTCGGGCTGGAGCTTCTGTATACGGCACGCTGCTTCTTCAGGACTCCTCCTACTCACAGTACTGCTACTAATGCTACTCTTGGCGGGGCTGGCGTCACGGCGGCGGAGATGGGGTATCTTTGGTGAGAGTGCGCGAAAGGATTGGGGTATCGAACGAAAAGAAGATTTGCTGTCGAGGTAAGACGCCGCCACAGCTGCCGAAGTTGTTGTTGTTCTGGCTGTTGTTTCTTGTATAGGAGTTGGGGTTTCCGAAGACTCCATGATGTCGTCACAGAAATCGAAAGGAAGTTGGGTCGTGGGGAACTCTTCTTCGCATTCGTCATCTTCAACGGCACTCTTGGTGTATTCGTTAGGTTGCTGTTCCTCCACAGTAGATTCACGCGTCAGACGATGGTCATCAAGGTCGGATACCGATGTCGTCAGGGAGTCAGGGTCTTCGGACTGGGAGGTGTCTTCTTCCTCGTCGTCGTCAACACACTGAAATTGTCTCCCTTGGAAACGGCCGGATTCCGATCCGGAGAATGACAAAGTCCGCGCAGGCGTAAGGTTGTGAAGGACATAGCTTTGTTCCGGATCGGTTGATGATGCAGCGGTTTCGGACAGCGTCGTCATGGAGCGGGGAGAGGGGGGTAGGTCTGTAGTGATGGCGGAGGAGGAAATGGAAGTCGAGATGTGCAAAGGCTCATGCGTCATAATGGGCTTTTCGTCGTCATCGTGAAAGAAGCAGGGACCGTCGACGTCGACGAGGCTGCTCAGGTTGGTACTCGCCGTGCGAGAGCTAGAACGATCGCTGAAAGAAGTGCCGTTGGACGAGGCCGGGTAGTAGCCTTGCGTGCAAGAGTAGTCGTCGGGCAGGTAACTTGAGAACAGTCGCACGAGGGAGTCGAGCGAGCGTGTCCGGAAGAGCTGCAGAGCATAGGACCACTGCGCCGTGCCGACCAGTTTGGGGTTGGCAATGATCTCGACTGCAGCGAGATCAAGGGAGGCGTTGAGTTCCTGGAGACGTTGCTCCTTGCGGTCAGCCATCATACGGTGGAACTCGTCGGCGGTGGCGGCAATACGAGAGATCTCGCAGACATCGTTGTGGAAGGCTTCGGGGTCTTGGATGTTGGACGGGAGGGTGTTGTATCTATCTTGCAGCTTGGTAGAGAGATCGTCTCTCTTCATCCCAAACTTCCAGAAAGGCCATGAACAGCCCGGGTCGTCCATGTTATTGTGGAGAGTCGGAGTAGAAGGTGGTCAAAGGGGCGTTGTCGAGAGAGAGGATGGGTAAGGGGGTTCGAGGAAAGGCAGATGCTGTTGGGCGAGGCCCTGGGCTTCGGTGTGTAGATTCGCAGAAGGTGAGAATTGTGTTGACGACATGAGAGGCATTTCAGTAACTGAGGAAATCCATTTTTGGCGATAGTTTAACGGGTGAAGGGCGAAGACGCGAAGATGGGTGGTTTGACGGGCTCGATGGTGATGACAATGGACGGTTTCAGGGCGTGGAGACACTGAGGAGTGCGGGAATGAGTTGGTCGGGGGGGTGCTGGACCGCAATGTTGTGAGGCAGAGCCGGACGAACATCAGGCCGACTCAAAATATCGCCCAAAGTCACGTGCAGCCGGACTGAGTTGTCGAAATGACGGGCAAGAGCAGGGGCGAAGGCCAGTCGGTGGGGGCCGCTAGTCAGCGCTTGCGCCTGGCACACCCCTGCGAGTGCCGGATGACCCCTGTCGATACTGACGAAATGGGAACACATGGCCGGGCTAGCCTGGCATTCTCAGACTCCGCCACTCTAGCGAGCCAATGAGGGGCGAGGATAAGATGCAGGGTGTCAAGGCAATGACGAAGGGAGCCAATAGGATCGCTGACTAAGGCTGCAAGTGTCGCAGCGTGTCCACCCACGCACGCCACGAGACGAGAATGTCTAATCCGGGCGCAGGCAGGTAGGCAGGCAGGCAGGCGCTTTAGGTGCCGGACTTTCAAATTTGTTGGTTGGCTGTGGGTGCAGAGCCTGCTGAAGCAACTGACAGTGCAGCCCGCCGCCCCCTCGTACCAGGAAGGGAAGGAAGGAAGGAAGGAAGGAAGGAAGGAAGGAAGGAAGGGAGGGAAAGAAAGTGGAAGAATGAAAGGGCCGTGACGAGAACGGCGAGAAGAAATTCTTCTCAAGGATCAAGAATAGCTCAGTCATCCGGCGCATCGCTTCCTGAGCCAATCACCACATGGCTTCCCTACTGTTTACTACCTACTACGGATACTATCGATTGCTTGCTTAACCAGGCTGCTCTCATCCGTTCCTTCATCCAGGGCACATACATTCCGGCTCATCAAGATTCACCCAACACCCATTATTCGTCATAACCCGTCATCTCGATTCAGCCATGGCGCCGGCCTGGGCATCTGGCTTTCGATCTGAGTCCGGCAGTCACGCTGAGTGACACTCGACGATGAATCTCCCGACAAATACTCCGTACAGTCTCTCATATAAGAGGCATCGTCCGCACCTGTTCCAGTCACGGACGGCCCGCTGTCTCTTATGTCCCCATTTCTTCATCTCATCGTCCTCGACGCGTGGAGGCACAGAGGTCAAGTGACCATGTCCCATTCGTGAGATTGCGTCAAGTCAGATCAACTGTGAGGGACCTGAATGGCACTGCAACACCTGCAGGCCATCAACTCGCTGCCCACCCTGCCACCTTCTCTGTCGGTCCGCTAGCGGGAGGCCGTTGTCGAGAGGCGTTTGTGGCTGGGGCCGCCGCCAGCGTTTCCCGGTTTGGCCGGACGGATGATTAATCGGAGACTGGTCGAAGACTCCCTCATTCTCCCTCATTCAGTCAATGTCACTCTGCATGGAACATGTACCTCCAAGGTACTTTTGCAGCTCTCGTTGACTGGGGCTGATGAAATGCCAGATCTCAAATGAGAAACGATGTCCCTCCCCTAGCATAGAGCGCCTTTTGTTGGTTAGAAACCCTGCAAGGCTTCAGCCCGTAATTCAGTCGACTTTCCTTCCCCCTCTCCCCCCCAATTCTCCAGGCACCCGTGGCTTTTCGTAGGGTTAGATGACTCTTTATTCTCGGTCGGATATGCGCCCTCCCTCGCTCGCTCAAACATACCTTCATCTTTATGCTCAGAGCGCATCTTCGCTCTTCTTGAGTTGATGCACAGACGCTGCTGTGCTAACCCCCGACTTGACAGTCTCATTCTCTCACGCACTGCTCAGCGCCTTATCATACATAGTAGTAAACCTATTTCTCTGCCCTGCTGCTCAGCGTCGGCCGGCAGACTGACAAAACCACTTGAGGCTGAGACTCCATCAGCAGGCACTCCCATAAGGTCCCGAGGTCCTTCCCCCCCCATCCATGTCAGCTCGAACCCCGTTTCCTCCCCGTTTCTCCCATCATCCGTCGCCTGGTTCCAGCTGGACGTTTGGTTGCTCATCTGTCCATCTGTTCATCTGACGTCTAGTCTAATCTCAGGTTGCCCTCTTTCTCTCTCCCACTATCCGATTGTTTGGTCGTGCCTCGGAGGCTCCTTAATGCTGTGCTGTTCCTGCATCGGTGCCTCGCAGATTGTTTCCCTTGTTTCTTTTCCCCCTTCACCCTCTCACGCCTCCGGCTGCACACGTACATCACGATTCGAACCCTGCCCCTCATTACCAGCCTGACCACGCTCAGCCTGTCAGCCATCTCTCACCACCGACCTATTTGTCTGCCTGCCTTGCTTACCTGGCACCTCCGGAAATATACGTCATTTCACACCAAATCCACGTATCTGAACCAACAAGCCTATCTTGGCTGAATCCTACTCCACCTTTGTCTGCCACATCGACTCTATTGAGTGGCCTGGAGTGTGAGTGAAGCGCATGGGCCACGCCGGCTAGGCAAGAACATCGTCAACTCTACCTTGCTTGATGGGAGACCGCCGGGTCCGCGGCTCGGAGGAGCCGTCGGAAGAAAAGACGGAACCGTTCTCGCAAACCGAAATCGATGCCCGCATGAGGAGCATCCGCGTCGAGGAGCCCTTTGAGCTCACCCAAGCTGACCCAGTGCCGCTCGATAGGCTGCGTGTCGAGGAGCACCACCACAAGCAGGGCATTCGCATCCTCGTGCGACCGCTCACCCGGAGCCGCTCCGTGAGCCCGGGAAACTACAACTGCCAGTGGCTCGCCCTCCGCGCCGAGGTCGCGTCCGAGCAGGAGCCCCAGCGCAAGGTCCTCGCCGTCTCCCAGACATCCCGGGACATCAAGTTCTCCGTGCGCATCCCGCCGGAGCGGCTCGACGATGATACCCCGCGCCCGCCTTTGTGGTGCGAGCTCTACTACGACCCGGCTAGTGACAACCAGATCCTGTTGAACCGGTCAGAAGTGCCCATATCATTAACAAGAATCTCCGACGGCCCGGCTTCCGCCGCCAGTTGGAGTGTCAATCCCGGAACCCCAAAAGCCCTGTCGCCGGGCACATGGAGGATCAACGTCCGCGACATCGAAGTTCTCGACTTTAGGATATTGGAGAAAAGACCTGCCTTCTTCAAGCAGGCGGGTGCGGCCGGCAAAGAGGAGCTCACTTCCAGCTCAAATGCAGACGCCTTGAACGCCTCCGGTAAGCGGTCCTTCACTGCCGACGACGGAGAGCCGCGGTCAGAGAAGAAGGCGCGTACCACGCAGGAGGTCGGCACGGCGAGGAACGACAAGGAAGACGGCGTCATCATGTTCCTCAGACCAGCGGCCGAGCCCCTCGTGTTTCCCCTTCCGACTGAAGCCAAGAGCAAGGAGGTCGTGCCGACCAACGGCCACGCCCTGCTCGACATGCAGCGAGACGAGGCCGTTGTGATCCCGGGCGGCTACGAGATTGATGAGTACACCGTCAGCAAGCGCGACCAGATCGCGTCGACGGCGCTGTCGTCCGTCTTCACGGCCGAGCACTCCAACGTGCCCGACGGCATCGTCACCGTCAAGGTCCTCAAGACGCGCTCGGCCAACAACGCCGGCCCCAAGCCCCAAGACAACGAGCGTAACGTCATCCGACAGGCCGACATGTGGCTGCGCGAGTACCAGAGCCAGGATGACCTGCACCACGAGTCCATCGTCAAGCTCTACGGCGGCGACGCCCGCTACCTCTCACTCTACATGGAGCACGTCGACGCCAAGGACCTCTCGGCCAAGGGCGTGTGGCGTAGTCACGTCGACCACAGCTTCCTCGGCACCCGCGCCGACGCCTTCGCCATCATGCGCGACATCAGCGGCGCCCTCCACTACCTGCACGACAAGAACCTCGTCCACAACGACATCAAGCCCGCCAACATCCTCTACTCGCCCGCTCGCGGCGCCGTGCTCTGCGACTTTGGCCTGTCGACGCACACCAGCGGGCCCGTCACGACGGGCGGCACGCCCTACTACATCCCGCCCGAGTTCATCGGTAAGAAGCTCCGCGGCCCCCCCTCGGACGTCTGGGCGCTCGGCGTGACGATGCTTTACGTGCTCGGCAAGATCCCCTTCCCGGACGCCCGCTCGCGCAAGGGCGCCAAGCCCGCGCTGTACTGGATGATCGCAGACGTCAACCGCACGCCTACCCAGCAGCAGCAGCAGCAGCAATCGCACCAGCCGTGGGGGCATGCCGTCGACCTCATGTACGTGTGGCTGAGCGAGGTCGCCGTGGCGAGGGACAAGCTCTACCCGCGTGATAAGCTCGAGCGACTCGTATCAGACATGCTGATCGCCATCCCAAGCCAGCGCATCACCATGGCGCGCGTCATGCGGGAGCTGTACCTGATGGAACAGCAGGCTCTCGCCAAGAGATGATCTGATCAAATGGTTTGTCTCGTCTTTTTTTCCCCCCTCCGCATCAAAGACTTGTTTTACAGTCGAAATTATACGTTGATGGCTTTTTGTTTTATTTTTTTTTTTTTGCTCGGATACACGTCGCTAGGTTTACGACTACGGCTCGAGATGTTAAATGACGTTTACCGCGAGAGATACCACTTTTTGTTGAGGAGAGCATCGTTTCTTTTTTCCTGGAGCTTCATCGAGTTACCCATTTGTGTTTTCGCTGGCCCTCTCACTCCGTTCACGCGGGAGGAAGCCCAGATTGCATTGCATTTTCATCCCATCTCGCAGACATATACAAATACTTCAAGCATAGTGTTGACACATCCTTTCTTTTCTCTTTTCATTACCAATATCTGGGCATCTTGAGGATGGGCTGGTATCAAAGCATACATGTACATTAGAAGGGCATTCGCACAAACTCAACGCATTCCTCATGACGTGTTGTCATCATCATCCTTGATGTTTTATCAGACACCTTTCATCCTTTCGCGCATGCAGGGCCGCTCCTTACAAGCTTATCCCAAAGACGAAGGCCATGCTAAAACCGACGACGGAGGAAAGTGCGAGAAGGTGGGCGCCGCTGCGGGCCGCACCGCTGGTGCCGCTAGCGCCGCCGGTCGAGTTGCCGTTGCTGTTCCCGCTGCCGCTGGTCTCGTTGGTGGTCTGGTCCTTGACGGTGTGGAGCGTGACGCCGTCGGTCTTGCACTGCTCTGAGGACAGGGTGGTGGCATTGGAGGTGAACCGGATGTCGGCGCACTGCGTGCCGTCCCAGTTAGCATCTTAGTCCACTCAATACGCAACGCTGGTGATTCGGAAACGTGAATTGGGGGGCAGGGATCGGGTAAATACGTACGTTGTACAGGCCCGAGCCCGAGTCGCCGACGGTGACGACCTGCAGACTGCCCCGCTGGCCGTTCTGGGCGGGCTCGGGGAGGGGAAGCTTCTCGATGCAGAGGGTACCGGAGCCGGTGGCGTTCCACAGCTCCGGGGTGAGGGTGATGTTGTACGTCGTGATGTTTCCGTCGGCCTCGAGGCCGAGGTTGATGAAGAGGTAAGTCCAGTCGTGGTGCAAGTCGAGCTCGACGGAGCCGCCGTCGAGGGGCCAGTCGGTGACGTTGCCCTGGCCATAGGGGACGCCGGCGCCTGAGGTCTGTCAGCCATGCGAGGTCTTTCGAAGCGCGTACCTCCCCTCGACGTTCATATTAAGAAGAAGAGCAGAGCGGGGGAAAACGGGGGGCGAGGGAAGGGGAGGGGACATACAGGGGTACGTCCACTGCGAGTAGATCGCCTCGTTGACCGCGCTGAGGGTGTCAGCGCGCCACGCGGGGAAGACGAGGCTGAAGTGGGCGGACGCGAGGTTCGCAGCGCCGAGGGCGACGAGGAAGGTCTTGCAGGTCATGGCGAACCGAGGTTTTCCGGCGGTGTGGCGCTTCTTTTTCTGTTTTCAAAACCCTGTACGGCGGGATCGAGGATGTCTTGAGATGAGAGAGCGAGGATGCCAAGATGTAGGGGGGAGAGAGAAGGGCGAGACTGCATGAAGAACGAGAGTTGGCTATCGAAGCACTTAATATATATACGGGCGCCCAATCTCCCATGTCGAGGCAATAGATGGCATTGCTAACCCCCAAGCGAGATAGCTTATCCCCTCTGTCGGGAGAGAGACATGAACAATGACGCGAGTTGTAGCTGCGGTGGAAGATGAACTAAAGCAGCCCTAGGGGGGGTCCCCCGGCTTCTCTCTCCCTCTCGCTGGCTCGCACGAGGGGTGGGAAACCACCTCACGAACGCCACAAGGCATGCCGCCAAGCGAAGAGGATGTCGCCAAACGGACCTATGGCAATCATCCGCCTTTGCGAGTTATGCAGAGGCAAGCCATGATCGTCACATCTTAGTCCGAGCTGGTTCAGCCGTTCTGACCGGGCTAGACGGCGCATCTTCACTGCAACAGAGGCAAAGGGCACAGGGAAACGACGGTGAGTCAATTATCCTCCCCCGCAACAGGAAGGCGAACCAATAGAGGACGCCAATCCAGCAAGTTTTCCTTTCTCGCCCGTCTTGGCGTAGCGGGGAGAGAGACAGCTGTCTAGAGGAGGAAGGTAAGATTCAGTCGCATGGTGTTCTGCGCAGGAAACAAAAAGACTAGACGTCGACGAAGGAACGACGACGGTTGATAGAGGCTCAAGACGTGGCATGGTTCCCCCCCTTGTCTGGGCGACGAATCAGAGGGGCGTGTGGCGTGGATGGTTGGCGCTAGCGTGGTGTCTCTGGACGCAAGTATCTTGCTCAAACTCCCGCACCCGTGGCCCGAATGGGGGAGGAGGGGGAATGACATGCGCGCGGGATTGGCCCCAATGTGAGGGAACGTAGTTAGAGGATGAAGGGTTAGAGGATGAAGGGAGTCGGAATGAAGCCCCGTTTGTTGTCCGGGCGATTACACGTGGCGAAGGAGTGTTGTGCCAGCCGGGTATGCATTTTCAAAGAGGAGTTGGTATATTTGTGGTAGATGTTTTTTTGGACTTGGAAGAGGGCGGATGAGGCTTGGCGTCTGTGTGGGTTCGTGGCTACAACTAGGCTACAACTACAGTGACAGCTTGATAAGACCATGCAATTTGACACAGATTCTCGAGTACGGTGCTTTGGGCGCGGTTTGATTTAGGTTGTGTCGATTGTAAATTGTAATGGTCGGAGACCGATACCAGAAGCGCATGTCCGTCCCTTCACCCATTCCATCTTGCGCCATCATTCGCAACTTGTTCCTTGTCGAGGAGGCCGGGACGGAACCCGCCGCCACACTCCCCGGGCCCGGGACGGGGTCAGAATCCCCCGCCGCCCGCCCGGGAGTCCGGATCATCTCCACAAGATCCGGCGCGGGTGCGGCGAGAGTTTCGGTGGTAGTGCTTGGGCCTCGCGCCCACAGACCGAAGAAAGTGGGGAACGTGTAAAAAGGTGACGGCGCGAAGCTTGGCCGGCCCCGCCGGCGAGTCTATCTCGACTGCACCCGCTGGCTCGAAAACCTCTCGTGACTGATGGAGGACAGGGATACCGTTTATTAGGCGTGGTGAAGTCGCAGCTGTCTTGGTCTTACGCTCGATGTGATCAGGAGCATTATCAGTTGTAACGTCACGATGCAGCAATCATGACTCAGAAGCGCTTGATAGTATCAAAGTTGCTGGGCCATCACACAAGGTGACTCAGCCACAAAGCGCCGATGGTTTAGTGGTAAAATTCTCCGTTGCCATCCAGCAGCGTCGGGGAGCCGGGGGTTCGATTCCCCCTCGGCGCATAGCCTATCACATTTTGCTGGCTAGTCGAGTAGTCTTAGTTTTTGGGTGTATGTGCCTGTGCTGTGTGTGTGTGATGTGTATGTATATTGTTGGGTTTGGTCATTTATTTAGCTTGACGGGCGCGTTAATAGGATGGGGCAATTAGTAGCGCGTTAAGTCGCGAGGATTGGTCATACGTACTACACACGTACGTACTATATACATACATATATATATATATATCTGTGACAAACTTAGTTAGCTAGTGCAAATAAGTACGACTGGATCACCAAATGAATGAGATTTCGCTTCGCTGAGAAATGAATAAGATTACTTACTATTGATATACTGAATGAGTATTGAGTCTCGTTTGCGATTTCCAGTGCCCGTAAACAACCCCGATCCCAAGCATCTAAACTTGGCTCGTCGCCCTATATGATACGAGGTATGGTAACGTCGTATCAAACAAGCTTTGCGATGATGGCCAGCAACGGCGATGAGGCATTGGGACGCAAGCAACATAATTCAAGTCTAAAAGTCGAATTTCAGACACAAACTACTCGCCGGATAGACTCGACGTAAGGCGGCCAATAATGGACTAGCATTTGGAGGTCCTTGGAAAGTCGCATCATTGGGATCGTGAAGCGTGGGAAAAAGATGGGGAACGCCGCGGCGGCCTCAAGTAACTTGTATCTTTTGGTCTTTTGGGCCTAGCTATGTGGGGCAATGCTCAAGCTAGCGAGCCAATGGTCCCACTCAGTCAGATTCCGCCTACCGTTCAGCCCCGTCCGGGGCAGGTCGGTACTTTGGCACCGGCTGTCGAGATATTATCGAGTATTTCCATTGAACACGATCATGGCTTTGAACTGAAGAAGAGGCTGGTATTACTGCATTGAGTGTCTAAAAAAGTATGATTATTCTATCAAAGTCCATTATCTGTGGTTCGAGGCCAGCATTGACTAGAATAGAGCCGATTGGACTTGCCTGACCTAACATTCAATCTGGGCGCGAAGTCACCTTCTCTGATGAACCCCGATTGTGACAGTGCACGGGCCACTGAGGCCAAATCGCTGCGCCCCCAGAAAACGGCACAGGCAACCACTCAGAAGCGACGGGCTTGAGTCACTGGATCGTTCAAATCCCCAGGCAGCCCTCGCGCATCTCGAATTCGAATCTCTCTCTTCCTCATCCGCTCCGACTACCTTCAATCTCTCTACCTTCTTCTCACCTTCAATCTACCCTGACCTTATCTCATCACAGCTAACCTTACTTATCGATACAAGCTCTTTCTATCTTTCCCCGCACCCCACGATCCATCCAATGCGCTGGTTGTAGCAGTTGTATTATTCGCCGCCAGCATGGCTTTCATGAAACCTCCACCGGTCCTGGACCGACGGGACTGGCCTGACTTTGACAGAGGTCCCACGCACCGCCTCGACAGGAATCATTACATATGCAATTGCGGAGCGCCGTTTGCCATTCGCCGACAGCCAAACTCCACGGCACTGGGACAGGTTAGTTAACGATCAATAGACGGACCTTCTCTCGAGCCGAGAGGCTAACAATACCTTCCTAGCCCCGATGCTGCAAACCCATCCTATCCAAAGCCTGGAACCCACCCCAGGCCTGTGACTCAGCCGACGGCGTACAGCCTTTGGCCCCCATTGACAAAGACCTCGCCAACGTCCACACCTTGGACCTAGCGAACATGGAGTGCCGAGCTCCAGACATCAATTCTGCTGCCCTTGATGTGCTCCCAGAATCGCTTTCCGAGTTCGGAATGGCTACTTTGGGTGCATGCGATGACTGCCTGACCACTCCAACGCTTTGGCGCTCGAGAGGACGGGACGACATCATCATGGCTCTGTCGGTTGCTCTCTAATGTGGTGACGATGTTGTTGCTTATTCGCACTGGTAAGCTTGCCGCTCGCAGCATGCTTCGCTTGTGATATGATCCTGACGGCAGCTTCCAGGTTGGCCAAGGACCTGAGTACGTCGTAAAACTTCTCGATCGGCCATCTAAACCTGATAGCGCCTGTCCACAAGATTCCACGCAACCAACGCCTTTCGCAAACAACCTGGCTCAGCAGATCGCCGAGTTAACAACGCTCTACCACCACGACACCCCTTGCCAGCATCCTCTGGCTTCTGAGACTGATTTGAGTTCCATGCCTGTTGCGACGTTCGACGTTGGCAGGCTCGCAAGCGACGACACCACCCCTTTCCCCCAGTTCAACGCCCTCTCTTCTCTTATGGCGGTCATTACCACGGCCTGGCCCTACGGGGCCCTGCCGGTATCCGCTGCACACGACGACGATATGGACGGCAACATGGCCCAGCTCTCGCCCCTCTCCGAGCTCTATGAGATGCCGGACGAGACCGACGACTGGGCCGTGCTCATGCAGCAGGACACCCTAATTACCGGCGCCTTCGAGATGGCGAGCTTCGACTATCCCGCACTGGGCACCGACTACCTGACTACCGACTACCAGACTACCGACTATCAAGCCGCCGACTACCTGACCACCGCACCCCCCCAGGACATCTTCACCGACCCCGCCGTCCAATACGACATCGAGCAGAGCCTCCAAACCGCCGCCTTTGACTTCAACGCCCCCCTGCCCGACTTGTCCGCCTCCGGCTACCTGTCCGGCGCCGACCAGCTCTCCTCCTATTTCGGAAGCACACACACTTCCCCTTACGAGCCCGCCCTCGACTTCTTCCCCGAAGCCGGTAACTTCTCCTCCTTCGTCTTCCCGGGCAGCACCGACGGCTCGTCCCCTGAGGCTACTACTGCTCCTACTGCTTCAGCCGCCGCCACCGCCACCGCCTCCCCCGACTCGGACGCCGCCAGTATCGGCGCCAGCGCCGCGTCCCACCCGTTCCGCTGCGCCGCCGACGGCTGCGCAAAGTCCTTCCGCAAGGAAGCCCAGCTGAAGCAGCACCAGCGCGTCCACCGCAAGGCCCTCGTCTGCAACATCTGCTGTGCCGAGGGCCGCCCCGAGCACAAGTTCGCGCAGGTCCGGGACCTCGAGCGCCACCTGCAGGCGCGCCACCGCGACGTCGCTGAGCGGGCCAACGTCCGCTCCGAGATCCGCCGGTGCCCCCACCCGGGCTGCGAGCACGAGGGCCGCCGGGACAACGTGTCGAGGCACCACAAGAGCAAGCACGGCAAGGACCTCAAGTGGAAGAGAGGCACTCCACACGTGGTGGGTTGAAGACACGTACACACATACACGCACACACAAGGAACCAAATTTTTGAGCGTTGCGAATTCTGGGCGTTTTGGTATCTTTTTTTCTTAAACATGCATTTCACATTGGATACCTTTTTAGGCTTTGGGAACATCTCGGTCGTCTAGCACAATGCTTTTAGACAATAAAAACACTTCAAATAACTTGGGCTGCCTCCTGTGACACGTGACTTTCGCAGCTTGTGCTTATGAAGGCCGAGTATGGGCGTCTTCTCTCGCCGGGAATTTCTATTTGAAGCTTGGGAGTCGCATGGTCCGCCTATTTGCACTTCCTGTACATAACCAACTATTGTCAACTCTCTAAAGGAATCTGTGGAATGGGATAGTGTGAATCTTATCAATCATGCAAGAAAGCCTTCAACTGTAGCAGTGATCCGCCAGCTCAATACCCCAAAAAACCGCAACAGTAATTACTGGCTGGGGGCTGGAATAGGCTTACTTGTTGTATAACCTGCTGGTGAGCGGGCAACGAAGATCCTACGTCCGTCAAGGGTATCCGGGATAATCCCGGAGCATAATTCAAAACATAATACACCGAACGAATACATAACCATGATTATAACGTGGGTTTGTGGATATGTGTCGCATGCGGTCCAACACGGTAAGAGGGTTGGCGTGCATTACACTAGATCAGCCGGCGGGGCTGGCGTATCCACAAACCGCCTCCGGGCCGCTCTCCCGAGCTGAACTTACAGCTGGCTGACTTCGGTGCGCGATGTCAGTATCCACACTATTGGAATTCAAGCTCTCATTACTACGAAGAACCAGTGGAAGAAAGTAGTATGAAACTGGACAACAGTAGAAACGTATTCTCCAAGTGCATACCCTTGATACCATCCAGTCGTGTAGAAAATAGCCCAAGCGCGGGAATGCTATTCTGACCCTCCATGTCCACCCCCCCCCCCCGTTGGTGATATAATGTAAAAGAGTGGAATCCTTCTGGTAGCAGCGCTGGCTGGCCTGAGTTGTGCGTCCACCTGCATATTTGGTACCGGGAACCATCCAATGGAGGTCAGGGCCAGGGAGGCAGCATGCTCTCGTTGGTTTTCAATTGACAGATATTGATAACACCCCGCTGTTGGAGCACTTTCAAAACTTGAAGAATCTTCAACCCCGGACTCATACCGGACTTGGAGACAAACTTGGGAAAACGAACCGAACACTTGTGCACCCTCCGTGATCACGCAACTGCTTTCGCCAACATTGGCTGGCCTGCCAGGGTCAGGAGTGTGGGTCAAAAAGGCAGTTGCAAGTACCAATGCTCTCTTTATCTTGGAAAGGCTTTTCCTTACCATGTTTCTCTTCCCAGCCTTGATTGTGCAGTACTCATTGCCGATAAATTGAATGCCTACCATCTCCCTTAGTTCATCAGACTATTAGAACGATAACTTCCCGCATCACGAGTACTGATTTGACGATGGCCGGCCCAGCGAATAATCCACCAGTAGCCGCTGCCCCTCCACAGTTGGAAACGGTCTCACCAGTAGATGAAAGGTCACCCGAGACTGAACTTGAGCCAGCCGTGATTGAAGTCGAGGATACCGACGATGTATGTAACCTCAGGCACAATCTAGCTTGTAACTTGTTCTGGTCAAACCACTAGCTGAACGAGTCGGCATCCAACATCGACGACCGAATGTAAGTTCGAGAACTATCGCTATTGAACAGAATCCGAAAGTTCAGTTCTACGTACACGGCGTCTGTTTCCTCAAGTGTCATCGATCATCCTACCGAGAATGGTCGCCGGTATCACGCCTTCAGAGCAGGTGGTAAGCATAGAGTGTCTGGTCTATCTGGGACGGGATACCAATAAATGAGTAGCCTACTACGGTCCGAATGATGAGGTGATTCGCTTTCCTGGCGCCTGAGAAATCCGGGTTTGGAACTAATCGGCCTTGATTTGGCAGAGCGAACAGGATCGCCTTGACTTCCATCATGCACTGATTTCGAAGCTAATAGGGAAGAAACTATTTCTCTCGCCGATCAATAAAGAAAAAGATCAACGGATACTTATATCGGTACCGGAACCAGTATTTATATGATGCCCACTTCAACTTCTGTAGTTGACTGCTAACGAACCCAGAGGCCACGGAAGTGGGAGAGCTCCTTCCTAACTCAGAGGTATAGACAAATCTATATCACCAGTCGTATTTTGCTTTACCCTGAACAAGACTAACTCGCTGGCTAGGTCATCGGCAACGACTTGAGTGCAAACCAACCAACTTGGTATCTGCCAGCCGCATAATAATTTCGGTCAAGGACCTGACGCTAACCCCCGTAGAGTCCCACCCCACCTAACGTCAAGTTCGAGATTGATGATGTTGAAAGCCCTTGGGTGAACGCTTATAAGTTCGACTTCATCTTCTGTCGGCACATGGTAGGTGCCATTGCTGACTGGCCAAAGCTGATGAGCAACATCTACGAGTACGTTTTGGATGTCTCAGATATTATAGACACACTGTTACTAAAAGGGAGCTCAGGAGTACGAACCCTGGCGGGTGGGTGGAATTTCAAGACTACGACCTTCTCTATACCTCAGAAGACGGCTCATTGACAGAAGAACACCAAACACTCAAGTGGATTCGTCTTATTCTTGAAGCCTGCGACAAAATGGGTCGCGATGGTCGTCCATGACCCAAATTGGAGAACTGGGTGAGAGAGGCCGGGTTTGTCAACATCGCCCATGAGAAGTTCATAGTGTCGATAGGACCATGGCCAAAGGACACGCATCACAAGGATGTTGGGATGTGCAACTTGATCCAGATGTTGGATGGATTGGAGGCGTTTAGCTTGAGGGTGTTTTGTGGTGTGCTGGGATGGACAAGGGCCGAGGTACTGGTGTTGCTTGCGATGGTGCGCAAAGATTTGAAATCTTGCAAGTTTCACGCCAAGTATTATTTGTAAGTATCGCATGATCTCACCTCCCAAGCTCTGTACAACAGCTGATGATCGACGGAAAAAGCCACGTGGTATACGCCCAGAAACCAGGGGCCACTGATCGAAAGTAGCGGTGGGCGGTATAGTTGTTGAGTTTCTGAAGGTCGCCCCACGACGTGAATCTTTGGTAAACTAGTTAGTGCTACAAAACTAAGAAATATGTCATAGGCAAGGAAAGATAATAGTAGTACGCACAAGAGGTTTGATTGTTACTATGGTCCTTATCATGGCTTTGAAGCGATACTTGCAGAGTGAAGTAGCGTTTGTGTCTGTATAAGTTGTCACCACCCTATTTACGACACATTTTAGGATACTCTTTACTAGATGAACCGACAAACTAAAGAAAATATATGCGTTGTTTTGTTTCTCGCCCACACAATATCAAACTCCATGCGTAATCCATACGAGCCTTGTTGAGCTCTTCAACAAGACTGGCTGCTCATCTCTTGTCCAGGGTAAGATACTTTGATATCTTGCTCCTAATTCCAGTAAAATAAAACAAACGTCGTTCAAACAGTCCTGGTCTTTCATCATATGCTCTATTGGCTAGCTCTGGTTCTAGGCAGCTCGTCCTTCTTTCTGTGATTTCAGGTTTCCCACATTGCAATAGCACGCATATTGGTGCTTTACAGGCCCTCAAAAGCAAAGAGTCGTTTGATTCGAATAATTAATAACAGTTTGCCAAAGTAAACTGAACCCATAGATCTATAGGCTTAACAGCCCCATACACTGGACCTATATGTGTGCACAACCTCATTCGCAATAGACTAATCAGAACAAACCCAAAACAACGCGAGTTACCAGTCCAACGAGCGCTCTGTGTGTCAAATTCGATCCGCAATCGTTTGATATGGCTTTATGCCCGCCATCAATACGGCGCATCGTACTTAGCGTGATAATCAATATTCCTTCGGTATTGCACACCGATTTCCCGCAAGTCATAGAACCCGAATATTGGCCGGCCGCCTCGAATGAGTACCTTCCATAACGCTTATAATTGTCCTCGAAGGCGGCTCTATGTATCAAATCAGACGTCAAGCCTCTGAGTAGACGAGTCTTAGGAGTCTTACCACATCTATCTGTCGCTCTGTCACTGGGTACTTGATGGAGTAGACATTGTGTCTCATTTCCACCCTGTAGTTGATATCACCATACTTCTGCTTAAGAGCCGCGGAAAGCTTGCTTGGGCTTGACACATATTTACAGCTTATCTTCTGCTCTTGAAATATCTCACTCACAGCGGTTGAGGATCCAGTTTCCATCTTTGATTTCGAATCGCAAGGCGTGTGGCTCCACTTGAATGGCTCCTTTGAGTTTGCGGTCTGTTAGTAGTCTTGGTTTGTGTCTACGCTGTAGAACTGTTTGACTATTGTATCTTTTTCTGATGCCGAGATTTGTTTGTTGAATATCGATAAAAGAAATGCTGATTGAGTATAGACGCAGGCGAGGTTTGATATGAACATTCAGCGTTAATAACACTTTTTCTAGGGAGTCATCACGAGATAGCCTCGCATCCACGGAATTCCATGACACTACCTGGAAGCAGCAGCCCCGAAGTGGCGAGCGGTTGTGAAACCCGAAAAAGTAGAAAAAGTCTATGATTCGTCGCCTGGTCATCATTCCTTGCGCATCATTCCTTGCGCTATGTTACACTGGAAAGATGATCCATACCTAATGCTAATGAGTTAGCTTATCCCACAGCCATAAGACTCAGCAGCGACAAAGCCACCGAGAGGGTTTCATGAAGTTTTATTGGTAAGTTCCCGTTAATGGGGCTTGGCCTGCATACAAAACCCTCTCACAGGGCGCGTGGAACATGGAAATGACTATTGTCTTACATGCTGCAAGCCACGGGGGCTACTTTCCAATCCTCCGCCCCCCTCCCCCTTTTTGTGCTATCAGTGGTGGGGGCTGAGAAGGAGGCAGCGAATCTCAATTTCCTGGTTGTGCCAGCTTACATCCCTGAATTTTGATGACGTGGAATTGCATCTTCCAAAAGCAGGATCGATCAACCTCTCATACTGTATAGTCTTTGTGTAAAAGACCAGTAGGTTAGCGAGACTTATCGCGGCTGCCCGAGCACCTGCAAAGCATGTGAGGCAGTCCTGCCCAGAACCGCTGGATAGCAAGATTATTTCAGGAAGTATACACTCTTCAATCGTTCACGCTTAAATCTCTAGACCGAAAACAGTTTGCTCATGGTAGCTTTGAGGCCCAGGATTGTGAATCAGCTGTGCAATACCAGTAATTGCCCCAATAACATTAAGGTTGATTGGTGCTATCACTCATACATTTGGTTCCAACCGCGTGGCCCGTATGAGAATTGTTCTATCTCTTCCTATGCAATTTTAGTATCATACTAGTCAAGATCCGATGCCTGGACATTTACTCAAGAAAGGCGCCCTCTTGCAAAGATGGAGAACATATTGTGCCTCATCTATTTCAGGATGTGAAATTGGGCACCATGTGTCTCTTCATGTCTTTTGTCCAAATCTCTTGTTGAGAAGTAATGAGAGCCTTCCTGGATCAACGCGCTGGCTTGACATGGTTTGAGAAGGTCCTGGCTTTGTAAACTTCGCCAGCCGATAGTAATTACTATCATTGCTATATGGGCAAAGTGTCTCGTCCCCATCAGGCTGCCGTAGTGGATGGAAATCCTACATGTAACTACACCCTCATTGATGCAAGCAAAAAACCCCTACAACACGCTACATTCCATTGGCAACCTGTATGCCTGAATAAAACCAATCACAGTGATTTTCTACTTCTGTTCGGTGTCTCAGGCCCATCACTTCGCCCACCCTTGGCTTGTAGCCTACCGGATAATTGTGTAGCATAGCCCCCTTGTGCATGCATGCGAGAATTCAGCCTACATCTGAAGTTGCCAAAGCGCTCAAATCCAGTTCCGGGATTGCTCAATGGCTTAGTCACCTAGCTGAGTTAAGACTTGCCCGGCGAGGTCAAAGTGAGCCGAACATCCTTAAAGATCACAACTGGATCTTTCCAGTCGTAAGAGTACTATAGATGGCCCTTATCGCCTCTTGCTAGAGAGTTAGATGATATACCGGTACTATGTCAGTCAAGAGTTCTTTATTGAGTTTACCTCTATAATTTTGTTGTTCAAACAAAAGTACCTATTCCCAATTGACGGGCATCATTCATAGTAATTTGTGATGGATGCCTCTCGATCCTTTGGTAAGACAAGGACGATCTTTATTATCATCTTATTCTCTTCTGACTCTATCCAGGCCCAAAAGTATATCAAAAAGCAACCCAGTGAGGTATGGTGCTTTAATCATGCGAATACTTTTAGCCCAGTCATTTTCGTTTCATTAAGTCTCGTCAGGACGGCATCATTGTGGCTCGAGCCTAGCTAATCCCATAGCAGAGCTTGAATGGAAATGAAACCGTAATGAATCGTATTCGATTGATAGAGCCCGACGGCACTGAGGTCGACATTGGAGACACCGGCAATGATCACGCCAGAAACCGTCCACACTTAGGGACCGTAGCATCTTGGCGAAATAATGGGGGTCCACCGTCTACGATACCGCAAGATGCCCTACGAGGGATTCCATCGGACGGACAAACGGAAATCAATGATCATGGCGACACCGCACAGTTGGAAGCTGAGACCGCCAAGAGCGAGTCAAAAGCTCCTAAGTCCTCAGAAGACGACATTTCGTACGTCGGCGGTGCACCTGGTCTCAGCGATCAGGAACCCGGCATGCCCTTCGATGTATCCGAGTCAGAGAGTGACCTCGACTATGACGATCTTTGGGAGTCCATTGACGACCAGCTCATAGAGCCCCCTCCAGAGAATGGGAGGAAGTACCTTCCATTGGACCAACTCCGCAAGATAATGGTCAAGCCCAGAGTTCGACAAGAATTGAAGAAGTTAAGAGGCATCGACCGAGATACCATTCACAGATACGCCAATGCAGTATGCGATACTACAGACTATGGAACCATGCAAAGGACGACGAGACACAAGATGTTTGCCACTCTAGTTCATATTGAGCATATTGAGGCATTGTCTAGTTTCATCGACGAGAAGATTCATGACGTCCATTTGCCATTCACTTTGGAAAAGGGTCCGCGTTGGCATTTAACATACACTACGACAGACAGGGTGACCACTAAAAAAGTTACTGCCATATTTCAAGGAAGCTACAGTTGGACTAAGGCAAAGATGGACTCGTTCGTTGATCGCCAGTGGCTCTTTATGGCTCCTTTCTTCGACATGAAGGCGAACAAACCCCCCTTCTACCCGCTTGAGGCAAGAGTTGTGCTTCCTTTCCGCAAGGAAGAGAAATGCGATCCGGCATATGGGGGCTTTAGTACCGTGTCGAGGACGCATATACATGAAGCCCACCACAACTCCATGCATGCAAGTATTCAATGCTTATTTTGTTTTTTTTGAGACTATTTGCTAACCGGTCAGAAAAGGGCACTGAACCTTTTTTCGCAATCAAAAAGCTTCACTCCTTAGACCGGGCGGCTTTCGAGCGGGAGCTTCATGCAATGAAGAAGTTCAACCGACAAGGTCATCCGCACCTGATGAAGCTTCTTGCTACATATCAGTATCAAGAACATTGGTATTTTATTTTCCCTTGGGCGAATGGAAACTTGAGAGAGTTTTGGCAGCAGCATGACACACCTCAACCAGACCACCAGCTCGTCGTTTGGATTGCAGACCAAGTAACTGGTATTGCGTCTGGTCTAAACTTGATTCAACACCCTCCCAAAGACCCCACATTAACTCAAGACGCGAGGGATTCTGGTAGACATGGTGACTTAAGACCCGAGAACGTGCTTTGGTTCAAAGATCACTGCAAGGATGAAAGCATCATCGGTAATGGGGTTCTCAAAATTGCTGACTTTGGCCTCACCAGCTACCACCACCACAGCTCCAGATACGATAACGCCAAAGGCTTGAGTTTTGCACAGACTTACAAAGCGCCCGAAGTGGATGTGGCTGAGGAAGTTTCACAAGCTTACGATATCTGGACTTTGGGTTGCCTCTTACTGGAGTTTGTTACGTGGTATCTCAAAGGTTGGCAGGGCGTAGATGAATTCTCCCGCGACCGGGCCAAGAATGACGCGAAAGAAGACGAAATCCCTCTGGACACGTTTTATAACATCATCATTGTGGATGGTGTCAAACAAGCTGTCCTCAAGCCAACTGTCAAAGAGGTGAGAATCAGCGCAATTGAATTCACTTCAAGGTACTGACGAAAGATACCAGTGGATACAGAAACTCCACGATGATGAAGACTGTTCATCATACTTTCAGCAGTTACTCACCTGCATCTGCGATAATCTCCTCCGAATAGATCCCAAAAAGAGACAAAAATGCCCCGATGTGGCAAAAACGATGAAACAAATGGCTGGGGATTGTAAGAAGAATCAAGAATACGCAGCTTCAGGTTACGATAAACCGCCTAACAAGTCCCGCACGACGGGAATTACTGGCTCTGACAAAACGGTTTCGGATTACGGACACGCCGAAACAGAATTCAACACTCAAACGGCGTTGGTTGGATCCAGATCTCCTTCTCCGGAAAGAAGCGATGTTACCCACGATTCTGGACTGCCAAACAGCACCAAAGGCCATAATGGCCGCGTGGTGTATCCAAATGCTTCGATAGAGGATTCGGTTGAAACGCCTAATATCACCACTAAAAGGTGATATCCATTGAGCCGCAACCCGTCTTTAACAGCGGCGATGAGATAAAATAGTCTAATGCAATCGAAAACAGAGGGGGAGAGGCTTCTAAAAGGAGATGAGGTCATCCAGCAGCAAAACTCTCTACTTTATGGCGGAATGGGTCCACCTTGGTTGAGACGGATATGCGACTAGAGATAGTTGTCGCAACCCCAAACCACGTTTCTGTTGTTCAATTGTAATATGACTCGGCTATACAAGGGCATCGCTTAGTGATGTAAAGGCGGGAAGTTTCGAATTGATTTCGTTTTGAAGGATTTTGCGTTTTCCAAGTTACTTCTTTAAGCTAGCATCTGCTCATTGTCTATGCCAATCCTTGCTTATGAGTAACAGACGGCGGCGGCGGCGGCAGCGAGATGCATATTATGTTACCAGTTAGAGTATGCACATACATAGTGGGGCATATGAGAATGAGGATAAGAAGGGCTTAATTATACGAAAGCAAAGGTAAAAAAGAAAGTGTCTTCATATAGTGAAGTGATACGGGTAATGAATCAAACGCCACTTGATATAACATGTGATGACGCTGATACGAAGTGCCAATAATGTATGAAGCTATCGTGACATATTCCTATGAGCAACTCTGATATTGGATGCTCTCTGATAGTATTGGACCCCAATTTCACCCCTTCCATCACTACTACGGATGATAATGAACCTGCACTTTCTCGTAAATGTCATTGATTTCAGTCTTGCATCCCACGTCAGAAAATGAATCGTTGGCTTGTTGATATGTAGCCTTACCGAACCAAGCTTACGAGTAGCATCCACCACAAACTGTCCATGCTGAGTCTTCCAGAGTATAAGCATCTGAAAGTAATGACAAGTTGCATAATCTACATACCGAAAGTCTGTATTTATTTGCACCCAGCCGTCGATCAAGTTCTGCTTTGACGGGTGCAGAGTTGGCGTAGCACCATGGAATGATGGAGCGAACAAATCCAGGCTGCGGTCGAGTCATTTTCAGTGACGCAGCACGCGAATTTGTGTGGTTGCAACTCTGCAATATTAGGATTTATTAGAAGAGCGTCCAAGTTCAGCGTGTTTGGTAGTGCCACGGGGGAGGGAACACGACGATGACAATGCCGATGGGATTGAAGATTGCGAATTGTAGAAATAAAGCCACAATGGGATCGTTCAATTCATCAGCTGGTCAAGGCATTTTAATGGGCCAATTTCACATGTTTCTTCTCGCCCGCTTAACCATCGTCTGAATAATCTCGATTGAGGGGATGCCGGTAAGGCGTTCCAGGCAGCGAGTTGAGATGTGCAATTAACAATACGCAACCTCCTTAGTAGACAGACAAATGCTAGAACATCACTGCAGGCTCTGATGATCATGACGGTCAACCTCACCGAAAACCCCGCACTCAGGCATGACATACTCAGCCTGCTGCCAAATATGCCTTGATATGTTGCCAAGGTGGCACGCTCTTCTTGAAGGTTGCACAGGCATAGAATATGTACATACGCAGTGAGACACACCTGTAAGGAGTTGCGCCTAACACCGCAGATAACGATCATGTATGCTTACATGAGCGGCGCAAAATCCATGGCATAGTACTTGGGCATATATGCCGCTGCATGATGCATACAATAGCTTAAAAGGATTTGCGCAGCCATCTCGAGACAAAATGGCTTGCAGGAAGCTGTCGCTCCACAAAATTCCACCCAACTACTAAAGGAAAAAGTCCTCCTTAATGTGTCTACCACTCTTTGGTACATCTTACCGGGAAGGCATGTCATAGGCTGCTCGGGAAGAGTACGAGGCTGTGGCTGTGATACAACCCCGCTCAAGGTTGAGGCGAAGGACCACACCGGGCCTTTACTGAGGGGTCTCTTCGGTAATCAGAAGTTTTGGTGTCTCATTCAGGTCAAAATCCGCCTGAGATCTCCATTATTGGGGCTCGACCGTTTACAATCACTCAAAGCTTCATATACAAGTCTGTACCTCTTACACGTTAGGCGATCAGTCGACATACGCTCGAAACCTGAACCTTGACACGGCATATTCATCGTGAAAATGGAGTGGCCATCGAAAGTAGCAAGGTTCCAGTCACATGACCTGAAAGTATTTCAGTATGAGGAGCGACCGACGACTGTTGTCACCATTCGACTTGACGATGTGTCAGAATCTCAGGTGGCAGCATGATATTCCACAAAAAAAAGGTGCTTAAGTTTAACTCTTCTTTCAGAAACGATTCACGGAGGAAATATTAAGGTCAGAAATGGACTGGAACGCATGGCTCAAGAGTGTTGTACGTAAAACCCCATTGTCGTTCCGGATTTGCCCCGTATGAAGCTCAAACCACACAGGACTTGGACCTCAGTGATGATGAGTCGACTACTCTGAATCTTATGTAAGTATTTATATTGACCATTGTCAAAAAACAGTGCAGTCTTCCAGCAACCGTCAGTACCGTCAGTGCTAATGCTGTAGATAACTGTAGTTTGTTCAGACGCACATCCGAGACATTCTCCGATTGTCCCCCGGAAATCCATTATCTTCCGGTGTCAGAATCTACGTTTAGGAAAGTTACTGACTCGTTTCGGACGCACCGAGCTCTTGCCCGAATGATGAACCGGAAAGATTCCGAGTTTCTTCATTGTGTTGAGGTTGATCATGGCTGCGAACCACGGAAAGTTGGTTAGTCTGGGACCGAAGACCCATGCCTTCTTACCAGGGCTAATAGGTCCTATCTGTAGTATACAACTATCGAACAAGCGCCGCCTATCTCGACGACGTGGCCGTGTCCGTGACGCACGAACCGCGTAGTTGTTCGACAACGGCAATCTTCTTCGGTCTGAGCGAGACACAGGAACGCTTACTTCTACAGAGGATGAAGGAGTCGATGGAAGACTTTTGCCACCCGCTTGCGTTAATTGGTGCTGCTTGCGAGCTTGACCGGGACCGATGGATTCAAAAGGAGATCCGCCCTATCGAGTCAACGTACATCGAGAAGAACTACCAGTGGAGCACCACTAGCAGTGAGAGCCTTGCGGCTGACCCGGAAGGCGAGACAATGGAGGACACGCTCAGTTTGCGCTTCAAGTCGAGCTTCTTGCTCACGGGACTGACAGCCGCCAGGCGGCAACTCATCCGCATCGGTGACCACTTGAGAGAGATCCGCAAGGATCCGGACATGGTTTCATTCTTGAAATGCCCCAGCTGCCGGCACGGCAAACAGACCAAGCCCGGCGGCTACGGAATAGGCTTGGAAAAACAGCAGGCCCACACAGCTGCGCGTCTGCAACACCGTCTCGATCAAATCACTGACGAATTCGACTTGAAGATAGACGGCTGCAAGTCATCCATGGAGGACATGATGGCCACTACTCAGGTGGTAAGGGGTTTCTGAACCGTGAAGACGAGACCGGCTGACCGACGTTGTACAGGTTATCAGCCGCATCGCGAGACATGACACGCAGACTAACACGGCGATATCCAAAGCTACCAGAGAAGATAGCTCGCAAATGCGGTCTATAGCGTTCGTGACCATGATATTCTTGCCTGTCACGAGCATTGCAGTACGTTTTCGTCTGGGAGGCGACTTGCGAAAGACCGATGCTGACCGGACTAGACGATCTTCTCAATGAACGTGTTTGACTGGCAAGCCAAAGACGGGAAGCATCTGATCACGGTGCACTTCTGGCTCTACTTGGCTGTTGCTGGAGCGTCAACGGCCCTTACGGTTGGTTTGTGGATTTTCTACACACGAGTAAGGAAGGAACTGTCTTCTAGGAAGGATGAGGAAGCCGGTGTCTAGATTCTGTTCCAAAGGTCGTGTGGCCGTTCGTGAATGAAATTTGCTCAAAGACAATTGAATTTCCCAGTGTATTTAGACATATAAGTCAAAGTACCCACTTACCGACCACCCCCTCATTCCAACCACCCAAAAATGCCTCATCCACCCCCTTTATCTACCATAACCCTCCTACTTCAAACTATCACCACTTTTACTACCTTTATCTAAATCACTTCATTTTTTATATATAACTTCTTTATACCCCTATAGTTAAATATACTAAAGACTAGGTCTAGTAGGCACTAAATACTATTATAGCTAGCGTTAGTTAGCGCTAGGCATCTTATATCTATAGTTAACACAGTTAAATAGGTAATAAATTCAATGACTAACTAAGCTAGAGCTACAGCTAGCAACAGCTAGTCTTATAGACTAGCAACAGGTGGGGCCCAGTGGGGCACCAGCTGTCAGCAGGATATTAGCCTAACCAATAGATCCACTAGCAGGGCTAAGAAAGTAGATCTAAAGGTTAGCCACATTATCCTATGACAAGTGCCCCCCTAATAATAGAAATAATTATTGTACAGTAATTATTTAATTACTAGTTAATAAGGTTATTAACTATATACCTTAGGCTTCTATAAGGCTATTATAGCTGTTATAAAAAAGGTATACCTAAGGGTTAATAGTCTTTATTATAGTTATTATTATTACTATAACTATTACTATATTTATTATTACTATATTTATCCTTATAGTTATTAAAGTCCTTATATCTATTAGTATTATCTTTAATAGTGTTACTATTATTACTACTATAATCCTAGTTATTATTACTAGCTAGGTAGTTAAGTTAATAGTAGTTAGGTTAATATACTAGTTAGTTAAGTATATATATAGGCTAGCTATAAGCTAGCTAACTATAAGTTAGCTAACTATAGGTTAGCTAACTATAAGTTAGCTAGCTATAAGTTAGCTAGCTAGGCATATATAAGTATAAGTATAGACTTTAGGCTAGTTAACTATAAGCTAGTTAGCTAGGCGTATATATAGGTTATTAATATATAGGTTAGTTAGTTATATATATAGGCTAGTAGTATTAATAGTTATATACTAGCTAGCTATAGGATAATTAGCTAGATACTAGCTAACTATAGGCAAGTTAGCTAAAGGTAAGTTAGCTACTAGCTAGTTAGCTATTAGATTTATTAAAGTTATAGTAATAATCCCCTGTATAAATAGATTTATTATTATTATCCTAGGGACCTATTTCTATAGTATAACTAGTAGTATTATTATCTTTATCCTTATTATCTTTATTATCTAAGGTATCTTAACTATAGTACTATATAGCTTTATAAGATAGTAGTAGTAATAGTAGGCTATCTTAGAGCTAGTAGACCTATTACTAAAGGGACTAGATTTTCTTCTTTTATTCTTAAAGGCACTAGTAAATAAGTTTACTTTTTAGTAGGTAACCTTCTCTAAATCTAGGGTATATTTAATATAGCTTTTAAAGGTATAACTAAGTATATAACTTATAAGGGCATTAGGCCTATTAGGTATACGTTAATAGTAGTATTAGTAGTAATAGCTTTAAGTATTTTATTACTAGCTAGAGGTTTTATATATCCTTTACTTATTTACTCTCTTATTAGACTATATTCTCTTAGTTCTAAATTAGTATTATCCTTTAGGTAAAGGCCTTAATAGTAGTATAAAATTTTATAGCTAAGAGGAAGATTAATACTACTAGTAATATAAACTATTTACTTATAAGTAAAAAAGGTAGTAATAAGATAGTTATTATTAATAGTAGTAATAATAAAGTTAATAATAAAGGTAGTAAAGGCTTTAAAGGTAAAGATAATAAAGGCTAGTAGTCTAGTAGGTAATAAAAAAAGGTATTCTAAGATATAAAGTCTTAATAATAAAGTTAGTAGTAATATTATTAGCTATAGTTATTAGTATATATATAGTAAAAAAGTATAGATCTTAAGGAAAATCTAGTACTATACTTATAGTAAGGCTTTAGCTAGTAACTTTATTACTATTATTACTATTTAAGGGCTTTAATTAATAGTAGCTTTAGTAGTAGTAGCCTTAATATTTATAGAGGTAAAATAACTAATATAAAGAAGTATAAAGAAGAGTAAAAAAAGTAAAGTTATTAAAGTAAAGGTTAGTAATAGTAGTAGTAACTAGAGGTATAGTAAATCTAGCTAAATAGGTTAGTCTAGTGTAGGCTAATAGTAGTAAAAAAATCTACTAGTAAGTATATATTAGTAGCTAGGCTAGTAAAGGGATACCTTTAATTAGTTACCTTTAAGATAACTAATTAAATAGCTTTTAATAGTAATTTAGTATATTTACCTCTTATTATTATTAATAGTAGTAAAAGGTTAATTACCTATAGTATTATAACTAGTAGTTATACTACTACTTAATATAGTTAAATAGGTAATAGATTTAATAACTAACTAAGCTAAAGCTATAGCTAATAATAGCTAGTCTTATAGACTAGTAATAGGTAAGGCCTAGTAAAGCACTAGCTATTAGTAAGATATTAGCCTAACTAATAGATCTATTAGTAAGGCTAAGAAAGTAGATCTAAAGGTTAGCTATATTATCCTATAATAATAGTATCCCTAAGTAATATAGTTAAATAAGTAATAGATTTAATAACTAACTAAGCTAAAGCTATAGCTAGTAATAGCTAGTCTTATAGACTAGTAATAAGTAAGGCCTAGTAAGGCACTAGCTATTAGTAGAATATTAGCCTAACTAATAGATCTACTAGTAAGGCTAAGAAAATAGATCTAAAGGTTAGCTATATTATCTTATAATAAGTGCCCCCTTAATAATAAAAATAATTATTATATAGTAATTATTTAATTACTAGTTAATAAGGTTATTAACTATATACCTTAGGCTTTTATAAGGCTATTATAGCTATTATAAAAAGAGTATACCTAAGGGTTAATAGTCCTTATTATAGTTATTATTATTACTATAACTATTACTATATTTATTATTACTATATTTATCCTTATAGTTATTAAAGTCCTTATATCTATTAGTATTATCTCTAATAGTGTTACTATTATTACTACTATAATCTTAGTTATTATTACTAGCTAAGTAATTAAGTTAATAGTAGTTAAGTTAGTATACTAGTTAGTTAAGTATATATATAAGCTAGCTATAAGCTAGCTAACTATAAGTTAGCTAACTATAGGTTAACTAACTATAAGTTAGCTAGCTATAAGTTAGCTAGCTAGGTATATATAAGTATAAGTATAGACTTTAGGCTAGTTAACTATAAGCTAGCTAGCTAAGTGTATATATAGGTTATTAATATATAAGTTAGTTAGTTATATATATAGGCTAGTAGTATTAATAGTTATATACTAGCTAGCTATAAGATAATTAGCTAAATACTAGCTAACTATAAGTAAGTTAGCTAGAGGTAAGTTAGCTACTAGCTAGTTAGCTATTAGATTTATTAAAGTTATAGTAATAATCTCTTATATAAATAGATCTATTATTATTATCTTAGGGACCTATTTCTATAGTATAACTAGTAGTATTATTATCTTTATCTTTATTATCTTTATTATCTAGGGTATTTTAACTATAGTACTATATAGCTTTATAAGGTAGTAGTAGTAATAGTAGGCTATCTTAGAGCTAGTAGACCTATTACTAAAAGGACTAGATTTCCTTCTCTTGTTCTTAAAGGCGCTAGTAAATAGGTTTACCTCTTAGTAGATAACCTCCTCTAAATCTAGGGTATATTTAATATAGCTTCTAAAGGTGTAGCTAAGTATATAACTTATAAAGGCATTAGGCCTATTAAGTGTACACTAGTAGTAGTATTAGTAGTAATAGCTTTAAGTATCTTATTACTAGCTAAAGGTTTTATATATTCTTTACTTATTTACTCTCTTATTAGACTATATCCTCCTAGTTCTAGATTAGTATTATCCTTTAAGTAAAGGCCTTAACAGTAGTATAAAATTTTATAGCTAAAAAGAAAGTTAATACTACTAGTAATATAGACTATTTACTTATAAGTAAAGAAGGTAGTAATAAGATAGTTATTATTAATAGTAGTAATAGTAAAGTTAATAATAAAGGTAGTAAAGGCTTTAAAGGTAAAGGTAATAAGGGCTAGTAGTCTAGTAGGTAATAAAAAAAAGTATTTTAAGATATAAAGTCTTAATAGTAAAGTTAGTAGTAATATTATTAGCTATAGTTATTAGCGTATATATAGTAAAAAAGTATAGATCTTAAGAGAAATCTAGTACTATACTTATAGTAAGGCTCTAGCTAGTAATTTTATTACTATTATTACTATTTAAGGGCTTTAATTAACAGTAGCTCTAGTAGTAGTAGCCTTAACGTCTATAGAGGTAAAATAACTAATATAAAAGAGTATAAAGAAGAGTAAAAAAAGTAAGGTTATTAAAGTAAAAGTTAGTAATAGTAGTAGTAACTAGAGGTGTAGTAGATCTAGCTAGATAGGTTAGTCTAGTATAGGCTAACAGTAGTAAAAAAATCTACTAGTAGGTATATATTAGTAGCTAGGCTAATAAAAGGATACCTCTAATTAGTTACCTTTAAGATAACTAATTAAATAGCTTTTAATAGTAATTTAGTGTATTTACCTTTTATTATTATTAATAGTAGTAGAGGGTTAATTACCTATAGTATTATAACTAGTAGTTATACTACTACTTAATATAGTTAAATAGGTAATAGATTTAATAACTAACTAAGCTAGAGCTATAGCTAGTAATAGCTAGTCTTATAGACTAGCAACAGGTAGGGCCTAGTAGGGCACCAGCTATTAGCAGGATATTAGCCTAACTAATAGATTTACTAGCAGGGCCAAGAAAGTAGATCTAAAGGTCAGCCATATTGTCCTATAACACTAAGACTATATTATAGAACTATTTATCTAGTACTACCTAGACTAGGTAGTCTACCTTTTCTAACTATTAATAACTCTCTATTAGTTAGGAGGCTAGGCTAGCTAGTTAGGTGTAAACCTAGGTTAATCTTAGTTATCCTTTAACCTATTAATAACTAAAGGAATTTACCTAGTGTATTCTTAAGGCTATAGGTAATAATAGACTAATTAAGAAGAAGTAAGTAAATACCTTTATTAAGAGGAATCTATTTATTAAGGTCTAAAGAAGTTACTTTATTAATTCTTAATATATTAATAAGGTATTTACTAAGGTTATTAGAGAATAGTTTAAATATTTTATTATCCTTTATATTACTACTATTAAACTAGCTAATAGATATAATATAAATAAGACTAGTATCCTTAAAGGTAAAAGAGATAATAGGCTAATACTAAGTAAAGTAAAGATAATATTTATAAGAAAAAAGTAGCCTAGATTAAGAGCCTAGGTATTTATTATTAAGTATATATTTACTAATAGTAATACTATTTATTTATTAGTTATATATAAAGGTAAAATAGTCTAGTAGTAGTAGTTTTCTCTAGATCTAAACCTATATAATAGGTAGTAGTTTATAGTAATAAAAAATAAATAGACTACTAATAATACTACTATTAAATAGCTATAGAAGGTCTTTATTTTTTAGACTAAGCCTTTTAACCCTAATTAGGCTAAACTACTAATCTTAGATAGGCATAAAAGCTATATAATAATAGACTTTATATAGTTATACTATATTTATAATGTCTATTTATTATTTTTACTACTATATATCTCTTATATCCTCTAGCTACTTAACTAAGTAGTCTTTAGGCCTATAAAGGTAGCCTATTATAAGAAGCTTAGATATTTAAGTTAGTAAAATAATTTAACTATTATTAGTAAAAAGAACTTTATTAGCTATTATTATAAGGCTTACTAGGCTAAGCTAACTATAGGTAATATTAAAAGTAGTTAAAAATACACTAGGTTATAGCCTATTACTCTAGTAAAACCTTTAATAAGTAGGCATCTAGTCTAGAAGGTAATATTATTATTAATAGCACTATTAATACTACTTAACTAGAGGGTAAAAGGGGCCTATAAGGCCTAGGGTATAAAGGAATAGGTATCTGCCTTATCTATAGTTAAGTAGTCTATACTAAAGAAGGTTAAAGACCTTAGAGATTAACTATATTTATTTAGCTAACTAGAATAAAATATTACTATATAACGCTAGCTCTTTAGAAAGGTTAAAAAAGGCTTTAAAGAGTAGGCCTTTAAGTTAGCTACTACTAAGCACTAAATATAGCTTCTCTAGGCTAAAGTTAATAATAGTACTACTAGGAAAAGGAAGGCTATTACCCTAGATCTAAACACAAAGTTCGCAACTATCAAAGAGGTGCAGTAAGCCCAGGTTAAGGCTAGTGATACTAAAAGTGAGCTAGATGAATCCAGTGCATTAGAATTATCTAGTGAGGCCGAAAGTTGCATTATTGTGGCTTTAAGAGGTAGTTGATAGTTAATTAATAAAGTGGTGGTTGTTGTGATAGCATCATGATTCATGTGGTCGGAATGGGGGGGTGGTCGGTAAGTGGGTACTTTGACTTATATCTCATAACAGCGGTCAAAGATGTCTTGCACATCGCAAGGAAACGAAAAGAAAGCCACAACTCAAATCTGAGCTCAGCCATGTAGACTACGAAGAGTTTGCGGCCATACCTTAGGCAGTCACCATTCGAAGTTACCAGCCCCATCATCATAGGCCGCCTCATGAGGCTTTCGGTCAAGCGAATCATCATCAATCAGTCCTTCGATCTCGAACTGCACAAGGACTCTGTCACCAGTCGCTTTGTTTGCAATGTATTTCCGAATCCAGTCCTCAAAGTGTTGCTTCATGGCGTTGAACTCATCTTCCCGTCCCCGATAGACGAGGTGCTCAGCCAACGACCCTGGGGCCTTCAGAGAGAAGCGTAGGACTTTGGTATGAGAGGCATCAAGATCCAGCTCATTTTCCAAGTCTGCGAGTGTCTTGCTCCGGATCCTTCCCGATCGCCAGGGGACGCTTAGGTGGACGGGATAGTGAGAGATTACACGGTACCTGAACTCAACTCGGGCTGTCCTAGGCGGAGAGGGTTCAGGGGCTGTCCCTTGCCCCTCAGAACTGCGAGTACCGGTCACCTGGTCCGCGTGTCGAACGTCAGAGGAGCTCGATGGTACCGCAGGTGAGAGAGGTTGAAGAGAGCCTAAAGAGTTGTACAGGGGCGCCTTCCTTTTATCCAGAGACAATTGTGTGTTTCTCTCCGCGTTCTGAGAGGTTTTCTGCTCCCTCACTTCGCTCTCATTTTGCAATTTTGTCGTGCCAACAGCAGAATCCGCAGGACCTTCGTCGGCGAGGCTTTCCGTTGTAATTCTGGGATTGTCCATTTCCTCGCGGACGCCGGTCAGCGGACTGCCGGGCGGTACTGCTCCAGAAGCGGATGCTGCGCCGGCAATAGCATGCTCTGGGACAGATGAGCGCTCAGGAGACCGAGGCGCTTCTTCAACTTGCGCTGGAGTTGCTTGATCATATTTCCTAGGCATTTTACTTCTGCGGGACGATGCCCTGTTGACACCTGTCGTAGCTGACCTTTTCTTTCCTCTTTTTGAAGACGTTGTGCGGGTGGGGGAGGAGTTATCAGTCCTTTGGTGTCCGATAGAAGGCTGCATGTTCGCGTAGGGTGCAACTGATGCATCCTCCCTAAAAGGTGATGTCCAATTGTTACTAGCCTGTTATGTACAACTTGGTTAGAGGATGGGATGGAATGGAATCAACGCAGGGATATCTCAGGTACCACTTACGTATCTATTGATATATGTACCCAAGTCTAGGCTTCCGTTCTCTTGAGAAAAGTCGTCGTTGGTCTCCATTTCATTTGTGAGCGGGGACTGGACTCTATGTCTGGCACGGTCCATGGAGACTCCGTCTGGAGGGGTTCCCGGAAGGGTACGAAATTGGGGGCGAGTTCCTGACCTGAGATACGCGTGTGAGCAAACAGTCTGAGGAGGGTTTCGCAAGGATTCCGTCACCTACCTGACCGAAGGATTGGGCGGCGGAGGCCCGTCGCCGTTGGAATCAATTATGACTATGGGGTCGTTGAAGGTGGCTCCTGGTCCGTCTGAAATCTGGGGTCGGCTCTCTTCTGTCTTGATCTGCAAATTGTTGGCGCTGCGTGGGCTACCGTCGTTTTGCCTCCAGAACATCTGGTGCAAAATATCTTTGATCCTTTCAAGCTCGTGTTAGTACTATATCTGCCCACAGGAGACTGCTGACTTACTTTTCTCTGTCTACCGAATACTTCAACGATCCTGGTTGATCGGCTGGCTCATAATCCGGCCAAAAGAAGCTGCCGTTGTTGCGATGCTCCAGAAAAGCTCCAGCCATCTCTCCCAAAGCGTCCTGGTGCTCAGGGGACTTCCAATCAGTCAAAGAGCGCCCACTTAAGCCCTTGCTACTAGAGAATGTATCTGGAAACTCGCGAATACGCTTCGTCAACTCCGCGTATTTTGATAATCCCCTATTGCCATACTCAAGCTCACGCCGTAGGGCAAGCTTCGTCGGCACGCTGCTAGGGCTTTTGGGTACCCCCATAGTAATGAAGAGTATGACGATGAACAGACTGAAGGTAGTAAAGGAGCAGTGTACAGTTCTTGATTGTCTCTGCAACGCCTGGGTGGTCAGAGGAAAAGCCATGCTGACGAAGATATAGGTTTCCCAATTATCCCCTCATTGAAGATATCAGCAAAGAAGGCTCGGCCTTCGTTCCAGATTGAGTCTTTTTGCCAGAGGGAGCCTTGGGCCAAAAGCTGGGCCCAGTAGCGGGCTTAGTCCCCTGCGTTGGCCGATGCGGTCCCTGAAGTCGCGACCAACAACTTATCGTGATTTGTTGGGTACAGGGGCACAGCCGCCGCGACCTGTTTTAGGTTGCCAGGTACTCCGCCTTTACCCAGCACCAAGGCGTTCTGCCGATTATGAGGTCTGCAGGCGAGAGGTAAATCATATCTAGTACTGAGGTCGAGAACGGCGACCATGGTACCCAAGAAGTTGAGTGTTTCTAAGCTGATACGATGGAATACAGTGAGTTTCGAAACACGGAGTAACTTTTCGATTGGGGAGCCTGAAGACAACGAAACCAACGAAATTGTGTACTCTAACACGTGTTTGATTGGCCTTCGTTTTCAATGACATCTGGTAGTTGATATGCAGCAAGGTGAGATGGGCATGTCAGTTGCAAATCGCGTGAAAGCTGGCACACGAGGGCGCTTGAGGGGCAAGATCGTCACAAGACAGGGGCTCTCCGCTCTCCATTTGCGATTGAGACGTATCGTGTAGCGATGAAGAATCAGACACCCATGCGCACATCTCTTTGGCAGTTCTGCCTAGACGGCTGAGCCGATCGGCGGCACGTGAGGCCGAAAAGGCTGACTGCTCGATCGGTCTGACTTCCAGTGGCATCGCGAGTAGCGCGGCAACGGCATTACGCTCCATGAAAAACGACCAAGCGGGCCAGACTCTCTACCCTTCTGGTGTTTGTCGCGGATATACTAATAGAGACTGTTAAGGTCGGCAATCCACATCAATCCGGCGTTCGTCCGGGTGCAGAGTAGCTGCGCCGCTTCCTGACAGGAACCGAAACCGGAGGCCGCCAGACATCCCTTGCCTTGCCGCAGGGTGACGTCGCAAAGTGTGGGCAGCAGAGGAGCGGGCAACCCCAGAGATAGGCCGGGGGAATCTCCCGTTTCAACGACGGCACATCACATCGAGAGCAAAGCTGGGGAGATCGAGAAAGATTGGAAGATTCTGCCTTACCAACGCACCGTCTAGGGTTGAAACGTCGCGAGCCACTAGTTCGCCCATCACACCCCTGCTCAATCGGAGGTAGTTCCGCGATGACAACTCTCGAGGGATAGCGGGCTGGGTACCTGTCCTCAGCGTTATTCTTGGCAATGTACAAGGTCTCGATGCCAGTATCTGCTGAAGCATTTACTCAAATTGCTGCGGTCAAGCCGGTCAAGCCGGACTGGTCTTTTTTTTGGGCGGGGGTTCTTTTTTCCAAGCAAGCTACCATCGCGCTCTAGAGACATGTGTCGTCCCAACTTGCAGTCACTTGCCGGCATAACCAACACTCGTCTACATACCCCTAGCGCCGCCGCCGCCGCCAGATAGTCAGCTAATCACCTCGATGTCTCTAACGCACTGAGGGCGCAGCTGAAGTCGGTATTAGACCTGGCTCTCTTGAGTGCGGAGCAGAAAGATCCTGGCTCTTGGTAAAGTTTCTGCGGGTAAAGGTTTTGGTTGTTGTTGTGTTTTGCGCTGGCGTAATACTGTTCCTGTAGAGGACAATGGGTGCCTAGGGTAACTGGCATTAATACATACACAATCGCGCAGTCGTCAAAAGAGTTCCATCGTTCCATTAATATATCTGCCAACCATGTCCAGGAGTTCAAATTTGAAGTGTTCCTTGCTGTCAAGAGCTCAGGGCTCTTCGGCGTCCAAGAGCCATGCGGCATCCTCCAGTCGCCCAGCTGGGAAATGATAAGAGGGCTGTGATGAGCCGCAGCGTCTGCTAAAAAAAAAAATGCAAAATAGTTTTTCTCTGCACAAACTGCTCATGAGAATGATGTTGAGTAGAAGTACGCGTACGGAGTTGGTTTGTGCGTGTGGCAAGCCACATGTGTGACGGCCGCAACCGGTACTAGCCACAGGAAGCTATTCCCAGATTTATGCCAAGGCCATAAAGCTCGGTGGGGAATATTTCGTTCAGGCCCGATCAATCGATGGCTTCTCAAGTTCTCGATCCATGACGGCCTGCCGATTTCTTGATACAGACTCTTGAGGCTCTTGTGAAGACCCTACATAGCGGAGAGAATATTCTAGAAGATTGGCAACTGTTGCATGGGTACTTAAGGTTTTGTGGGTGTGCAGTCTATTTCAAAATCGCCGAACATTAAAATTATGAGCTAAAGACAATCCTGACCTAGAGAGGTCCAATAACGCCGGGGCGCCATTGCGTCGTGCTTGAACATTTTTGGCTCTCGGCCTCCCCCCCAAAAAGTAAAACTTAGCTCGAAATCAACGCTGACAAATACGATTCCTCTATAGTGGTCATTTTGGTCCTTTCATAGATCCTTAGTTGATGCCCAGCATGGACGACTTTCTGCGGTCGGGCTTTTCCTCAAGCTGTCTGCGGTAGGAGTCCAGCTCCATTGTGGCCCAGACGAGGGCGATCTTGCCGTTGTCGAAGCGGTACATGCAATGCTGATGGAACTTGACGCTCTTGCCGTTCGGTTTCGCGCCGGCGAACTCGGCAACAGGGGTACCCGTGATCTGCAGTCTAGAGGCGACCTGCTGCGTCTCGTCGTCGACGAGGAGCTCCTGGATGTCGAACTGCAGGCCCGAAATGGCCTCCCTGCTGGCCTCCATGCCGCGCCAATACTCCTCGAGGGGGAGGACGCGGTTGTTGTGGCGAACCTCGCGCTTGCAGTAGCGCGGGAACTCTTTAGCCATGGTGCCGCGGTTGATGCTGGCGACGTACTTGCGATAGGCGGCGGCCAGATCGACAGGCTCCTTGGGAGCGCTCCTGGTGAAAAAGCGCGGGGTGACGGCTGCCTCGGGAGTCTGGAGGCGGATGGCGTCGTTGTCTTGCAGGGTGAGCATGCGGGCCATCTTGCCGCGATCGTCAAACCAGACAAAGCACTGCTCGTCGAACTCATATGTCTTGCCGACGGTGTCGGGATTCATCATGGCATCATTGAGGGTGACGCGGTTGATGTAGCGCACGGCGACGGCCTTGGCCTTCTTGTCGACCAACAAGGTGTCGATCTTGATCTGGAAGGTGGCGAGGCCCTCGACGCGCGAGCGTAGGCGGTCAATGTGCTCTTGGCGGGTCTGGGTACGGTTGTTGCGCTCGATAGTGTCGGCGATGTGGTTGCCAATGATGTCGAATTTGCGGTTGTTAAGGCAGTCGAGGTACTCGCGCAGGCGAGCGCCGATGTCGACCTGAATGCCTTTGCCATCGCCGTTCCAACGCTTCGAAGTCGGGCTCCTGATCTTTCGGCCGGGGGCATGGGCAGCGTCGGCGATGGGGGGCTCGAAGCCAGGAAGAGGCCCGGGGCTCTTGTTGTCGGGGGAGTCGGGGGGCGTCAGCATGCTCTCGTGGGAGAAGCATGGCGCCTCGTACTCCTCCATCACAACTGTGGACATCTTCATGATATCTTTCGGTGCGGTTGAGGGCGGGGGTCGGTGTGCGCTGCAATCGACTGTGACGACAGCATGTGTTGGCACAACGGGCTGTGCGAGGAGAGACAAGGGGGATGTGTGGTAAAGGAGTCGTTGGGGTAATACTGTGGTGTTGCGAACAGCGTCGGCGGCCTGTCCTGAAGTTGAGCTTGCTGCGGCGTGGATCGTATTTAAACGTGAGGGCCGAGGGGGCAACGGTAGGTCATCGGTGCAGATCGCGATCGCGCTTTTTGACCACCTGAGGCAAAATAAAGGGAATGGGGGAGGACTACTTCAACGTGAATGTACTCGGCGCAAAAGCTCAGTAATAGCTGTTCGCTGTTCGTACCTATCTACTTAAACCTACCTAGGTAAGGTATCTATCTACCCAACTAGGTACCTTCCTTAGGTAAAGCCACCGCCGGGTCCGGGCCCAACAGGATGACAGGCGACAGACATGGTAAGTAGCTTCGGTGTTGGGCAGGCGCAGGCGACGAATGGGGAAAAAAGAAGGTGCGACGATCTTCTCACGACTTCTCAGCTGTTCCCAACGCCACATCTCACGCGTGCATGACGTACGGGGCCCCACAGTTCCGACATGATGCTACATCCCTGCAGCGTGGCAACGGGTGGCTCCTACCCTTCCAAAATCGAGACTATGGCAGGCAGGTAGGTTGTCCGTCCCTCTCGTCCCTTCTTTCTTTTCGTTTCCGCCAAGCAGCGACGCGCGGACCATAGGCACATTCCATGCTAGCGATGGGCAGGAGACAATGGTCCGCCCGCCTTCCCCAGCTTCACTTTCCCTCCCAATTTCATAGCTCCACTACTCGATACATCGGGGACGACGCTCCAGTTCTACTGCGGATGACCCGGAGAGAGAGAGCTTTGCCCCTTTGAATTGACTAGGTAGTGTGTGGTGTACGAATACTTAGTGCAGGTATCTGAAGGTAAACTAGGTTTCGAGGTATCCATTCGCTAGTGCCAACCCCCCCGCGTTCCTTTGAGTTTGGCTTCGCTTAATCGCTTAATGGTGCGTGCATCGTGTGTCCAGTCCCAGTGCCGTCCATCAGCGGGCGTCGGACGATTTGTTTGGAGTATCACCGCCACTCACGCTGATACTCGTACTGACACACTGAATCAGGCAAATCAAGCTCAACAAAAACGGAAAATTCTGCCGAACCACGCCCACCCCTCCTGCCCCCCTTTTCCTCCCTCCGTTGCCGCAACGTCCGAGTTTCTTGAGTAAACCACTTGCACACATCCCGGTTCCCCACATGCGACGGCGAAGTGGGTCCGGCCCCCCTTTTTTTCCCCATCAGCACGTGAACGGGGCCGGTCCCGGGTTCGTGTAGCTGGTCGGGATGGGCCAGTACAGCTTAAACAGGATCCCGGGATCCGTCGCCTTGTACGCCCCCGGGAACGAAACGAGCCCCGACGGCGTCGTGTTCCCCCCGCCCGAGAGCGAGACCTGCGCGCACGACAAGTAGAACTGCGCGCCGCCTGTGTCTCCCGCCGCGTGCAGCGCCAGGTGCTCCACCCGCACGAGGTACTCGCCCGACGCCAGGCACGACGGGATCTTGGCCGAGAGGACCAACGCGTCTGCAGACGATTAGCCTTTTGTCTGCACAACATCCGCAATCGAGGGTTGTGGACACAGGTGAGAAAGGATACAAGAAGGAAGGAAAGAAACGATTGAGAATCTCAGTCCCTGAATCAGCCTTGCGGAAAGGGGAATTCATCATCTCTCCACAGATGCCCACACAAATAAGGGCCAACACCCCATCTTTCTGAACCCGCAATCCCTTCCCTAACCTGTTTTCTGCATCGTCTGAATAACTCTCCATGTCTGCTCCAACTTTTCGTCGCAGATGTTTACTATTTTCCATGCATCGTGCCCTTTTTTTTTTTCCTTCCTTCTCGTAACCTGTCCCCAAAATGTGGGTTCGGGCTCCCCGGAAGAAAGGGGCAAAATGAACGAGAAGAAAAAGGGTAAAATCAACGAAAAAAAAAACTCACTCAATGAGGACCACTCCAGCCCGTTGCTCGTGACCTTCGGCTGCTCATGGTAAATTTTGAACCACGACGCTCCGCTGCCATCCCACGTCGCCGCCGTCTGGCCCGCCGGCACCTTGGCCATCCAGATGCTCGCCGGGCCCGGATGGCCGACGTTGGAGTTGGCCGCGAACCCGATGGTCGAGCCCGCCGTCACGGGCAGCGTCTGCACCGTGCCTCTATCCTTGGCGTCCGCCTCGTAGCACCGGATCTGCGTCGACGACACCCCGTCCGCCGGCCCGTTGCTGTAGAAGTTGAGCGTCTTGCGCACGTACTGCCACTCGGGGTACGTCGTGCCGCCGTAAACGAGCCGGCCGAAGGTGTCTGGGCCGGGGGGGCAAGCAAGTGTCAGTCCCGTGCTTCTCATCCAAGACGCGATTTATGTGTTGCTGCGTGAAGGGGGGAGTACTTACAGTGAGCTTCGGCCGAGGCAGCCGCCAGGACGACGAGAACAGCGGAGAACTTCATCGTTGCTTCGGAGAACGGGAGCTGTTGATGGGCCGGAGAGATGCTGCTTGGGGTCTGATCGTTGACCGAGAACTGACCAGCCTGGCCTCAATCCTTATATACCCCTTCTCCGAAAGGCGCCAGAAGCGCTCACCCCGTTCCTCGCCTCAGCGGATTGAAACCGCCGGCAATCTCGAAGTCACGACGTTGTCTCAGCGGCCGGCGGAGATCGCTGGGGTGTCGCATTCCACGAATCTCCATCGCCCCCGGGACTTCGAAACCCCATGCCGGGCCCGGAGTCGAGCCTCCGAGAAAGCGTGGCACTAGCACCCTGACCATTTCCCCCCTCCATGTGGACACCCGCAGAAGGTCCATTGTATTAACGTGTGACAGCTGTTCATCGGTAGGACATTTAGATTAAAATTGGCACCCACAGATGGAAATCCGCCACTCGACTTTGTCTTCGGTTCGACAGCCGTCCTTTGCCAAGAGCGATATGGGGCTTCACACCGTTGCCCCGACGGTCTTTCTGCGAACTAGCACAATGTCGGCGCCGCCGCGATCTCGTCGAACGACCTGTTGTTTCGGAAAGCAGTCATCTACGGATCGTTTCCTGAGCTGCTTTTGAACCGGTTGCCGCCCGCGTTCAGCGTTGGTGTGATACCATCGCGCTATCTTCCGTTCCGATTCGCTCATCTCATGAACCGAGAACCTCGCTCCCTGCCGGTCGATACGACCCCTTCCAAACCCTCAACTGCTGTCCAATCCGGACCCGTCAATCCCATAAAGTGCCATCCATCCAGCAACTGGCGACCTTCCCGACTGATGCGTAGTCGCGAAAGTGTACAATACGCTTACCCTTATTTATAGTAGAAGATCGACAGTCGTGCCTACAGAATCTTCTATTTCTGGAATGAAGAAAAGCCCAAGCCACAGAACCCACATTGTAATTAATTAAGGCAGTCAATAGTCCCGTTGTCAAGACCACAGACGGGCATGGTCTTCGCGTCACACGATCAGTTGCCGGCACCACTCGCGGCATGACTTGCATACTTACGCGTCCAAACGCCACTGGAAGTTTGATTTGCCACATTCTGCCTTCAATTGCTCATGAGACACGACTTAATGCCGGTAAACTGGAAGACTGTCAGCTGAATTCTACATAGACCCGAACGCTCTGTTGCGGTTCAGATGTGCCCTCTCCAGAGATGGCGATTACGTTACATGACACCACAGGACAGCATTTATGCAGTACTTCAACATCGTCGTCTGTTACGCTTGTTAACATGGTACAATCAAATACTCTAGGATGTTTGTTCAATAATCACTCGTAGCACGTCTCTATTCAACTCATTCTTAGGCTCTACTCGGGGGTATGGAGATTAGATCTAGTCTCTCAAACAGACGCGGTGATCCCAATTATTGAACGGCATACAGGAGGCTAGCCGTGCATCGTTGGAGGGGGCTGTCAGGGCGTCTCATCTTCCAGCCCATACCCTGGACTACAGCTAGCTGTATAGGCATTACTAATGTGACAGTGCCAAGTACAGCAGCGTGGTATAGATACGCCTCCGACACGTTTGCGAACTCTTGGCCCATATGTAATCTTACCCCTTCCTACCTTTGAAGAAACAAACATCAACCGCTATCTAACCCAATCTTTGAGTCCCTGGGGTTCTTCAACCACAGTCTTTCGCTGAAACCCTCAGTCTCCCAGGCTTAGGGTTGACGCCCCCTATCTCGAACCCGGCTTCCTTCTTATACGCTCTGCTGATGTCTTCTAGCTCCTCCTCCGAAACGACATGGTACACGTTCCCGAATCTGTCAGGAGCCCTCTCCTCGAACACCTGCAACACCTGGTGGGTCCGTTGCCCCGTTTCGCCACGACGGTCTTGGCCGTCGGCGCAGCCTTTCGGCCTCGTACGCCCGTAGCGCTCACTCCACGTCCCCGAGGCACTCGCCGAGCCGCCTCGCCAGCGCCTATGCATTGATAACGGCCTACGACGCGCCATTGAAGCAGGCAGTTTACGTGGCGTGCCCCCCATCGCCGAGCTGCGTCTGCCGCCTGGAACTCCATCGCCTGACCGGCTCGCGGTCGCTCATCGGAAAGTCGTACTCCTTGTCCGCCATGCCGACGAACCCGCCCACGTCGAGGCCGCCGCGCCGACGCCGAGAGTCGTGACTTGCGACGAGGCCTCGAAGAGTTGGATGTCGTCGGTGAAGCCAGCGGCGTCGAGAGACGGCGCCGCCGTCAAGCCTCCGATGTCGGCACCGTCTATAAGGATCTTGGGCTGAGGTCTCAAAAGGGGCGTCTTAAAAAGAGCGTCTTGCTTAGTTGCTTGCCTTCGTGAAAATTGTACATATGACGCATATGGATGGGTTTGGATGGAAGAATAGTACCCAGACTCGGAGTTGCCAGCCACAAGTCCTCCAAGTTGGCTTTTTTATATATTCCTCACTCAGACACCTCGAAGGACAGTAAATGGGAAACTTTTCTGAGATTCGGAGCCAAGTGCCGCGATCTGAGTCAAGCTTATGTGGACTTCACAACGGCTAGAAACTACAAAGGCTGTGTTCGCCGCATTGGGGCGGCAAAATGGGTAAGCTATTGAACCCATGCAGTTTTATATGAACACACTAAGGATATCATCACCCTTAATATTTCATAAAATCGCACGGGGTTAATTAGTTACTACAGTCAGCTTGAACAAGGCATTACCGTCAGTTCTTTAGGGATGGCGGATAGACAGTAATATCTTATGTCACTGCACTGCTCTAAACTTTTTCAAGGTGGCTTGTTGTAAATAGCTATCTGGATAACCCCTCCCATTCAGAATTAGAACCGAGACCTGTCGATAATATAGATCAAGGTATCTTTATCTAGTAGCCACCGGAGTAAGTAGTCTAATTAGTCTACATGCATGCAAACCTTAAACAGTGCTGCGTATTTAGGTTTTAATAAAGTTTTCCCTATCCGCCGTTCCAGGTTGTTGACCCCCTGGCCTCCAAGTCACAACCCATGCATATTTTGACTCTCTTGTAGACAACTCAAGGACGCCCTGTCCTATTAGCAGCTGGTGGCAGTCTCGCTTGACGTCTGCTGTAGTTGAAGAAATGTCACTAGATCTGCCTCTACAAGGAAACATCCTCCTCTCAAGGTGTGGTTAGGAAAGAACCCTCTCCTTTTAGCGCTTATTTGGGATGGAACGGTACCATGTAAACTCCGTTGTTGTTCTTTTCACCATTTTTCTCACGCAACGAGGCGTCTTGTTTCCTATAGAAAAATGCTTGGTGTAACCCTGACGAAAAATTCGAGCCCAGGCTTCATATGTTGTCTGGTGCCTATCGTAACCCTTCTTTCCCTGTGCTATATACTTCCATGTCCTTCTATGCGATGCCAAACTCTAAAAGGCTAAGCGTAGCCCCATGGACGAAGCATAAGACGAAAGACTTGAGCTTCCTGTAGTCAAGAACCCGGTCTCTAGATATATTGCCTTTATCGCTGGGTTCGTCAAGAACGCTCCCAGACAGCCAACCACCCCGACTGCTAGTTTTTGGCTAAAAGGCTTTGGTATTTTGGTGTCTTATCCTTGGACTCATGAGGCTTTCTCCCCCGAAACTGAGATCCCTTATGAACCCGGACCAACCCAGCCGTCCAAAGTGGGGCCCGGGTGGAACGCGGAGATCTCCCGGCATCCTCGTTCCCTGTCAAAAAGTCAATGACGTTCCGTGTCCGACAAACCCACGCAACCGCGGGTCATCGCGGACACCTTTGGGAGAAAATAGAGAATTCAAGAGAGGGTGACCTGGGTGACGTAACACTAATATGCCGAATCCCGTCCAAGACTCCAGAACCGTGCCAAGCATAAGTAAGCTCGACATGTCTAGCAGCGGGATGGAACAACCATCCCGTATCGGTATAACGACGATACGCCGACAAAAAAAGAAACAGAGACAAAAATGTCAAAACCAGTCCTCGTCGTCATCGGTACCGGTTGGGGAGGCTTCAACCTCACCCAGAAGGTCTCGCTGGCCAAGTACGACGTCAAAGTCATCTCTCCCATCCGCACGATCCAGTACACGCCGCTGCTCGCCAGTGCAGCCTGCGGCCTCTTCGACTTCCGCCTGGCCGAGGAGCCCGTCCGACGGAAGCACAGGGCCAAGCAGGCATACTACAACGCCATCGCCGAGGACATCGACTTTGAGCGGCGCGTCGTCCGGTGCAAGACCGACGCGCCGACGACGACGCCGGCCTCCTTCGAGATCCGGTACGACAAGATCTGCATCGCGCCGGGCTGTGCGACACAGGACTTTGGCACGCCCGGCGCCGCGGAGCACGCCGTCTTCCTCCGGACGACGGATGACGCCCGCGCCATCCAGCGGCGCATCCTGCAGATGCTAGATGCGGCCTCGCTTCCGACCATGGCGGATAGAGCGCAGGACCGGCGTGATAGCCTCAACGTCCGCATCGTCGGCGGCGGCGCCGTCGGCATCGAGGCCGCCGCCGAGCTGTGGGATCTGTGGTCCGAGGAGCTGCGCTTCCTTTTCCCCCACCTAGACAGCGAGCTGACCATCACCATCCACGACGTGGCGCCGACGATCCTCTCGACGTTCGACGCCCGGCTGAGCGAGTACGCGACGCGCTCGCTCGAGGGCAAGCAGGTCAGGATTATGACGAGTTCGCACATCGAGCGTGTCGAGGCAGACGCCATCTATACCAAGGAGGACGGCCGCCTGCCGTATGGCCTGCTCATCTGGGCGACGGGGAACAAGGCGAGCCCTCTGGTGGACCGGCTAGCGGTGAAGAAGCCCGAGCATGGGTTGCCGCGTATCCTGACTGACAAGTACCTTCGCGTGCTGCGGCCCGACGGGAGCCCGATGGAAGGCGCCTACGCGCTGGGGGATGCCGCCGATATCGAGGGGGAGTCGTTGCCGACCCTGGCTGAGGTGGCCCTGCAGAAGGGCCAGTACCTGACCGACGTGCTCAACTCGGACTACAACAACGTCCGGCCAGCACCGTTCGCCTACAAGCAGCGGGCGCTGCTGGCGTACCTGGGCCGCCACGACGGCGTCATCGCCGGCCGGCAGGAGTGGACCGGCGCCAGCGCGTGGATCGCCTGGCGGTCGGGCAGCCTGGGGTGGACGAGGAGCTGGAGGCGGAAGATCATGATCGCCATCTACTGGGTTTTTGTCTGGATAGCCGGCAGAGACATTGCGAGGCCGTAGTTGTCGACACAGGGCCTGTATTTACAGCAGGGGTGTACGTTCAAGTTGCTCACAAATCTAGGGAGAGGGGCTAGCGCATCTTGGTGCTCCGGCTACGTTATGGATCCCTGGATCTGATGCATTGGCTTATTATCCTATCACAATATGTCCTTAGAAATGAAATCATAAAACTCGAAAAGAAAACCGAGGCTCGGTTCCAGGGCAAAATCCCTATAAACACCCCATTTCCATCACGAGTGGAGCGCGCTCCGTCGCCCTTGAGGAGGAGCTTCACAAATCTTTATATATGCACAATGGGCAAGTGGCGGCTCTGGTCGGGTATTCGGGGTCGCTAGACTGACTTTGGGTGATTTGCTTACGCACCACCAGCACCGTTGTAGGCGATGAGGTTAGGGCTGCTTCTGAGGCTGCCGGTGACTTTGCCGGTGGTGGCGAGGGCCTTGATGCGGGCGACGACGGCGGCAGGGGTGCCCACGTTCTCGACGGACTGGAGGTAGTTGACCAGGCCAGCAACGTGAGGAGAGGCCATAGAGGTACCAGAGATGGAGTTGGTGGCAGTGGTGGAGCCGATCCAGGTGGACAGGATGGAGCTGCCAGGGGCGAAGACGTCGAGGGAAGTGCCATAGTTGCTGTAGGAAGCAATGGCCCACGTGCTGGTGATGGCACCGACGGTGATAGCATTGGGAGCGTTGGCGGGCGAGACGTTGGCAGCGTTCTGGGCCTCGTTACCGGCGGCGACGACAGTAGTGACGCCGGCGGTGTAGGCGGCGTTGATGGCGGTAGTCCAGGCGGTAGAGCTGGGACCTCCGAGGGACATGTTGATGACAGACTTGCTAGCGCGACCCTTGGTGGTGATGTCGTTGACGGCCCAGTTGTAGCCGTCGAGAATGACAGAAGTAGAAGCACTGTTGCCGACGAAGACCTTGACAGAGACCAGGGTGGTGAGCTTGGCGACACCGTAGGTGGTAGAACCAATAGTGCCAGCGACGTGTGTGCCGTGGCCGAGAGTGTCGGTGTGAGCACCACCGGCGGCGTTGTAGCCGAGCGTGGCACGGCCGCCAAAGTTGGTGTGGCCGACGTTGATGCCAGAGTCGACGACGTAGGCAAAGGTGCCAGAGCCGGCGCTGGTGTCGTAGACGTACTGGGAAGATCCCGAGGTACGGTGGGAAACGGTACCCAGACCCCAGGGAGCACCAGACTGAGTAGTCATGGCGGACAGAGTCCAGAGCTGGTCACGCTCAACAGAGGCAACCTATCAACGACAATTAGCATGGCGCCCACGCCGTGAGGGTCTCAGAAGACAGTCTTACCTCAGGGCTGCTCTTGATGATCTCGATGGTGGCGTCGTCGAACTTGCCAGAGTATCCTTGGAAGCTGTTGAAGGAGAAGGTGCGCTCAGCTCCGGAGAACTGACGCTTGTCGAGGCTGCGGGAGTGGACGTCGTTGATCCAGCTCAAGTGGGAAGTGAGGCCCTCGACACCGACGGTGTTCTTCAGGGTGATGATGTAGCTGTCTTCAATAGTCTGGGCGGTGACCTCAGTAGCCTCCTCCCGGCGAGTAGGGGCGGCCATGGCGCAGGCCGCGGCCGCGAGCATAGCAAGACGCTTGAAGCCGACCATTTTGTCTGAGGGTGGACCGAGATGCTGGATGGAATTGGGACTGTTATGGGAGGATGAAGGGAGAGTGAGTAAAGGGAGAGACGGATTGTCGTGGGATATCCAAGCGGATTATATATCTCTGAATCTCACGAGTAGAGCGCCTCCTCGTGGACGCGATGTGGCTGGCCCATCCAGGCCCTTGATGGTGCCTTCGTCGCTGCCCGCATCTGGTACTGAGGAGGCGTTCTTCGAGAAGAATACAGTACGTACACAACCGTGGCCCCTGTCAGCTAATTAACAGCCACAGCCGCAGCACCGGACCAAGCTAACGTTAACAGGACCAGCCTCGACCGGCCAGCATACCGGAGCGTCGTCACGGCTGGTGCGGGAACCAGATAAACGGATGAGACGATGCAAAAGGGGGAAGGAGAGGACGGGTGGCGCCATATGGCGGACATAGAGCACTCGTTCTGGGAGTTCGTGTAACTGGATCAGAAATAGGAAGCTGATTGACAATGTTGTTGGCGAAGCGGCAGGACGCACAAGGTTGGAGGCTTGCTAGGCCGACTTGGCAATGCAACGAGGCTATCAGAGGGTTACGAAGACCCTGGAAGATTGGCCAGCACGCAAAGATTGGCGAGAATTCGGGCAGTGTGTATTCACATGCTTGCAGTGAATCAATGGCCCCAGACGGAGTTGAATTCGAAGATGAGCAGGAGAGACATTGATCCAGGCCACGGGAGATGCCCACTCGAAGGAGCGAAGGCCTGATAGCATTGAGACTCAATAGACGAGAGACGCATTTGGCTTGTGATGGGTGTCTTCCGCTGCTATAGAATCGGCAATCAAGTCGAGTTACACAAAGATTGTTGACTTTGGAGCCGCTGGGCGAGACATTGGCGAAGGATGTCCTAGAACAAGGCCAGCCAATTGGAGAGGAGGCGAAAGGCACTATTGAACGTCAGCGATCCGATCTGGCTGAAGACGGCCAGTGCCAATATCAAAGAGAATGCGCCAAGCTTCTTTATGCATACTTGCAGACCCGTCCTAAGAAACCCAGCGAGTCGAGCCAAACCCCTGTGTAACTGGCCATGAAAGTGAAGCCTCTCTCTGGGGCGGGGAAGAAGTCTAGGGAGAAACAAAACAACAACGTTGAAGCATGTGGTGGTGATGACGATAGCGTCAGTACCAATGGGGAGGCACCCAACCCCATGCAAAGATATCCGAATGGGTGGCGAGGAACTGATGCTCGTGCATGAGAGCAATGTAACGGCAGCTAAGATATCTCGCCTTCCTCTTTTGGAAGGAGGATGCGAAGCGTGATTAAGTTCGTAATCGTGGCCGGTCGCCAATTGCGGCCCAGTGTGGCCCATGATGAGAACCGCGCAGAGGATGGCGACGTATAGTCGTGATGGCTATTGCAGATGAGCATAGCGCCAGGATGGTCGCCTCGTTCCGTTTTGGGAGAGCTGCGTTGTTGTTTGGCGCTTCTCCGTGATCGTTGGATGGTTGGGAGACCTGAGAACAGCAGGTCGATGGCAGGTCGATGCGCACGATTATTGGCGGGCATTTCTCGCTTGTTGTCGGATTTTCAACCTTCCCACATGGGGATGCGGATGCGCAGTCAACCGCAAAGATGCGGTGAGCTGCCGAGCATGTATTGAGACGGTCTTGTTGAGCGGCGGGTTGTTCTGCCTCGAAACGGAGTTGCGGTTCGTTGGTCTTTAGATTCATGTTTATCGCCTGGATGCAAGTAGGCAAAAGGGACTCGAAAAGGACGTGCACGATGGAAGCGAACTCGTGTGAAGAGGCAAGGGCAAGAGGAAGCGCGCGCCACATGATAGCACCCCTGGAAAGGAAAGAGCCCCTGTCACTCAACTCACTTTGTTACCTACCTGCTAGAGCGAGCTCCTTGGCCAGAAAGCGCGGGGGGCCCTTCCCCACGGATACACATCTAAAGGTATGTTGCTCCTTTGGGCAGCATGCGACCGAGGAAGAGGAAGATGCCCCATGCCGATAAGCTAATCGACTCACAGCATATCTCGGCAGCTGTTCTTCGTGGCTGGGTGCACCTGACGGGAGCTGGGTAGTATGCGGATTCGAGCGCCGCCTGATACGTACTGCGTTGATCCGTGCAACGAATGTATCGTCCGAAAGAAGGGAAGTAAGTGCCTCATCACATTTGGAGAGAAGCCCCTGGTTCCTGGCCAACACGCCTGTAGTTAGTGAGCACGCGCCACAAGCCTTACCTTTGTACTGTGAGTTTTGCTTGGCGAGACATGCGTGTTCAATCTACTTGTGTGTTACGTTACTACTCTTGGGCTTCTGTAGCGGCGAGCACCAGCTGAAGACAAGACGAAAGCTGCTGACCCACAGAGGCGAACTCGGACATCCCTGAGACCACTTGTGTTGAGATATTGATCGGGAAAGCGCAACAGCCGTATTGAATCCAGAATGGGAAACAACTTCGTGAACTTCGTCGAGGGAAAGAGCAGAGCACGCACTCACAATCCACATGCGGAAGAGAAAGGTACCTAACCCAGGTAGGTAGCAAGCTGTACGTACCGTGCCGCCCAATCCCTACTCGGCCGGGTTGCCTTGGAAGGTGCACTCCCTAGTCCGATCACAGCCGGACAGGTGCCGATAACGTGATAAGCTAGTGGGTCCTGCCTTTTCCCGCCCAAACCCCTGCGCCGCCCGCGAAAGTTTGCTCCTGCCTTCTGCCTTGGGAAACCCAAACCAGGCCACCAAGGAACTCGGTAGTCAGTCACAACGCAGTAGGCACTCTTCGCTCCTGCTCCTCGTCCTCCTCATCGCCGTTCTCCTCGTCCTCTTCTTGTTGTTTTTGTTGCTATAGCATATCCCCTCGTCAGATGCAACGGCGTGTTATGAAACCTTTTTTTCCCTCTCCCACGCGCTGCATCTACCGCGCCACCACATGTTTTAAGCTCCTTCCAGAACCCTTTCGGCCCGCTTGTAAGCGACGCAAAGGCTCAAAGGGAAGGCATTGATTGCATCGGGTCGATAAGGGTGCGCCACATCGAAACCGCAAAAGGACTTGGTCGAAGCCTCATCTCAGCCCTCGTCAACCCCGCCCCAGAGACACAGGATCCTGAGCTCTGCCGAGCACCGGACCGCTGTCCGATGCCGAGATCCAGTCCGGCATGCGGGGATGGGTGAGCCGTGCCACGCCTCACCTCGATGCGTCCCAGTCTTCTCCCCCATTCTTTTGTCTGATATCTCGGCTGAATTTTGACACACCACTAGCACCTTACTCGTGGCCTCGTTCCATGGCCAGCTGCAAAGGCTTCTCTTCTTGTCCACAATCGACTTCCCATATGCAGCTTTCCCAACAACCCACCTAGCAAGGCACCCGGCCACATCCCCAGCACCCTTTTACGGGAGAGCCCAGTCACACGACAGGCGCACAGAGTGTTTACTATTACAACTACAGTACTGACGGTTGGGCCCTGCATCGGCTTCCTATTCTCGCACTAAACATGCCATGACGCGGCCCTTTTGATCCAAAGACGGAAGGGCGACGGAGGTGATCATCGAGGTGAGGCTCTGAGGGGAACAGCCCCAGGTCTGGCGAGGCCTGTTGACCTTATGAGAGTAGCCTATTGCCTCTTGGCGACAATGACGTACTCCTCTGCTGTGATGACGGTACGCTCTCAGAGAGAGGTGAGATGGCGGCCCCTGGTCTAGACCTCTACCACCTGCCACACTCGTCAACTATATCCTAGCACGCCCGACAATCGGTAAACTTAGATAACACAATGTACTTGGCATTGAAAACTGACAGGATTTTCCCTCTCGCTCGTATCACTGCTGCAAGCTAATTTTGCCAAGGTAGACCCTCGGAGGACTGGAGCGCTTGCAACGCACCTTCCCTTCACGATGCTCGGCCAGATGAAGTCCTCAGATTCATGGACATTGCCTTCTGCTCCTGTACCTACCAAGCTGGCTCATCAGGCCCTGGTCGCAGACACCGGATGCCCGAATCTCCGAGTCCAGGTCAATTTAACAGGAAGAACGCGGCTGACGATTTGGCCGAGCCTATTTGTACATCCATTGCGCACACCTACGCACCCAGCCAAGACTTCACGTGCGACGGTCGCATCAACAGACGGCCGATGGCGTCCCGACAGAACAGGCCTCGCCACCTGATCCATGGCATCAGCAATTATTTCTCCATTGGCTTTCAATTGTCTCGGCATACTTACCATCTATGATTACTGAGACCTTGGGCTTGGGCACCGTTGCATCACCGTGAGATGATGCGATGCCAGAAACCACTCGCCATTTTGGGAGACAATGGCGAGACCTCATGCGCCAGTCCTCTAGTGCTAGATCTCCCGTACCAGACCAAAATGCATCTTCGCACGACCTTCCTCTTCTAGGAAACGGGTTCACCCAAACTTTGTCCCAAGCAGCACCGCGTTGCGCGCCTCCCGCCCGATGTTCTCACTAGACATCAATCACGTCCGGTTCACCGACCCACCCGCCACGTCGTCTCTGCCGGCCGAGGCGGCCTCCCCCGTCGCGGTAGACGACGTCGCCCACGCCCACGCCCTGACCGCGGCAGTCCCGGCACTCGCCCTCGGCCTCGAACACGCCCCGGACCCACTGGTGCGTCGTCTGTCGGCGGCCACACTCGTGCCCCCGGAGCATGGCTGCGCGACATCGCTGGTGACGCCAGTGCACGCCCAGGTGCAGGCAGCCGTACTCGGCCGTCACGTAGAGTTTGTAGCACATGTTGCAGGGGCGTGGGTAATGCTTTTTCTCTTATCGTGCTGTGTTTTTGTGGCTTCTGATCCAATGACGCCGGCGACGTTTCGTTCTCCGCGAGTGTAGAAAATGCCGAGTCTATGGTTTGCTTGAACGGTGTATCGCTGTGGCTTGTCGACTCTGGCAATCCACGATTAGCATACTCACCTTTAAACGGAGGCTCTTGAACCAGAGTCGACGTTCGCTTCGCTTGAGTGAATACAATGGTTCGCATTCTACACATGTTGGTCATTCACTTTACATGCATCCAATCGCCAGAAACAAGGTTCCAGCGCTCGCGGTGAATTTCTAGTCTTTTGTTTGCCTGGGAAACCAACGACTTCTCCAGCCTCTCTTGGCCATCAAGTCTTGCCATCCTCACGCGGATCAAAAAAGTTATACTAAAGATGAATGAGACTGTATCGAAACGACGAGGGCACTCAAACGTCGCAAAAAGGGGCGGCTTAGTATACGCGAGGTTCAGATCACGATGCACTGATTGGGACGGCTACGCAATGCACAACTAATTTGTGGCGTGGTATCTGATTTGACCGCTTGGGAGTGGGAATACGAAGCTGCTGTAACTCTAGCATATTAGGATAATCTTCCCCGCATGATATTCATCCACTGACACCTCTGCGCATGCCATTCTCTATGTTTGGTCACACTACAAGCTTCACAGTGCTCGAATTAGGAACTTTGCTCTTTGCTAGTGTGCACGGGCACCGTTTCGACTTCTTATAACTGATATGAGGTAGAAACCTCACTATAAACTGGAATACAAAGTTTAAAACACGCCTTTAACTGCATTTTATTTCTTACCTTCTCCACTATAGCTCGCATTCAGAAGTTTATACTCCTTTGTTTACTCTATCCGGATAACCGCGTTGATTATGTCGTCACACGAGTGCTGACTGAATATCCCTCGGGCAAAGAGTGGCGTGGTTCCCTTTGATAATGCCTTCCCTGATTGTTGCACCAGACATCGTCGTTTGTAACCCCACTTTCGGCGGCATAACTCCGTTGCCTTAAAACAGACGGAAACCAACAATTCGCGGTAGTCATGCCTGTAGCAACGGAGAAATTTTCCCCAGACCCGGAGCGCCGGCAACGATCATCATTTGGCAGAAGACCGCGCCAAGTATAGATATCCCCACATAAAGAGCACCATATGCAGACAGGGGCATGGATCATGAAAAGGTTAATATATAAGAAAGGCAAGTCTTGGTCATTTCATTTTCATCACCTCTTTAGCCATTCCCTCTCCGGCGTGAAATTCGCAGTCGCAGTCAGACTTAGCACCTGCTATCGCCGATATGCAGTTTCCGAAACCGTCTACGATGCTCGGTCGTGTCGTTGGCCTCGTCCCGGCCCTGCTCTTGCTCGGTGCACTCCTTGATGGCGCCGGCCTGTCCCGCGCCGACAACCCCATCGTGCAGACAATCTACACCACAGACCCGGCGCCCATTGTCTACAACAACAGGGTGTATGTCTTCACCGGCCACGACGAAGACGGGTCCACGACCTTCGTCATGCGAGACTGGCACGCCTACTCGACCAGTGACATGGCCAACTGGCAAGACCACGGCGTCGTGGCCTCGCTGGCCACCTTTAGCTGGGCCAATGCCAACGCGTGGGCGGGGCAGGTCATCGCCCGCAACGGCAAGTTTTACTTTTACGTTCCCGTCCGGCGCACCACGGGGTCAATGGCCATCGGTGTTGCCGTCGCCGATTCCATCACGGGACCGTACCGGGACGCTCTCGGCAAGCCGCTCGTCGACAACAACGAGATCGACCCTACCGTCTTCATCGACAATGACGGCCAGGCCTACCTGTATTGGGGAAACCCAAACTTGTCTTACGTCCGCCTGAACCAGGACATGATTTCATACTCCGGCTCTGTCAACCGCGTCACCCTCACCCCGCAAAGCTTCGGCACTCGGACCTCGGGCGCCACCGCTCAGCGGCCTTCCGCCTTCGAGGAAGGGCCGTGGTTCTATAAGCGGGGGTCGACTTACTACATGGTATACGCCGCCAACTGTTGCTCCGAAGACATCCGCTATTCAACCTCATCTTCGCCCACGGGTCCTTGGACGTACCGCGGGTTAGTGATGGCGACTGCTGGGTCGTCCTTCACGAACCATCCGGGTATCGTCGATTTCCAAGGCAACTCGTACTTCTTCTATCACAACGGCGCGCTCCCTGGAGGGGGTGGATACACACGTTCCGTCGCCGTCGAGCAGTTCACGTACGGGAGCGACGGGTCTATCCCCACGCTAAGGATGACAACGGCCGGCCCGCCCCAGATCGGCACCCTGAACCCCTACGTGCGCCAGGAGGCCGAGACCATTGCCTGGTCGTCTGGCGTCGAGACCGAGACGTGCTCGGAAGGCGGCATGGCCGTCAGCTGGATCAACAACAACGACTACGTCAAGGTCAAGGGCGTGGCGTTTGGCAGCGGTGCCCGGTCGTTCAGTGCCCGCGTGGCCTCGGCCAACAGCGGCGGCAAGATTGAGCTGCGGCTCGGCAGCACCTCTGGCGCGCTCGTGGGTACCTGCACGGTGGCCGGGACCGGCGGGTGGCAGAACTGGACCACCGTGACGTGCCCAGTGAGTGGCGCGACAGGCACGCAGGATCTGTATCTCAAGTTTACCGGGGGCGGCGGGGAGCTATTCAACTTCAACTGGTGGCAGTTCAGTGCCTAGGGGGCAAAATATCAAGGATGCTTGTTACTTGCCAAATGAAGTTTCTTCCCGGCCGAGTGACTGTACCTGAGCTTCACGCCGTAAACGAACAAATCCTGAATGGATGAGCGCGTGGGTACTGTTGCACGTAGATATGTTCCTGGATAGGGACCTCGCCGATGGTTGTTAGCAACGTATGGTAACGTGTGGACCTCCAACCTTTTATGTTGATGGAAATGGTCGCTCTAAACCCCCATTGGGGGTCAAGTGCAGTTCACCCCATATGTAATATCACGTTACATGAAAAGCCGACATGCGGCGCCTCTGAGCTATGCCACATCAGAGCAACCGCTGAATTCGACTTCATTTCAACCATAACTGTCGCTGGTGGATTGGCTGGCAGGTCGAAGTGAGAATTATTACCGGCAGAAGCTCTACACAAAGACGCTACGAAGCCATAGGCCTGTTCAAGACCTACTTTTCTCGCTGGTTGGGATCGTGTATGTTATACCAATCGACTACAACCATAGGTTGTCCCCATCGCAGATACAACTCCATACGTTAATCTGCTAAAAGAAGTTGAAATTTCATTCAGCAGCCGCGAAAGGGTTTTATCATTATCTCGTTATTTGGAAACACGGGGGTTTTGATTCGCTGGTTCCATATATACATTCCGTTGTCCTAGTACTGATACAGCGTAGAGTCAAGAAGCCTAGAGGGTGCCAGGCTAGCGGCAACTGGGTTCAACGACCCAAAACGTTCAAAGATGGCCGAGAGAGTGTTATGTGCCGATTGCAACCCGCCGTCCACCCACCCACCGAGGAACGATGTGCAGTCACTGTTGACTAGGACCCGACTGCTCGCATCCTTGGCAAGCTTCTGAAAGTCGTAGAAAAGGGACGCAATTTCCTTATCCTGTCCTGGGTGTCCCAGGGAGAAAGCACCGTAGGAGTGTCGGTCGAGTTGCCAGTGAATAAGAAAGATGTCGTCATCCGTAACAGGTGTAAGATAGTCGACATAATCGGAATATTTTGTTTGCTTCATCAATCTGGCGATCTGTTCCTTAAGCTTCCGTAGAAGCTCTTTGGGATCCTGTATCGCCATCATTTGCAAGGATAAGTCCTCCCAGGCATAAGTGACAAGAACCATACCGTACTCTGGATGGCCATAATCCAGGGTGTATGTTTGCGGAAGGTTTGTGTCGGATAAGATGACTCGAGGAAATTCAGACGTTTGATTCTCCCAAAACTTTTTCGTTCTGATGAAAAGCTTCGAGGATGCGGTCATGTGTAGGTCGTGGATGCCTCGTTGTACTTGAGTCGAAAGGATTGGTTTGCCAGTACTTTGAGAAACCGGAGCCACTGCGTGGACCATAGCCCGGCTGGTGGTTCCAACGATGACAAGATCATACTGAACAGTGGTCGAGGTGCCGCCAGATGTTTCCCGGACGGACACTCTGGAGCCATTCGGGGTGCCATCGCCGCCGCTGGTAACTTCAGCAACAGTCCCAAGCTTGGTTTTGACCCCGAGCGCTGTGGCTGCATTCCAGATATGCTTTGCGAGCTCGTGGATACCCGCCGGCAGGAGGCCTTCGTCAGAAACCTTTGCGAACACAGCCTGGTCCGATTCGAGTCCATTGACGACCAGCCGTAGCACCGAGTTGAATCCAGCCGTGAAGACTGCGCCAAAACCGCCAGATCCAATGCCCAGAGTACCAAACCGGTTGAAATCGTCTTCATTCCACACTTTTCCGCCTGGAACATCCCACTCATGTTGATCGCCAAAGATGCGCTGCAGACCTGTGTAGAAACTGTCGTCTCCAAACACATCCAGGTAATTCTGCCATTCCGGAACAGCCAGGTTTCGCGTGACTGGGTCTTTGGAGCTGAGCCACTCCATCAACTGAGCAGGTGGAGCGATCACCAGTTTACCGTTCCGGCTCAGGCCGCCAAAGATAAGTTGTTTCCAGCCATTGTCGACAGTTTCGAATCCAGAAGGGGGACCGTCCTCATCAAGCCACTGATTGGCTACTCCCTGGTAAAAGATGGTCGTGGGAACCTTGCCAGGATCAGGGAAGTTCTTTATGAAGGCAAAGCCAAATTGTTCCGCGTAGTAGTAGAGTAAGTCCTGGGAAGGTGGGAAGCGCATGGCGCCCATCTCAGCGACGTTAACGCCATCTGAAGCCTTGCTGGACCGTAAGCGGCCTCCCACTTGATGACTCGCCTCGATCAGAGTGACTTTGGCTCCAGCCTTCGCCAGGTTAAAAGCCAGTACAATATTGGTAATTCCCGCTCCTACGAGACCAATCGTGAAGTTTCTAGGAAGAAACCCTAGCGGCTGGTTGATGTCGCCAGCAGCTTGGTTCCATGCTGAGTACACAAGCTGAGGTGTGTCCACCCAGGCTTGAGGCCGCACTTCCTGTCGGTCAAGGAATGAAGATTGCCTCTTGACAACAAGAGTGTTTTGGACCCTCTTGGTGGCGACTGAATGCTTGAGCCAGCCTGCAAGGGCCCAAAAGGTGGCTTTATCGTTTAAGGTGGAAAGTTGTGTTTCACAGTCAGTGATCTTTCGAGGTTCTAGAAACGTTGCGATCCAGTTTAATAGGGTTCCGGGGAATTGGGTCCAAAATGAAAGCATATTGAAAGGTATGTAGTAGTCAACACGCACATGATACCAGTGAAAAAGTAAGTTTTACGGGGGGTGGGTAGTTCAGTGCTCTATGTATACTATGTAATAACAGGTGGATCATATAGCCCCTGTATGAACCGCCTAGTCATTGCGAATTATCTCACTTTAAAACAAAAAAGGGAAGGGGAGTCTCATGGCGTGGCCTCGTACTTGGGCAATCCTGGCTCAAGACTATTAAACTACAAGAAACTGTTCAAGCAAGTTTTCTGAGCCTATTCGAGTGCCCATCACACTCCTCGAAAGATGATCGGTGTCATTAGCGTAAGTGATTATTCTATTGAGTTCGGATGGTGCATCTTCACAGGATGTCTACTGCGGGAATCGATTTTATTTTCGGCCAAAAAGAGAGCATGGCCGCGAGACAAGAGAGCCCGAGCCCGCCGGGTCATATGTGGATACACTGCCGTCAAGCAGGGAAACACGGCATGAAAGAGATAAGTCGTAGCCAGTGGGTTGGCGGCCACCTTCTAGTCGGTTGACTTTCTCCAACCGCATTCAGCAAGCACCACCGTCACTATATATTAATAGTCTGCGCAACCACAAAAGCTATATCATATCACCAAAACATATGCAGCCTGTAAAAACAATAGTTCTAACTTTAACGACTGTTCCAAATATGTATGTGTATATCTGACTAGAACCCCCCACTCGGCTTGAGAAAATTGGCAAACAGCGAGTGAATTGTTCAAATAAACACTGACACGGTACTTCTTATCTGCAATCCATAAAACTCCATTGTGGAGCTTGGAGTAATATTTTGTAACCCTGTCCCTGGGTTGTGGAGTGGACGATTAACGGGCATTATATACATAGTACAAGTCGATGGGATTATAAAATTGGCTGGTCTTCACGTGTCGACTACTACCGATAGTACGAACAAATATTCACCTCCACTAACGGAGACAACTGCAGACTCAGAAAATGGGCCGTCGCCCAGGACTCTGACTCGAGATGCGCAATCTCAATGGTAAATATGGAAGTTCGATATCCACAATGGCTGTTCGACTTCCAAGGTAAGCTTGGCACAGTTTCAAGGTATCTCCAGCGGGATTGGTTCACCGCTCTTGTTCGAGGGTGGAGAGAAAAGAGAGAACGCTGCTAGCAAGGAACAAGGCCATGAAGATATTTTTTGTTGTACACGAGTCGGGTCTAAGAAGCTCTACGACCACCATAGATAAGCGGTCAAGCAAGAATCTTCCAGTCCATTACTGCAGTGGGGACTCATAGATGTAAAATCAATTGATACTCTCCCCTACATAGTATATAAAAGCACTAAAAGCACATGTGCGGGCTCATCATCTCGGTGTCTCTTTCGGCGTTTTGGGGAGTTGGTCATATTTCAATTTATAAATTTACAAGCGTCTGGCAGCAAATAAAAAGGGTATTTGCCATATTCGTATTGAAGTCGTCCGAGCTGAAAGCAGGCTTTGTAAAACCGAAGTAGAAGATACATGATAGATGACATACCGGTGTCAGCGAACTCAGGTGGTGTGCTAAGCCCGTCCATAGACCGACCGTTCAGGGAAATACCCAAAAGATCAACCACTGCTGGCACTTTGTGCCAGATATCACCACACATACACTTAATATAGGAAGTCTCCACTTATTCCCTTACAACCGGCAGGCAATGCAGAGATTTCTGCAATTGGTTATGGAAAGTGTCACAAATTATAATCACGCAGTCACTTGTCCCCACTATGGCCGGGTTCCGTGCTTCATGTGTCCCACATTGGAAAATTATCGCTGTTTGACTATACGGGCTTCTCGGGAACCCATACAACTACTGCAGGGTTTGCTAGTGCAGCAGACAGGACATTGGAGTGAGAGAATGTGATATATGATGGGCCCAAAAGGCCAGGCCTCCAGATGTATTGACAGTTATAAATAACATGCGTAGATAGAATCGCTTCGAAGACCCAACAATTTCAACACGCGCATGCCTGTCGAAAGCCATGGATGTTGCAAATCTTTTCGTAGCGCTTTGCGCGACAACGAAGTATGCTCTGGAGTTACTGCCAAAAGTAGCTAGGGTTTTCGTGTCATTGCATGGAACCCTTAACACAAATACGTTCATCTCAGAGACCCAAGATTGGAGTTTCTTCGTCGGCAATGCACATTATCTGGCTGTCACCTCAAACCCAGTTTTGTCCATACCATACAGATTGGACCATTTTCCCTCGGGTCCAATAACATACATTTCCGCGCTTTCCGCCAATACAACGGGAGAAGAGCTTCGACAAGTCATCAAAGACTCCTTTAGGCAGGACGACGTTTTCATCGAAGGCTTTCTCAACGATATCCTCGTCAGTGCCGGTGGCCCCGATGATCTTGATGTTTCGGTCATCGATTACCTTGGTAGTCTAGGATCCAAGATCATCTATGCCGGCACTGACGGACCTGATACCTGCGGTAGTTCAACATTAACTCCATGCCCCCTTTTCGCAACAAAAGTTGGGAACAAACTCTCCGTGAGCAAAGTTCAGTTGCTCTACCCCGATACCTACAGGACTTTCGTGACTGGCACGTACGAGTCGAATGGCACCTACAAGTCTTTCACTCAAGCCGAAATAAACTCGGGGTATCCCTTGATCCCTGTCCCTTCAAGGCTCTACAGCATTGAGGACAGAAGGCCCTTGGCAGGCCAGCGCGTCGGTGTCAAAGACATCTACGATCTGGAGGGCATCCAGACTACTGCCGGCAGTCAGTCATACGTCGCAGTCAATGGCATCGCTAGAAAGACTGCGCCGGCTCTCCAGCGGATCATCGATCTTGGTGGAGTTGTCGTCGGCAAGCAAAAGACGGCACAATTCGCTTCCCCTGCGTACCCCTGGAACTGGAACGACGAGTACTACCCCAGAAATCCACGAGGCGACGCGTTTTTGAGCTGTTCAGGCTCCTCCTCCGGTGCGGGCTGCTCTATTGCCGCCTATGACTGGCTCGACTTCGCCATCGGAACCGATACTGGTATGTCAGTCCGGCAGCCAGCCGCATTTTCCGGAACCTACGGCAACAGGCCCTCGCAGGGTATGATTCTCATGGACAATATTGTAACTAATGCGTACAACACCGATACTGCGGGAGTCATTGCTCGCGACCCTGCGAAGTGGGCTTACTTTGCCAAGGCGTGGTACGATCCGTCACTCCATGAGCAAACGTCTCTAAATGGCCTACCGGCTCTGTCATTGCCCGACGATCGTACGTTTCCAAAGCGTATCCTGTATCCGTTGGATCATCTCCCGCTGCAGAATCCAGCCGCCGAGGCCATATTGCAGAAGTTTTTGGTTGATGCATCGACAACGCTGGGTGCTACTATAGAAAACATCGACCTGAGCGCGGCTATCGAGGATGTTGCCGGCCGACCCCTCTTGGAGGTTTTGGATGATCTATTTGTCCTTTGGACACACGATTTGATCAAAGAGACCGCCAAGCCTTTACTGGCCAAGCACGCTCCAGTCTTCCCCCCACTCGATGAACCCTACCGCCAGATCTTCCATTCTTTGTCCGTCAATAATGAAGTGTATCAGGCGGCCATGACAAACCGGACCCGTGATGCAGCAGCCTGGCATGAAAAGGTTCTCTTCTCCACCAAAGACTCCTGTTCAGAGAGCATCCTCATCTACGACATCGGGACTGGCGGGATGCCGTCATTCAGGGAGCGAGACCTCAATAATATGCCGGGCGCAGCGCTGCCAGCAGAGCCCACAGGCCCTGGTGCAGCCTCGGTGGTCTCTTCATACTTTGGCGACGTTGACTATACCATTCCCCTTGGACAGGTTTCCTACTTTAGTAATATCACATACCAGGTAGAGACCATGCCAGTGACAGTTAACATTGTAGCAAAAAGAGGTTGCGACTTTGTCTTGTTCAATATGGTTAATGAGTTAGCGCACCGCGGCATTTTGCAGACTGTGTTGACAGGACAGACTGCCTTTGACAGTTAGGCCTGGCCTTCAGATTAAACAGTTCCGTAGGCACGAACCACGGCGCCGTTCGTATAAAAGGAATGTAAGGCCTTATATGTGTTGATTAGAGAAAAGTGCAACTACTAAATTTTATGGTTATACAATGCATTCGATCAGTGAACCGTGATGGTCTCCAGATAACTTCATCTTTGTTTTCTCATGTCGCGTATTGTCTTCCTGTTATCGAGTCCTCAAAACGAAGTTGCTCAACAGCTCATAAGTTATGATTTAATATCCAGGCGACTGTTTGTTCATGCTCCTGATTGACAGGTCAGCGATACGGGCACACATGAATTGCTCTACATAAGCGGCAGTGCTGTATAGTGCTCAAGTCTAGATTAAATGTCAAGTAATAACTGATTCTATGCTTCGTTCCACACCAACCTTGAATCCTTGTTGTAACTCATCCATGAAGACCGTCAACTATTATCACCGCTGGTTCAATCAATGAAATTGAGGAGGAAACTCGCTAGCGTTGAAGACAGCGGAAAGCTTCTCCGTGTAGTCAAGCTTGACATTGCTTTCAAAATCAAGGTCGTTCTGTATCCACAAGGCTGGCAGTAAGGTTGTCATGAAGTGATGCTTTCGCCAGGGAGTCCTACTTTCTGGGGCGGGTATAAGATCCAAAACGCGAAGCCTCTCAATGTCTGTGCGCGCTTCGCAGCCGAGGATGAGTAGAGGTAGCGGTCTCTCGCAACAGCCCACGTTCTTCATCAGGGAAAGTCCTTTGTCGACCAGCAGCTCTAACTCTGAAGGAAGTAATAGGTCTTGATCGGTGGAGCGGCTTAGATAAACAAGCGTCGTAATCCGGAAAACCTCGGCCCTAGCAGCGACACATTGTATGGCTAGGTCTGCCGGCGTTGGTATTTCGAGATTCCTAATCTCTTGTTTGAGACGCGCGACCTTGGTCTTGTATGCTTCTTTGCGGGCATTGGGATCTCCAGATGGTAAGATCTCGGATACTACTCTAGACAAAAGACGAAGAGGTGCGAATACTGTCTGGTGCACAGTGGATCCCTGCCACTGGATAATTGTAGCGGCAGAGTTCCACCGCGCTCTCTCCTCGGCTAAATAAGATGGCGAGTCTGTACCATATTGGCAGCTTGATACTCCGGGGTGATGCTGTCGCCAGTGGCGTATGCTGAATCGAGCCAGCACTTCGTGGTAGTAAACCCACTCCAGCAAGATTGGGCCGTCTGTCACCCTACCAAAGCTTTTGAGTGTGACGCTTTCAATCACCTTTCCTGCAGCCCGGAGATAACAGAGCCACTGATCAGAAGCTGTCGAGCTTTGCTGACTCTGAAATCCAAGTCAGCATGAAGGGTTATAACTCGCAAAGTTGAAAGTGCCAGAAAGTTGCTGAGTGACAAACCTCGAACAAACAAAGAACCATTACTGCTGCAACATGCTGAATGGCATTCTGCGATTCGATTCCCTGAGAGGCTGAAGCAGCAAGGGCACGAATAGCAGATAGCTTTAGCTCCTCCCCCCGCATTCCAGGCCCATACCGAAACTGGGAAGCAAGAGCTACTAACGAACGCTTTAACGCAACAGCAGCAAATGATTGACCTGAAGCAGCAAGGCGGAGCAGAGTAGGCCCGAGAGGTTTGTTGCTGAAGCTCAATATCCAGGATGCCATTTGATTCTGAACTAGATGTCGGCTACGTAAGAATTCTTATCACTAAAAGAAAGGGTCATTCAAGAAGGTCTCACAATAATAGAAAAGATCCTGCTCAGTTGCGGATAATCCAGACGTGGACCACGGTAAAGAGGGGCGTAAAGGCGGGATATAGCTATCACCTGTTGAAATGCGGTTTTGGTGCAATTCTATGTCCCAAAAAGTCGCATTAATCATGTGGAATTGGCCCGAGTAAGGATCTGTGTGCCGTGTCCGTTTGGAAGGGGGCCTGGCTTTGCCAACGATGATTCGTTTGCCATCGACTTTCCTAGGCCAGGATAGACGAAGTCCGTATCCCGTGCAGACTCGGTTTGAACGAACGCAACTAGAGCAGCGTGGAAAACGGCGGTCGCAACTGATTTTGCGCCCTACCATAGTCACTTAACGTTAGTAGTAGGCCTCCCATGGAAACAGCCAGGAGTGCCGACCCGGGTTATGCATCGCAGTTCATACCTATGCAAGTACCACATCGTTTCTTTGGCAAAGTAATTGCATCGTGCCTGGCTTTGGAGGTTTGCATCATTTGTAAGCATTCGACGCTCCAAATCTAAATGGGTAAGAAATCGTACGAGATGGAGTGTGTTCAGTTATGAATTCGCAGAAAGTTGCTCAATGATCAGTGCCGAGGAACTTGATTGATAAGCTGATGATGACCCATGCAAGACTATCTTAGTCGTTGTATTGGCGCTAGGCAGCATTCGGCTTGTGAGACAAGTCCGTTGGCAACTTTTTGCGAAAGAAGCCAAGTCGATATCAGCCAATCGGGTTCTATTATTACCAGCCGATGGAGGAGACTTTACCTTGGTGGATATCTATGTGCGATGGCATCTTTTGCGATGTCATCTTTTTGCGATGGCATCTATTTGCGAGACTACCATGGGCCCTGGTAGCCGCAGAGAAACTGTGCTCGAAACAGAATCATATGACCTTTTCAAAGTGGGCATGATGATTCTGTCGGATTATCAATCAAATTGTTAGCTAGAACTGTATGAGATGGTTCAAAGTTCCGTGAGTATATAAATCGTTTCGTCAAGCAATGTCATTTCTTGAAGTTTCAGACTCTGTTCATCTTAACTTACATCGGCTACTAAGATTTCAGATCAAGCGGTCCAACGAAAACATTCTATTTCGAAAGTCCGATTTCAAAACATCGCAGCTTCATCATGCCTTCTTACCTCGTAACGGGTGTGAACCGTGGTATCGGAGTACGTTCCTAAATAGCATAACTGAAGCCTCTCCAAAAATATACTAATGCCTATTACATAGTGGGAGTTCCTCCGCCAGATTTCGGACGACGTCAACAACATTGTCATCGGTACTGCTCGCAACAAAACTGCCGTTGAGAAGAAGATATCCGATGAGCTTGGAAGCCGATCCAACGTGCATATCGTGGAGCTCGAAATGACCAGTTACGACAGCATTAAGGTATACAAATTGGGAAACTCGGGGTTGTGGTACTTGAAACAGCAAGCTTACCAATTTCACGTAGAACTCTGTCAATGTTGTATCGGAGATCACTGGAGGAAAACTCGATTACATCATTGCAAACGCGGGATACATCTCGGACTGGTCAGCATATGAAACCATCGGCAAACTGTAAGCAGAAGACGTGAGATAAAACATGTTGAGCAATGAGTACTAGCTAATGCCTCCCTTCATCCAGAGGAGATACTCCTCAACAGCTCGAGGAGGATCTCTTGTACACCTTCAAGGTTAATGTCATTGGCAACGTCCACCTTTTCAACATCTACATGCCCCTGATCCTCAAGGGAAATGCCAAGAAAGTCATAACCCTCAGCTCTGGGATGGCCGACATTGACTTGATCAACCAGTACCATGTGGATGTTGCTGCAGCTTACGCCATCAGTAAGGGGGCGATGAACGTTGCAGTCAGCAAGTTTCACGCCCAGTACGCTAAAGACGGGGTTTTGTTCATGGGTGTCTGTCCTGGACTGGTCGACACAGGTCATAACGACAACTGTGAGTTGTGCTTTGAATCATGTTGACTACTGAAAACCTTTACTAACTCCCATGAAGTGAGCCAGCATCAGCTGGAGGCTGCTATACGATTGGCAGCCATCTTTGACCAGTATGCCCCTGGCGCAAAACCAAGAGCTCCAAAGGACTGTATCCCAGACATTATGAAAGTCATCTACGAGTCCAGCCTTGAGAATGACCGTGGGGGTGCCTACATCTCTCACTTGGGCAGCAAGAGATGGTTGTAGTAAACAAGAGATCCGATCAAACATTGAAAGCAACCTTTTCATTAAGCAGACTCTCAAGTATAGTAACAATATCAACGAGCCAGTAGCAGCGGTACGGCTTGGCGTATGAAGAGTCTCTATTCATGCCACGACTGTGACAGGTAGTCCCGTATAGATCATCACATTTACAAAGCTTTGGATCTTAGATTAACAGCATCGAAGATACCAACTCAATGATCAATACCAATATTGCTGTCGTTCGCTGCCCCCACCATAATTCCGTCCTGCGTGGCAATCCACGAACCGTGCTGGCCGCCATCAAAATACGTAGTACGACGAATTAGCAACGCAGATACCGTTTCAGATGAAGCTATGGATCCATTTATGCGCGAATACCGACGGCACATGGTCAGGTTTGAGCGGATCATAGGGCGATAGGTCCACCTTAGAAACGGAACCTCGCTCTATGGTGAGCTTTTCATCGGTAGGTCGATACCTGGCCCGCTCATGTGTAGAATGCCACAGTCACCCGACCATGTGACAGAGTAATTGACAGGATCCCATGTTTTCATGTAAACAAGCGTGAATGCCAGCTCGTCTCTGCAACCATGGAGAACATAAGGTTTGGCTTCGGGAGCCTTCCCCACCCCAGCAGTATGTTCCAGGCATGGTGCATGTTTCGCTCATTCGTGGCTAACCCTGTTCCTCGGATATCATATTGAGATGGTGCACGCCGATACGCTTGGGTGTTAAGCATTCCTGACAGCAGCATGATCAACCTGGGTCATACATTCTGGTTTATGTCGAGGATGTCTATTATCAAGTCGTCTATATGCAAAATGGCATGATACGGAGCCTTTATCGTAATGTATACAGAACAGATCGCCCGGTATATTAGATGTACAATTATATGTGTGCTCTAGGTAATGCTAAGATTGACAATATTGCTGTGTTCGTTGTAGTTATGCACTAGAACTCGCTTCAAGTTGAATCTCGGTGACTAAAATTCGGCTCATGTCTGAAATAAAAACATCGCAAGGGGCCCCTCCTAGAAGTGGGTTATATCACCAAGGCCTGATACTTGACAATGCCCGATTTTCTCAAGCATTTGGTCGTTAACTTAAGGAAAATATTCTTCTAATACTCGACATAAAGCCGCTTCTCGATCAGCTGTTATTCCAAGTATTACAAACGAGTGCGTCGCTGATTTCTGGGTACCTGTTTCATTCGCGAGCTCATGGAAGTGTGAAACATGTCGAGCTTGAGAACCTTAAATCCAAACGAGCAGTTCTTAAGGTAGTCACTGTTAGAACTGTTATTAGTTCTTCATCAAACCCCCATCTGCGAAATCCTTGGGACTTTAGCCTCCGGAAATACGTCATAACTACTGGGTTTTTGAGTTTATATACCATCAATGCTGACTGTTCAAAAGGCAGGCATCAGAGGTGCGCAAACGGTCGCGAAAACAACGCCGTTAATTGTGGACAGCAATTAATGCTTTATATTACTTGTGACAAAGACCAATAATATGAAGATCAATAATGCAAGCCCCGAACATGACAGGTATATAGCGTGGGGAACGCTTAGACCTAATCCATAAGTCTCAGGATCGGGCAGACACAAAGGTTGTAAATTCTCCATTACGTATAATGCTACCGCAAGAGGCCAATCAGTGAAGAGCGCCTTGAATGAGACTGCACGTTACATTAAAGTTGTGGTCTGACTTGTTCTCTCAACCTCCATGCAGCGTTTAAGAAACGCAACAAAGTTTCGGCAAAGTCCTCTGTGCCTGTCGATCATTCAACTGCAAGCTTCAAAAACCAATTCGCGGTTTCAAACGTCATAAGTGACCCAACGCCACAGCGAGGGGGGGGGGAATCGGAGAAGGCCTCAGTAAATGCAGTAATCCTAAGACTTTGACGCTTGATTGAGCCAAAGATGCACTGCGGGAATGTCTGAAAAGGGGACCCTGGGGGGACCAGTGCGGGTCAAAAGTGGATTGAAAGACGTAACAACAACTGCTGAATTTTCTCCCGTCGTCCCATCAGCAAGCGGAGATTCCGGATCCAGTAGCACCTTTCCATCGTCAACCGTGTCAGAACATCTGGTGCCGACCTTGATTTGCGTTCTGAGTGTCAGGTGGCGTGGAAGGGACCCCACGATGAGTCAATCCACACTTAAAGAGATGAGGTAAATAATTGCAAGCGTCGTTCCTTTTAAAACGTATTTCTCTTAATCATAGGACGCCGAAGACCAGACATCAACACATAATCCGGGGCCCCTCAAAATTAAGCTCTGTAAGAAAGAAACCCGACTTCTCCACCAGCCCGTCCTTCATCTCATGTTGCTTTGTTGAGTCCGTTGTCATCGGATTACGGCACTCCACCGAGTGTGAAAACGGTTCCACCTCGGCGGTCTAGAAGGAGTCCTCGTAGAGGAATCGTGATCAAGTCGGCTCCTAGTTGTCTATCCCATAATTATCAAAATCCAACCAACATCGCCATCATCATGGGCAACGAGACAGAAGGCAAGAGGGAGCCGGTAGACCCTGAGCTACAAGACGCTGCCAGTCACCGTTCTGAGTCCAAGGACCTTGAGCCCACCCAAGATTTCGACGCGCCTCCAGCGTTTCCGAGCCATGCCAGCGGCGTTATTGAAGGAGAAGAAGGCGAGCTGATCAACTTCAAGACATTGCACTGGCTGTAAGTCTCCCGATAAGGTATAAGTCCGCTTGAGGAGTGCTGACCCCGACATAGACAGGGGGGAATATTGCTAGTCGCAGAGACTGTTTCTCTGGGAATTCTCTCGCTGCCGTCTGTTCTCGCCACAGTCGGCCTCGTCCCCGGTGTCATTCTCATCTGCGTGATCAGTGCGCTAGCCACCTACTCTGGCCTCCTCCTCGCCGAGTTTCGGAAACAGTACCCCTTCGTCCAAAACTTTGGTGACGCGGTTGAACTTATCGGACGACCAATCGGCCTGGGACGCAGCTTCAGGGAGGTTTTCGGTTGGGCCCAAACCATCCTTCAGATCTTCTTGATCGGGGGGCATATTCTACTTTGGACGATATGCATCAATACTCTTACGAACAGCTCAGTTTGCACGGTTGTCTGGGCTGCTGTTGGCATGATGATCTTCTGGGTTTTCAACATTCCGAGAACCCTGAAGTGGACAAGTTGGATGTCGGCGATGTGTAAGTCCGGTTTGCTATTACTCATACTATCTGCACATCCGCTGACCCTATTCAAGCCTGCATCTCCATCCTAGTGGCTGTCTTCATCACTCTGATTGACGTTGCCATTGAAAAGCCCATTGGGGATGGAGCCATCGATATCTTCAAGTCCCTCGGCTTTTCTCCTGCCTTTCTAGCGGTCATCAACATTGCCGGTGCTTTTTGTAAGTGGTCGTTGGGCACATGTGATAACGAACCCCCCTAACGTCGTCGTCCAGCAAGCCACTCCATCTTTTTCAGCATCATTGCCGAGTTCAAGAACCCGGACGACTGGCCCAAAGCGCTTGCGTTTCTCCAAATCACGGACACAACGCTTTACATCATTGCCGCAGTCATCATCTACGTCTATGCTGGGCCCGATGTGCCATCTCCTGCGCTCTCCGCAGCTGGTAGCGCCACCATTCGCAAAGCCATTTGGGGGGTTGCGATCCCCACCATTGCAATCGCGGCAGTGATCTATGCACACGTCGCGTCGCAGTACATCTTTACGCGCATCTTCGGCAACACCAAGCACGTCGTGAGGAGAACGAAGACATCGACAATTGCCTGGTTGCTGATTACTCTGGGAGTCTGGGGTATCGGCATGGTAATCTCCGAGTCAATCCCGGTTTTCAACAACTTGCTGGGCCTCGTTTCTGCTGCATTCGCTAGTTGGTTTTCCTTCGGACTACCTGGAATATTCTGGCTCTGGATGCACAGGGGAAATTGGTTCAGCACCTGGAAGCAGAAGTGTCGGTTTGCAGCCACCTCGCTGCTGTTGCTTGTGGGTATGCTGATCTGCGTCCTTGGACTCTGGGTTTCAATCGAATCCATCGCCAAGGGAGGTTCGACTTCTAAACCCTGGACTTGCGCCAGCAATGCCGCAGAGTAAACTCTGCATGTAGTATCGGGGGATCGATTATCTGTCCTCGTGAATCAATATGATGTGATATTCCTGGTTTTTTTTTTTTTTTTTTTTTTTGCCTACGGCAAGTTTGAGGCTGAAGTCGATCTAGTTTGAGTGAGACCAGTTGGTAGACGTGAGACCGCCCTACCTCGCTCCACACATCGTTACGTTTAAGGTGGTGAAGTGGCAAAATCTCACCTGATGTGCCGAGAGTCATGTTTGGGGCTTAGAATCAAAACATGAGGGTGACAGACAGGATGCCAAGTCGTTGCCGAAGTGGCGCGGCTGCGCCATTTCTGCGCGGTTTCTGTAAGCGAGGAGAGCGCGCGGTCCCTTGCGGCTTCGATTCTCAGTCAGCAACCAGGAAGCTTCCAAGACTACATTTGGATAATCTCACGGTGATCAAGCTTCTGGTGTTTAATGAACAAATGAGACTGTCTAGGGAATTTTGGCTCGATGCCATGAGCTAACGCAACAGTCTCCTGAGGTTCTGCGTCACTAACCCTCTTTCGGAAAAGAACTTCAGCGACTGATCATTAAATCCGCTCTTGCATTTCGGAATGACATTGTCAGCATGAATACGAGCCGTTTTTATGTCAGGGGTCGATGCGGCTTGGCTGCATCGTCCCATGTGGGTTGATTGTGATGGCATGTTTTCTTTTGCTCTTGATCGGCTCCAGGCTTAAATCCCTGCGTGCGCTGCCGTAAAGTACCTAAAACAATCTAAACTGTCCCTGCAGTGAGCCTAATTTCCAGTGCGATTAGTCACGTCTATACTGTCCGTGCAAGACATAACCATAACCCCCTTACGAAGCAACATGACACGAGACTGATGAACACTAAGAGGGTGATCGGCTACAACTAATGCTTAAACTTGATTTGAACTTCTTCTTGGTATCGACTATGTGACTACACATTAATTGCACGAAAAAGACTCCACCAGCGAAAGTAAATCATGACATCATCGAGGTGCCCCTGAGATGGAGGTAATATCTTATACACAAGAATGTTGGGCAAGTAAGTGCAAAGTTCCCGTCCAGGAGGCCCCCGGGTCTTTGTTCTTTTCTTTTATCCGGCGTAAACCGCAGATAGCGAGCTTACAGGATGAAAGCGGCGACGGCGACGGCCAGGCCGGCACCGGAGAAGGTCATCAGAGCGGCGCCGGCAGTGACGACGGGGCGGATGGTGGAGGTGGGCGAAGCACCGTTGGTGCCGTTGCCGGCACCATAAGTGGGGACAGGAGTGGGGGCAACGACCTTGGTACCGGAGCCGACGGCATTGTCGTTGCTGCCAGAGCCGGAGCCAGAGCCGGAGCCAGAGCCGGAGCCATAGCCGGTGCTGGAGCCCTTGCTACCGGTGGAGCAGGTGGAGAGCTTGTCCTGCATCTGAGAGAAGATTCCGTTGAAGTGCGTGATCTCGTCACCACCCTTGCCGCCGGCGGGGAACTTGGTGGAGATAGTGGTCATGAGAGTGTTCACGTTGCTACCTGGTATGAGTTAGCCATCACGTTTGGTCAAGGCATTTTGAATATTTTCAACTTACCAACCTGGGCAACCCAGGAGAGAGTGGAGTCGCATGCGCCGCTTTTGGCAAGAAGTGGCACCTTGTCGTCAAGGTCCACGAGGAGCTTGTCGCCAGCGGCGTTGAGCTGGTCGGAGACGGGCTGGAAGGCGATGGCCTCGTCCATGGTAAGGGGCAACATGCTCGCGGCGTTGTTGGTCGCGGTGTGGATGATGGTGAGCATGGTGCCGGAGGCCGTCTCGAGCTCGGCACCGGGGCCGCCACCGTAGGAGCAGATGGCGCCATCGAGGGCCTGGATACCGTTGAGGACGGTGGTCATGATGGTGTTGACGGTGCTGAGCTCGCGCTCGCAGAGTTCGCTGGGGCTGGGGCTGGGGGCCGCGAGGGCGCCGGCAGCGAGGAGGACGATGGGAGCGAAGGACTTCATTGTGATGGCTGATTATGGATTAGGAGAGCGAGTGTGTGTGTTCAACGAGCGACTTAAGAACAAAGGTTTATAGCGAGTGTTGTTGTGCGAAAAGAGCGTAGGAGGTTGGCTGGCTTTTGAAAGCGGGTGGCTGCGTTGGAAAGCTGCGTTGGCTGTGATGTCCAAGAGACGGTAAGACCGGCAGTCCAAGTGCAGTGTTTATATATCCAAGCAGAACTCAGGAAGCGTCCCGACTACTCTCTCATTCCGACCCCCTGAGTTACCCCGGATCATCTTAGCTAGCAGTGACACCTCCTTACATGTTACTCGCGGCGACGATAAGTCAAGAGGGTGGGTCGTCAAACCGCCCGGCATCGCGTGCAATCTTCCATCTCTGATTTCCCTCTCCTCTCTCATGCGCCTGGCCGTGCGCTCGGACGAGCCTATGATCCGAGTCCTGGATGCGCCTTGCTGATGTTAAATGAGCAACGGCGCGTGCTGACTGCGCCATGGCGCGCGCTAGCGAAGAAGAAGCATTGCTTTTTCCGCTAGAGATGGTGCCAAACCTGGGCGAACCGGATCAGCAACGCGGCCGTTGTCTTGCTCGCCTCGAATCCTCCCCCCTGGAACCGAATCAGAGTTTGAGAAATTGGAGAGGGGCATGTCTCCCTCTAGTCACTAGCACAGATGCAAGTCTCAGTAGCGCGGCTTTCTCTTCCTTGCAGGCTGCCATTTCGAGGCCCTCGACGACGCCTCTAGACGGCGGGCCTTGGCATATGGGACGGACCACTCCCAGTTTCTGCGGCAAGAGCTCGAGGAGAGACGTTTCTCTGGGTATCCGAATATCTCTCAGCTTACGCAAAGACCGCGGTCAGCCGCCCTATCCAACATGGCACTCATCAAATCACTTGACTATGTCGGTTCTAGGCCTTCGCCCGCTCAGACTGTTGTGGTAGCATTAGCGGCAAGGGTAGTTTCAACGGCCAAGACCTCAAACCCCCTCAATTTCGGCACCTTCCAGCAGCTCTCACTGGAAGTCGAACCATTCTGTAAAGACAAAAGAAAAACAATGATCAACATTGTGGGAGAGCTGTACACATCGTGGTTGCCTGGCTCGTGACTCGGTTAGTCCAACTTGTGCACAGAACCCCCGCCGGTCCCGCAACACGACCGCCCTGCATTGTTTTTTCCCACGAGATGCCACTCGGCCGGTAGATGAGGTTGGCTTTCGATGAAGCGACCAATGCGTGGTCCCTCGGCTGGGGCTGGCTTAGCGATGGCCGCCGCCTCGCAAACTGGCTAGCCACCAGGTTTCGCAACGTTTGGATAGAGTTGAGAACAGGGGAGGGGGAGGGTCCGTGAGGCTTTAGCTTCGTCTGCTGCGCAAGATTGAGGGCTGATAACTGGGAGAAACTGCCGGCTGGCCTATGAGTGGTTCGATTGTCGGAGGTTCTGAGTGCTGTTTTGTTTAACCGACTGGTTTCTCCGCAGACTCAGACATGTAAGTGGCCACGCACTGAACACGCGCCACGTTTGACACGATGATGAGCCCCCCCCAAACGACTCAGCTCATCATGTTTGACTCGGGACTAAAAGTATTCTGGATCAAGGCTAGCGATACTTTTGGCGATTCAATTTCTCCTTGCTGTGGAGTGGCGACAGCCTCAGCCCTGGAACATCGCGCTATGTTTTGAAAAACGAGGTGGTGTTTATTTTAAGGCGGGACGTCTGATATGGGACTGGAACGTTCGGAGACGAGCGGTTTAATCGCATTGGTCTGGGTCTCAATTGAGTCTGGACGCTCTTCAACATTTTATCGACGTATGAGTGTTAAGCTCACCCAAATTCATTACGATTTCGGATTCAACCTGCGCCTTATTTCCTTCTGCATCGTGCGATGTCAGAAACCGTCTCTGACAGGGTTCATTTAGCACTTACAGTTAGGATACTAGACATTCGTATCTACTCTGGCTTATCGGCAAGGGCGATGGCTGTACGCTTTGGTCTTGACGACGGTGAAAATATAACGCTTTAGTTACAATATATAACAGTACGTTTCGAGAAGCTTTGTGGTAAGAAAGTTGAGGGTGTCGCAGCTTGCTTTTTGGATGCAAGTGATGCCACTAGGGACAAAAAGGTTGCATAGAGATAGCCAATAGGGACAAAAGCTACACTACCTCTTAATTGTACGTGTACCGATTGATATTAGGCATCCTACACCGGAGTTCCCAGTTACAAATATGACGCAGAGTGCTCTGCCCAATGTCAGGTCCTACAATATTTATTCAAAGCGATGTGATATTGTGCTTTTGACAAACCTTCTAATATGCATGAGCATCCAGTTGAAAAACGAAAAAAAAAAAAAAAGAAAAAAAAACAGCAATGCGGAAGTCTTGCCGTTATCTCGTTGTGAGCCGCAACATCTTATACAGCCAACTTGATATCTTTTTGCTTTCCGGGCCCAGAAAAATCTTTCAGTAGAAGTCAAAGTATCATCAAACAGTTATGAACTGTCCATTCAGAAAATATCCCCATTTTAATCGCCCTGCCCCAGATATGTGAGTTGAATTTGCATAGATATCATACTCGCTGACTTCTACTGGGACAGTATTATCCCGAACGGTTAACGAACACAAATGCCGCCCTAATTTCGTAAGGAAACAATCCTCTACACCATCATGCCCCCCGCCAGTCTATCTTCATTCCACCATCAAAGCTTGGCTATGGAGTCGGTGCAGTCTGACATGCTGCTTTGGTCGTTGCCGAATAGAGACATCCTGTCCATCCTATTGTGTGGTCAGCGCTGGACGCTCGAAACGTGCGTCGATGGAACCCGACGACGGCCCCCCCTCCTCTTCCTACTTACGACTTCTTGAAGCTCTGGCTCCACTTCTCCTGCTCCCCGATGAAGCTCTGGAACCAGCTGCCGACGCTGTCGGCCTCCGAGGTCGCGACGCCCGCGTCCGACGGGAACACAAAAATGCCGGCCGGGGCGGCGCCGGCCCCCGCGGTGGCAAAGTCGTGCGTCTGCTTATAGTAGGCCACGTCCATCTTTCCTGGCCTGCGTTTAGGAGGACGGCACCCCCCCTCAAGCGTTAGCAAAACAAACAACCTTGCCGCGAGATTCTTCGTATCGCTGCCCCGTCCCCTTCACGGCGACGCGAGGAAATCAAGGATTTGGGCCAACTTACGTAGAGTCCTGCGGCGCACCCGCCTGCGAGGCGTTGACGAAGGACTGCGTCGAGGTGCTGTGGGCGCCGAGCAGCGCGGCGAGGGCCTCGGCGTCGAGCCCCTTGGCCTTGAACAGGCCCAGGAGAGTCTCGGGGGGGTCGAAGGGACTGGGCAGCCCTCCGGCCTTGGCCGACTTGGTGCTGTCCGCGCGGCCGATGTAGGTCGTGACTTTTGGCCCGCCGGGACATAGGAAAATGGCCGCGTCTGGAGAAAGAAGGGCAGAACATGTTAGTCACCCACTCCATCACGGGACCCATGAAGGCTATTGTCCAGACTGCTACAGAAACTTGAAACAAAGAAAAGAGAACAAAACTCACTCCCGGCAAAGACAATCATGTCCGCCGCGGTCGTGCCATAACGCGTGGCCAGGTCCCGCAGTGTGCCCGCGACGGCCTGCAGGCCGCTGTTCTCGACCCGGTCGAGCTCGACGTCCGGGTCGGCACCGACGAGCAGCGAGCCGTCGCAACCGCCGTCCTGCCCCTGAGACTCGTCCCAGGAGCCGCAGTCGTGGAAGAGGGCGCGGATGGCGCCCCGGGCGAGGGCGGTGCACTGGCCGCCGTCGTCGAGGAAGAGCGAGTTGAGCTCGGCGTTGACCTGCGTCCAGACCTCCGGACACTGGGAGGCCCGCGCCTCGAGGCCGCGGGCCAAAGAAGGCGACGCGTCCTCTGACGATCCGGGCAGTGCGACGGCAGCGGCGGCGGCGGCCAAGAGGCCGGCGAGTACGAGGGTTGTGGCGCGCATCTTTAAGAAAAGACGTGCGCGGTAGACGGTAGAGAGGAAGGGGATTCAACAGGTGTGGCGGTCGTCGGCGAGCTATCTGGTAATACTGTTCCAACCGTCGAACAGCACTAGATAACACACAAACACCTCCATCTATCTAGCTATATTTATATGAAATCCCAGGATTATGCTCACACCTCTCCTCCTTCGCCACCGTTCGTTCCCCCTGACCGAGTGACAAAAAAACAAACAAACTGTATCCTGGCCTTACCTGCAGGCTCCTGCGGACGCATATTTTCATATAGCCTCATGCCGGCGCCGGCGATTCCCCATAACGTTTCCGCTTTCCCACCGTCTGTGCCTAGGAAGCTGCAACTGCTGGGCTACTGCTGCTGACATGCACACTGCCTGAGCCGCGAGAGCGAGATGCTCGCGAATCAAATCCTACCAGCACACAGCGAGGGGGTGGGATGCCCGATGTCTGCCGTCCGATAAACCGGACATTAGATGCTTTGTGCATCTTGCAAGGGATGGTTGGATAGGCCAGTCCCGCTGCCGGTACTGTCCGTCTCCGAACGGAGCTAGCCCTTGGCGTGCTTACATCAGATCGAGGAGGGTGACAATGGGCCGTTTTATTTCCACAAAACTCATGTAAGCATGAGATGAGCCGCAGCATCCTGCCGCGGAGGCGGGCCCTGACACGACACACCCTGGCGGGAACCGGGCAGGAAGCAAATAGCCGACCCGCGTGGTGTTTCCCCTTTTCTTTCTTTTTCCTCTTCTTCTTCTTCTTTCATTTGTTGTTGTGATTTTGTTGCTCTGCCTCAGGCGGGGAGAGTAGCATCGTCAACTGCCCAGAATGCCTTAACGGCCGAAGCCTCACACCGACGTCCCGACGTCGATGGGGCACCTGCAACTCCAATGTTCCTCCCGCATGGCCTCGAACACTTGCATCGTATCTGCGCGTGCGGGAAGAAGATGTTGGCGAGAGAGTTTACGGATCTTGGCAAAAACTCAAACTTCGACTTGGGCCCCCCTCCCTCCTCGCCTCCCCTCCACGAAGGAAGTCGGTATATTCTGTTTTCCTTGCATCCACCTCCAATCAGGTCCGCCAATACACGCACCGCCCCTCCCCCCTCTTTCCAGAAGACCGAGACAACGCCCACCGTAACGGCCGTAAGCGAGAGAGGACGTGACTGATGTGACGCAGCGTTAATAAATCGCCTAATTCGCTGCTAGATATACGTCTACGTACAGATATTGATAGTAGACGCACGTACACACCGACAGAGGAAGGCGAGACGGAGGCGTTCCCGGACATCTGGGCCGGAGATCTCCAGCGGCGGCTCCGCGCGCGCCCAAAAGAGCCACACCTCAACCACCCTTCCTTACTTTGGTGTGCTAACATAATAAGCTAGGACACTGTTATGTCAGAATTATACATTTTGTACCCGGACACCCGGGTGAATGTTAGAACTTGGAGGAAGCAAACACATTTAGGTATCTAACACCACTTTACAGCCCCCAAACTCACGACCACGATGACAGTCGCAGCCACAGTCACAGCCACAACCCATCCTGGGTGACATCTTTTCTTCTCTGGTTTGTGGTTTGTCTTCCTTACGGACCAGCGCCCCAGAGGAATCTCAAAGTCTCGACCGCGCCTCGAACTGGTGCGCGGCCCAGCCGGCCAGAACCAGCCTCCATTCCTTCTCAAAATCCCTCGTCCTCCCCCAAAAAGGAGTCATGCGGTGTGTGTGTGTGTGTGCATGTGGCGGGTATATTCTTGGCGCATGTGTCAGCGGACCATTGTTTTACTTTTCTTTTTTTGATACTTCGGATGGGCGCCGTTGGCTGGCACCAGCTTTCGTCTGATCTTGACAGATCCGTGCTCCGAATACGTAGCCCAGTACCTTGAATATCGACCAAGGAAAATCAAATTCTCGCTCAATTTAAGCATCACTAGGTAGGCGGTACACTGGTGTGGCAACGCTTAGACCTCATATGTCGCCATCATATACCACGCTAAACAATTTTTTCCCGCCCTGTCCATGCGCTGTCGGCCCCTACCATTTCCTGTCGTTTCCTGTCATCGACCCCCGCCGGGACCGGCAGACTGCTACATCTCCTTCAAGAAATCGTCAAACTCGGTCTTGGTCTTGAGGTGCTTCGGCATCATCAAATCTTGCAAGACGGACGCGATGTTGCCTAGCGCGTCGAGCTGCTGCTGTTCAACGAGCATGTACACATGGTGGCCGCGCACCATCTCGTCGGTCCACTGCTTATGGTCGGCAGGGTTGGACAAGAGGTTGCAAATCTGCTGCAGACGGACCTTGAACTCGTGGAGGGTTTTGGGGTCCAGGTTGCTGAACTCTGCGTGTGACAACAACCCGATCTGGGCGCGGCCGAGGTCGCTTTCGAGCCACTCGGAACCGTTGTTGGTCAGGGCAAGAGACGCGGCATTGATCGTCGACCCCAGACGTACCACGATATCAGAGGCAGTGGCACATGCAGGCTCGGAGAGAAAATTCTGGCCAATGGCGAGGACCTCCACCGTCTTCTGAAGTTGGTCCTTCAGCGAGTACATCGCATTCCGAACTTGAGAGAGGCGGTCTGTGGGCCGTGGCGGGATATTGCCCCCGTGCCTGGGAGACTTGCACTCGTCATCAATTTCGTCGATGGGGAAAGGCATGTTCTGCGTCCGGTAGTCGTTGTAATCGCTTTTCGCAGGTTAGCCCTTACTCTCGCTGAGACAAAACGCATGCATGGCTGTGGGGCGATCGAGGGCTTACACTTGGATGATGGGCAGGAAGTCGTTCATCTGTTTGATGTGGTTATCCAGAGCCGCATCTAATTGGAGCAGGGCCGAATGGACCTTTTTGCCCTCCTCCGTATTGGCATGTCGCGACCAACGTCTACTCTTCCTCCGCAGTTTCGAGATGATGGCCTCTAGGGATGACAACCACAACGATAGGCTGGGGTCGAGTGGTATTTCTCTTGCCCCCGCCGACTTCTCCCATTGTATCGCGTACTCGGCAAGTATCGGGCGGAGCTCATTAATCTGTCCCATCAGAGCATTGCAGCTGCTGCCGACATTGAGGCTCTCGTTGAGACCAGCGAGCTCCTCGGTGGTACGGCGGAGAGTATCGGCAATGTAATCGTACAGCGACCCGAGTGTCTTGCTGATGCAGACAGGATCCATCAAGGAGTCATCCAGGTCGAGGGTCTCGCCTAGTGTGGCTTCAGGTTTGCCTAATTCCTCCTCTTCTTCGGGAGGATCCGCGTTGATTTTTAGGCTGCCGAATTCCCCAGCAGCCTCCTCCATCTTGCTTTCGGTGGATGGCTTGTATGTGGATCCGATAGTGACCCGGTGTGCTTCGTTCGAAGTTGAGGGCAGGGGGAGTGAGGAGGACTGACGGCGTATCGGCCTCCCTAACCAGTCAAACAGCTTTGAGTGGCCATCAGAGGCGCCATCAGCTTCTGTAGACTTATTTTGACAAGATATTTCGACGTCTTTGAAGGTCTCCATCTCCATCTTATCCCCGTTTCGGGGGGAGTCTGTTGTGACAGCCTCATCTATGCCTGTAGCCTTGCCGGCAGGCGGTTTCCGTCGAAATTTACAACTCGCCGACGGAGAGGAAGTTCCAGAGCCTTCGAGGGGTGCAGGTGAGGCTGATCCAAGGTCGATCAAGTTGTTGTTCTGCTGAGCCTCAGTGAGGGACGACGCCTCCCCAGCGGCCTCTGATGACAGGCATTGACCACGTGCGGTTTGAGGATGCTCGACAAGTGTGTCTGGCGTTTTCTTCCTTCTGTTTTCTGTGTAATCGGGAGGAGGATCGTGTGGGGGTTTCGAGGATAATGCAGCAGGGGTGTCGTCTACTTCGTCGTCAGAAGACGAGAGTGACAAGATGGAGTAGTTGTCAGCGACCTCCTCCCAGTCGTCGAGCCCCTGCTTGGCGGGACTTTGGCGGTCAGCCATGTCAGTTTCGATGTCGTCGTTGCCGTTGCACCAGAGCAGTGGCATAGGATAGGAGAAATTTTGTCGAGATGAACCGTGGGCGCTGGAGAGACAGGTCGTTGTTGATCGGTATCCCTGCCATATAATGTCAGTCGACATTGCTGTGGTAAAATAATGAAGGGGATGATCTGAAGCAAAGCCAATACCTCTAGCAATCCAGGCAGCCTCTGGAAAAGGCGGGAGCAAGGCACTCGTGTTGCTACGAGATGAAAAAGAATCGAAATGCAGCAGGGAAAGAGGATGAAGTGCTAAAGTAAGTCCCGATGCGGCGAGGCAAAGATGACGTGGATATAGGTCGATGGAATGTGTAGCCTGATCCGTCTCCCGGCAGCGAAAGAGAGGGTGCGAGAAACGGAGGAAGGGAGCAAAAGAAAAGGTAAACCGGAGCCTCAGGTTTGATGGGCGTCGATGGGAGGAGGAGAAACAATAAGCCTCGACGGTTTCTTGGGCGAGGCAAACCGTACGAAGGGAAGCATGGTGGGAGTAGAAAGGTTGGGGAGGAGGTGCGGTGAAGTGAGGTGAGGTGTAGCGACCCCTGATTGATTGACTGCTGCCGGGCTGTATACCGCTGGAGTCCGTCGACCAACAGCTGCTGTTCGCCAGAGCTCCCGCCTATCAGTGAGCTGATGCGGGGTCGACGGCGACGATTATGCCTGCTCTCGGCTCATGGCACATGCAGATCTAGTGCCCCCGTGGGGGGGGATGGGGCGGAAGACAAGTGGCCTGTGCTCCCCACCTCGCCAAAAAGTTAACGTAGGGGTCCTTATCGGAGACGAGTTAAGCGAGTACTGATAACGATAAGGCATTGATTGTTTTTGGTATGCGCATGCCCATGTATCAAACAAGAGGGGACGCGCAATCCGAGCCCCATACCAAGAAGACTATATATAGTAAACTCGGGTTCGCTTTCTTTGTGGTATTAAGTATGTAGAGGTATGAAAGCCTCAATCGTGATGGATGATCGCGAGAGTGACCTGCACTGCGTTCTGTTTTCCCAGGATCAAGTCTTGACGCCCTCTAGTCCAAGTCCTGGAAGCATATCCTACCGTCCCTCTACGCGCTGATCCAGCTGCTCCCGTTCTGCATCTTGCCAAACCTCCTTCCAACCATGATGAGATGGTACATACCATTCGATTGCAAAAGAAGGGATAACACGTCGCCAACCACGAACGCCGCCGCGAACCACGTTTTTGTCATGAAAATATGGACAGCGTGAAGTCCGGTAATGAGGACATAGACGAAGCAGGAGAAGATGCCCGTCTCCAGATACGGGGTACATCAGAGCCTTCGAAATACGGCTGAGCGTCCTCATTTGGGGGCCCGGGAACAGTGGGCCGCGCGCCCCACAAGCGCCGGGAAGCCCGCCCAGGTTCGGCAATTACGCCTATTCGCTTTGCCGTCTCATCTCAGCCTCCGCTTCAAACCTCCACACTGGCTGCCTATCTCATCCAGAAACCCGGCCCTCCACCACTTCCCTTACCGAGAGACATTTGCAAGGAACAGCTCGAGGGCGGCGCGCGCGACAACTACGCCCGCGCCTGCCTCGAGGTCGACATGGTCGTCTTCTGGCCGTACGTCGTCTCGGACGGCGCCATGGCCGAGGGAGCAGATATCCGAGCCGTACGGTCACTAGTGGGCGTATTATTGGGTGAGATGCTGTAAGATATTGGGCCTGAATCGCTGGATCCGAGAGGGGTTGGTCGGGAAATTGACGCCACATACGCTACCGGTCTCGACAGTATGTGACCTATATTAGCAAATCCGTCTTCCAAATGTCACTGTTTATGGGAAGCTGATCATGTTATCGAGACCAAAATGCAATTTCAGGGTCGGTACTGTTCATCCTCTCCTAACCTTGGGCAAGCCCAAGATTCCGTTCCCGAGCATTTCCCAGGTCAACATTCACTCCTCTCTTTCCAAAATCGACGATAAGAAGTGTTGAATCCACCTTTCAACCTCAAAAACGCTCCGGGGATATATGCGGGAGAGATTTCTTGCAGATTTCATTTCATGAGCAATTTGAGATGCAGAAAATTCCATGATGTCGAGAACTCGATGGAGACCACGCATCCTTATCAAATACCAACTGGCCAGAGAGGAATCATTGCCAGAAGCTTGGAGGCGTTGATATTGAATTCCCAGACAAAGGACGTAGTACGCCAGTGAGGTCTTCACATCCCCGGCGGGATCCCTTCCCTCAAGAAAGTTGAAACTCTGAAGAGACACAAAGCAATCGTTCTTGTGATCTATTTGGAGTCCGGACTGCCTCCACTGTTAGTAAGCCTACTGAGAAAATGTTAACAAGGGGTTTACATGCCTCTTTGTCATTTTTATCGTTTTTGACCTTTTGGTCATACTCCGCAGCCTCTTTGCACAAGACAGCTAGTGATGACTTGATATGTCGGATCCATTCATCAAACAACAGTTCGTACTCTTGGTCAGTGCTCTGCGCCATTTCCTTTTCTAGGATCTCGATAAATTCGGACTCTTCCTCTAAGATATCATCGATATCGTCGTCGGGAATGTAACTTGGACTGCCAGAGAAGGGAGAGGGGTGCCAAGGAAATCGGGGAGGCCTCCGACAACACACATGCGTCATTCCCATCTCTTCATGTTTCGTTCGTCGCAAAAGCGATCTAATAGCTATCTTTGCCCCATCTGTGCCCTTGCTCTCATAGACAAGGCAAACCCACTCTATTGCCCATGCAGGGAAATGCGCAACACCCCATTTTTGATCAAGACTATGCATGAGTTCTACACCGGGAAGGCAACCCTCGGGGGAACAAGGGCATCTGCAATTGTCTCTGGATAGGAGATCCGCCCCGTGGGCTACGAATATGCGGATAGTGTCCATAGCTTCATATGCAGCGTTTGTCGCTCCAGTACCCAACCTGGCTAAAGCGTGATGAAGCGCTGTGCGATGCCAATGGTCTCTTAACTCGATATCGGCCCCAGCATTAAGAAGACCCTCCACAAGGCTAGGTATATCTCGACCAGCAGCTTCAATGAGAGGATGTCGACCTGCGCTGTTACTGTGGTTGATAAGCTTGAATCCGTTGTCGAGCAACGCGTCCAAGTCTGACACCGATGAAGCATTGTGAAGGAGGGTGTTCTTTAAGTTGCCAGTGTTAAGATTGTCGTAGAGAAAATTGACGTCGCCGCATTTGGCAAGGAACTGATGAAATGTCGCATCCCTTTTGCCTCGTCTATTCGAATACTTGACGTGAAATAGCAATGTAGCATCCTCGGCCCATTTTTCTGCAACCTTTTTGCCTTCCAAGGACTCGATCCGCGAAAGACAGTTGAGAACAAGCTTCCAATGATCCCTCAGAGCCCCGTACGCAATGAAGGTGCGATTGTATCGGCTTTCCCGAGCATATGCATCCGCACCAGCATCGAGGAGCATCATCACAGACTCTTCTTGATTCTCTGCGGCCGCATACATCAGTGGCGTGTTGCCATACTTGTCGGGGACGTCGAGTTCAGGGTTAAATTCCAAAAGGACTTTCAGGTGCAGGGTATTTGAGACAGCAAAATGAAGAGGAGTCTGGCCGAGAAAGTTTCTCCCGTTGACATCAAATCGTGGAGCAAATTCTCTGATCGAATCTGGCGAACCAAAAACGATGGCTTCGTGAAGGGGCGCCAAGCCGGCAAATCCTACAAGGTATCGGTTAGATTCGCGAGACTCGGTGATAGCAAGAATTGTGCCTTGCCTTGGTTATCTTGGCATAGTGTACTTATATACTCCACGAAGAACGGGTCGGGGGTCATTGACTCGGACAACCAGTTTGGCGAAGACACTTCCGGCCAGTTCTGGGTGTCGACCACAGTCGCATCAAAGCCGAGGGCGAGGAGCGTTTCTAACAAATCTATATGAGGGCCTTCTCCGATCCATTTTGCACAGAGTGAAAGAAAACTATAACGGTATGACAAAATTAGCTATGTCCTTTGGACGTCGGTTCTGAGCTTTCTCATATTGAAGGTTTGCTCACCCAGGACGTTCGGTCCCCTTTGACATCTTGAACTCCTGCATGAAAAGCTCGAGTAGTTGAAACTGTTCCTTGGATATCCACGGACGTCGTAAAAGCTCCTAGTCAGACAATTAGAGTGCGAAATGAGTGCCCTTAAGATTCATACCTCAATGTAAGACTTTCCATCTGGGTTGACATGCGTAGGAAATGTTGGGTCCATCCTTCTCAGTTCAACAAGCCCCTTTTGAGCTTCTTCGAACCTAATTAGACCATTCTCACATTTCCAGATCAACTCAAAGCCTGGAGATGTGTAAGGCACGATTCGTTCCATCTCGAAGCAGGGTCGCATGGAGAACTTTCCCGATTCCGCAAGGATGTAAAACTGGATGGCCGCGGCCCACCGGACTCCAATCTGCGACAGCGCGATTCTGAACATTCCACCGTACTTGGCAGTGTTGCAGGACGAAGAGTCGCAGGTCCGCTGGAAGACCGCTGGGTGAGTGTATTCGAGCGCCCAGAAGCGTCGAGAAGTCTTTTCCGTACGATGGCATGAACATGAGCAAGACCAAGACAAGCAATTTCCGCGAGCCTTAGGTCTTGGGGTTATCATGCCCCGAGAGTTGGTCATGGGAGCAAAAGACCCGAGGGGTTGGCGGGAAGAAGCATCTAGCGGGGTTGGAGAAACGGGCAAGTCGGTCTCGGTGGCAGAGACTGATAGTTGAGCAGACGTTCCGTGGAGCTGGTTCACCAACATCATCTCGCTAAGGCATTGTGAAGTTCGATGCGAGGTAAGACTGTTGTGTAGTTTTGTCAGCTGAACAAGTGCGGATCGTGTAGGGGGTTAGCATATGTGAGTACGAACAGGATCAAATTGATTTTGGCCGCTTGGATATTCCGGAGCAAGTCGTCAACGTCCTTTTTCCAGTGGCGAAAAGCCAGGAGCGTCTTCACCATCTTTGGCCCCTTTACCTTCTCGGAATCCATGAGCAACTTCTGATACAGCTTTTCCAGCCCCTGAACGAGGAGACCGCAGGTCGCTTCGCAGTGCTCAAAAGAGGGGTCGCGGGATAGTCCTTTAGCACTATCCATGAGACGTTGCAAGAACTCCAGCTCTTTGAGGAGTTGTTTCAGTTCCGCGGGAGCCTGTTCTGCGTTCTTGAGTATGTCGCGGAGCTTGTTGATGCCAGAGGCGATCTGTATCAGCAGCGAGACGAACCCCGCAACGCCGGACGCGATACCAAAGTCCATGTTGACCAGCAATCGAAAAGAAAAGTCTCTGGAATTAAGATGATGGAAAATCTATTAGGATGCAGAGAGGGGGTGATCAAGCCCCCAGATGAGCGAGAAAATGGGGCGTGGTCAGAGCCAAGGTGGGGTGCCTCGCAGTCTGCCTATTAAGCTGCGCCGCAAAGCATGCATATCAGGCGGCCAATGAACAATTGAAATGGCAGCATGGCCGGCACAGTGAAATATGTAACGTTCAATATAGGACCATATAGGACCAGTATCGCGATAGGCCCTTTTCGGTGTATAAGTGCGCGCCAAAGCATGGTATGGTGCGGCCTGCAAGGTTATGCACCGTGGAATCTGGAATATATTGCAAGCTATTGAAAGTAAAGAAAGAGAAATAAATAAAGAGAAAGAATGAAAGAGAAAGAATCCAATGCTGTTTTTCATTCATGTTTCTTCTCGGAATAGGAACTCTTTCTTCGGCTCTGTTTTACTCCATATATTACAGGTTATCCGCGCTAGCAACCAACTTCCAAGGTCACTTTGCGATCGAGTAGAAATAATGCTGCTTGAATCAGCCGTACCATTATACCGGCTTTCTAGAACGCTAGAAGTTGGCGGGGTGAATGAATTGTTTTAGTCCTCAGCAATAGTATAGTAATGCTCTTATTGCCAGAGTCGCATTTTGTGGCTTTTGACTTATTAGTTTTCGATTTACATATGCAACCACACGCCTACGGCCCACAATTTATGCTTTTGAATGTTTAGAAGAACTGTAAATCAATACATGTCTAGGAAGATTGCGTACGTGTCATCTTAGAGTCTAAAGGTTACGTGCAAGTAGTGTCATAGAGCAGTTGACTTGCATACCCTTGGGCTTCTAGGCCCGACCGAAAGGCCCTTGAAATAGACGCAACTCTTAGCGTCTGTTACAAATACACTATAAAAATAATGCCTGATACTTAACACAATAGAACGAATTTTCTAGAAATCAACACACTACTATGGGATCTTATAACTGAACTTCCCTACAGTAAGCCTTGTGAAATAACTAGTGATAGTAGTAGTAATAGTATTAATGATGGTGGTTTGGGTGCAGGGTGGTTTATACCAAGGGGGTGGGTTACGTGGAAAAGGATTAATAATCATCCGGTGACACTATTTTGCGCTATTTTTCTCGACAGCTGGCGGATATGTCAGATCATTTGAGTCGACCTGTTCCCCAGTCATTATTTCTACATCATGAGTACACCTTCAATAGCCACAGATTCCACAGTAGCGGGGACCAGACGTTATCGGTCTAAGGCACAGCGACCATGTGACCTATGCCGCGCACGCAAGGCGCTCTGCAACATCCCGGACCCATTGCAACCATGCCACCTGTGCAAGAGGATAGGCCGGGAATGCACCTTTGTTAGTAACCCCGGTAGAAGGCCGAAGGGTCGTCAAACTGCTTCTCCCTCGGCGGCCGCCGGGCCACGGAGCCAATCACCGACCCACAATGTGATGACCTTATCTCCGGGTCTACTATTGCAAGCACAGCAAGACATGCTAAATATGACAAGTACCACTACCAGCCAAACAATCTCCCGGCCAAATATGCTGATCATCCTGCAGATAATCCTGCTGAGGATCGAGATGCCGTCTCAGAGTTTATGTGGCCTAATAACAGCCCCTTGAACTGGGATCTTGGAAACGGCCAACTCCCTCAGAACCTAGAGTTTCAAGACTCACCGGCTGCCTTTTTGCAGCCATCCCAAGGACGTAATGTAATATCTGGCGGTGAAGGGACTCCGCAACCTGCAAGAGATTCAGCTGTGGAAGAACCAAACATGAAGTGTGCCCACGACAGAAGTTCACTAGACCAACGCCCGAACCACTCTACAACATTCATTGGACTCTCGAACGAGTCGGACCCATTCCTGGTTGATCATTTCCCTTACAATGACCACGACGAGGTTGATTTCTTCAGAGTGACATACAGGAATGTCACTGTTGACAAGAGCCTACCACTCCATTTCTTGCAAAGTCAGACTAGAACAGCCACTGAATCACAAAGAGTCCTTAATAATTGTCTTTCTGAGGTCGATGAACGAGAGAAATTGGAAGGCATCGTCGATAAGGCCACTGGAGCCTCGCTTGTCAGGCTGTAAGTCTCCGGGGGGGGTTTTCTTTCTTTCTTTTTGGCACTCACAGCAACATGGGCAGACTGACTATCAACAGATACTTCAGATTCGTCTTCCAAGCACTCCCTATCCTGTCCCGGTCGCGCATCCTTCCAGACATAGAAGGCTTTGTCGCAGAGGCGTCGACTGGGCTGTTGGCAGGGATCTACATGCTCTCTTTGTCCTTCACGCCATGGGATGAGACACTGTGTATGACCAATGCGTCTACGAAGCCAAGTATCGATGCTCTTTGGCAAATCTCATACGTTTGTCTTCAGAGAGAATTGAACTTCCCACGGCTCTCAACTGTTCAGATATTTCTCCTATTACTGAATCAGGTCTCCTTTGATTCCGTCTCAGTCGAGAACCCCTCTGCTTGGTCGATGGCTGCTTCCTTGCTCGGGATGGCGCAGTCGTTAGGTCTCAATGCGGATCCAAGGGACTGGAACCTACCACCTTGGGAAATTCGACTGCGGAGAAGACTGTGGTGGTCTATTTATGTCGAACATACTTGGAGGGCTGTCACACATGGTCGGTCGTCCATGATAAGACATGACGACTGGGACGTATCACCTCTTACCGCAGATGATTTTGTCACTGACACTGCAACACCGGCACTTCCTGACGGATGTCAATCACCAGACTACATTATCCACCTTTGCTCATTAACCAGGATCGCGGATGAGATCTGCCGATTATTCTTGTGAGTCTCTTCGCGTCAGGACTATGCCAGTCATGATGCCGCTGCTAACGCTCTTAGCACTCTTCGCGCGATATCACAACGCCCGGTACTAGAGACGCTAATATCTCAAGCACGTGGCCCCCGACAACAACTTCTCGACTGGTTGGACCGCCTACCCGAATCTCTCCAGTGGCATCCCGAGACGGAACCGTCTGCAGAGCACTCCATAGAGGGCCATGCTCCGTTATATGTTACATATTATACCGCTCACATTCTCATCTTCCGCGCCCTTTTGCGCCCCATCATAAGTACCAACATCAACCCCAGTACGCTACCGGCATCCTCAGCATCAATCCTCCAAGCTTCGCGTAGCTTGGTGCAGACCATAACAAAATTCATCTGTGGGCTCGACGTAAGACATCAGTCCGCTTTCTGGCCGGCTTACACCAGACACTGCTTGTCATACCCAGGTCTGTTTTGCTACATGCTGTCACTGCAGCAAAGCGAGCCGCACATGGTGTCATTTGATCGAGCTTTGCTGGATACTTGGAGAAAGGCTCTACGTACAAGAGTGCAGTCATGGACATTTCTGCGATTTGCCATTGTAAAAGTGGATGCGATCTACTGGAAAGGCCTTCGGGAGCCCGTATCAGGATCCTGAAGCAAGAGCCAGCATTAAAGTAACAACGAATGTCTTCGGCCCAAGTGCAGAAATGGAGACGTTAAGGGCAGACGCTGCACATTGAGTCATTAATAAGAGTGGAGTTTTCCAGCCAATCAAAGACTAGACCTTCAAAGTTTCCCAGCAACTACCTAGTCCGGGAAATGCACTGAGATAACGTATATTATATGATACACAACATAACTGGCGAAAAGGGGATATGGCTCTACTCTAAGAAAAATGAAAATAGAAAATAAAAATAAAAAGCATGTTCATAAGAGTGTTCAATAGTCTTCAAAACACATACTGGAAGTTCAATGCTTGATCGCCATCCTTACCGTTGCTTTCCTTGCCCTCGGCCAGCAGACGCTCCTTCCGGCGCATGCGCCATTTCAGAAGCATGTAGATCAAACCTACGCAAATCAATGCAATAACCTCTCCTCCCAGAGAAACGGCATTGCCCATGATGTACCTTGGGGCATCGTATGAGGGGTAAATCTGGGACGAGGCCATTCCGGAAGCGTTTGCAAGAGAGATGAGCATGGCGATTGCAACAGAGCGCTTGTAATCAGGCTGAATGTTGTTTGAAACCCAGCTACTGGGAGTCAGCATATACACCTTTCTCTTTCTCAAGACGGGAGACTTACGTGACGAGGACAGTGTTGAAAGAGTAAACACCGGCGCCCACAAGAAACATGGCAAAGAATCCAGCGGCTTTATTGCCGGTGCCAACCGCGATGGCATACCCACATATGACCAATACGGGCGAGTGTATGAGACAGATAGCGCGGCGGTTCATTCTGTCAGAGACGAATGTTGTGATTCCGGTCGAGATGGATGCCAGGACATAAACGGGGATACTCAAGTAGTTCGCCTGAAGAGAAGTATACCTGGAAATCGTCAGCGAGCGCTCTATTATGACACGTGTCCTGAAAGTTACCCGAGTCCCTTGAGCAAAGTAGGAAGAAATGTGCCGAAACCGAAGAGGGCGATTGAGGAGCAGAATAGTGCCACAGAAGCGAGGTAGACGAAGGGGTCGGTAATGGCCATGACAAGCTGCGGCAAAGAAAACGAGCTGTTCTCCTTGAGCGGCTGCTCGCGCTCCTTGATGCGCACCATGGCAGCTTTCTCTTCTTCCTTGAGAAACCAGGCTGTCTCTGGTGATTTCGGCAAAGTGACCCAGCAAAGGACACCGATGACCATCGAAATTACACCCTCTACAATGAACAACCACCTCCAGGCAGAGAGTCCATGGCGTTTTCCCATACTCTGCACACCGTACGCGAACAACCCGCCCAGCGCACCAGACAGCGCGATGGTAATGTAGAGCACAGCCACGCGCTTACCCTGCGACGCGGGAGGATAAATTTCCGAGATGACGTAGATTAAGGCTGGGAAGAGGCCGGCTTCGAAAAAGCCAAGGAGGACTCGCAGGGCAATTGCTTCGCCGTAGCTGTTGATGAACCCGGTACCGATGGTGATGGCGCTCCAGCTGGTGATCGCGATGGCAAGAACGCGACCCGGACCCAGCCTCTTGACGGCCATGACCCAAGGCGTCTCGAAGATTACGTAG